GTGTCCCGCATAACCTGCGGGCTCCACGTGCCCCCGCGCAACCTGCGGGCAGCCCGCATCTCCTGCGGGCTCGCTGTGGCCAAGGATCCACTAGGTAAGTCGCATTCATCGCCGTCGCTTTTCCTGATTTCCTCTTTTTGCAGATCCGATATGAGCCACAGTCGATTCTCCATCGACACCTTCGGATCAGAAGTGTTCAAGGTGTGAGGGATTCTCGCCTCGACCGGCTCCGTTAGTCAGGGCTCACCCTTCAATGGGCGTACTGCAGTGTTGGTTCGAGGTGACGTTAAACCTACACTGAGGCATCGAGATGATGAAGGAAGAGATGGAGAGGCGACGAAAGGTCGATGCTGCCCGGGGCGTCGAGCAGAGTGAGGAAGCGGATTCAAATGGTAACGAAGAAGCAACAATCGATCGGAATAATTCGATTCATTGCAGAGTTTTCGATGAACGGATCGAGAGAAGACGACCGGAGGAAGCGACGAAGAATGACACCAGTGAGAAGTAATTGATCCGCGGATCATGGTAGTTTTAGGCCCGGGCCTTATTTTTATTTTTATTATTTATTAATTTTTTAATTTTTTATTATCACTCACTTGCACCAGCCGTACCACTTACGGCTTCCCACTCTCTATCCCACCACTTGGGATTCCCCCTTCTCTCCGTACATTCGTACCACTTACGTCTGTACATCCTTCCGGTCCTACCGTTTGGGACCACCCACTTCTTCGTATTTTTCGGGGAAAGTCGTACCACTTACGGCCACGCCAGTCATTCCACTAATGACTGGCTTCCCCTTCTTTTTTTTCTTTTTTTTTTTAATTTGTATCTTTAGGTATGTTTAGGTATCGACGTTGCCGCCGCCGCCGCCGATGGAAGGATCTTGCCGGTGAATCGACTCACCGGCACACATCCCACAATAAGTCTAAGTCTCTAAGTACCTCTAGTCTCCCTAACTTTTAAACCCGCCGTAGTCGGCAATCCCTAGGTCGTAGTCGGCCACCCGTAGTCGTAGTCGGCTACTCCCCAAAAGCGCCGAGGCTTCCCGTCCCTCACAATCGTAGTGCCGAAGCGCTGGCTGGATGGCGGCTTATCCGTCGAATCCTAAATTCGGGTGATTGGCCTGGCAAGCCCTTCAGCCCTGATTCCGTAGCCGGGAATCGAACCCTACCCAAACGCCCCCGTTTCAAGTACTCTCGAGTGCTTGGAAACTGCTACGGGGCGTTATGGATGGTTATGCTTTAGAAATTTGCTTCACCGGGTGTCCTCCATACTAGTCAGGATGGCATCTGGCCCAGACCTATATTGACGTGGATTGGCCAGCTATGTCAATATGTCCAGCCTTTCGGGTGCACATGGACCGTGCTTCTTGGCATGGTAGCTTGCTACTTTGTAGTGGCTTGCTACTACTTAGTAGTAAGCTTCTATGCTAGGAGCACAAAAACCACATTACCATATCACCAGTAGACCCGGGGCCCAGCCAGACGTGGCTTGCCCAACCACTTCTACTTCTATTATCCTCGGATGATAGTTGTGGGATGTCCTTGGGTGATCCCCATGGTGGGATCGGCGATGACCCACATCAGGTTTCGGCCTGATGCTGGTGAGCCTCTCCTTCAAGTGTCGAGCCTCTACGTGGCGAAGGAGATCAACTGACTCGACTATCCTTCATGGTGGGTCGAGTCAGGCTAATCGACACACACGCAGGTCGGGGATATTCTTCCTTTCCGTTTGATTTTTTTCAACTAGTCTATTTTACCGTATCCAACATCACACACAACCAAACGTGGCTATAAATATCTAACGAAAACCACCATATTGAGCGTAATTGAGCGAAAATTAAATATTTAAGGCTTTATTAAAACGAAATATTTTCAACAAGTCTTGCAACATTCTTAAGATCCTCAATATCTCGCTCGACGGATCCTTCAATTGCGACAAATTTCGGAATCGCCGCATTTCGTACAACGATTCCTGCTTTTTCGAGGGAATCCAAATTTTTTCCGTGGATTTTGATTCGCGCTTTTGTTGGATCTTCGGGAATTGATTCTTCAACCTTAAACCTTGTAATTTAATGAAAAGAAATACGGAAAATTATTCTACTTGAATTTTTACATCGTATTTATCACAAATTGTTTTTACATTTTTTCCATATTTTCCAATAAAAATTCCAACAAATTCCTGATCGATGAGGAGTTCAACGGTTCTCACGGGTCCACGTGAGTGATCGATAATCTCAGCGACACGGAGTCGGACCATTTCGAACTAAACAAATTTATCTGAGAAATATCTACGCAAAAACCAATACCTTTTTCTTATTATTCGTTCGAACAATTAAAAAATGGTATTTTCCATCTGCTGGCTTCTCTTCATTTTCAACCCATTCATCAATCCCTGGACTTTCGTCCCAGCCTTCTTGAATGATTTCCAAACTGAAAACCATATTTTAAGAAGATATCAATAATGAAAATAACACTTTGCTCGTTCTGCTTGGTCTTCTGATAATGAGCTGATTATACATTCAACCTAAAATTAAATAATTAAAGTAAAATTTGAAAATAAACAAAAATTACTTCTAATTCGCTTGAAATTTTCCTAATAGTGCTTCCTCTTTTCCCAATCACCGCGCCAATAGCAAAAGAGGGAATTCCAAGAAAATATTGCTTATTATCATCAATGATTTCAATTTCGTCTTCGTCTTTTGCCTTTTTAATAGTTAACTTTCTTCCGAAGAAATATACGCCAATAATTGGAAGAATAAGAGCAGTTGTTGTAAGTGCAGCGAAAACTTTCAGCATCTGAAACGCAAAATATTTATAAACCGAGAATAAAGAAAAAACTATGAGTAAACTGAACGCTGAAAAGTTGTCATAATTTAGAATCAAAATTACGGTAACTTCAAAACTGTGCAGCGATATTGCAGATTTGTCTACCGTACCATTTAAAATAATTAAATAGCATTTTTCTTTTCAGAATGGTTGATTAGGAAAAGAGGAATCTGATGATTTCCATCAATAATGAAAAAAATATTAATTTCATTTATTATATACGCATTTCCAAAGCATTGCTAAAAAACATTTTTGTATATTTAAACTATCAACCATTTGATCTTTTCTAACCGCGATTGGGCACCAATGAAGCAGTCCACCAATTAAAATCACCATTCTTCGTTGAAAAAAAAAAAGCGATTTATCTATATCTAAATATTTATTACCGAAAGGAAGAGGATGAAATACATATACTCACAGAAATTGAAGAGAAAATATTCAACACTTTAGCTATTCCAAATATGTCTTGACCCAATGTTCCTGACACGTTGTTAAATGCAAAAATAGCAGCAATACAATTAACTCCATCTTCTCTGGCTAAAAAAAGAATTTTAAGTAGTTCGAATATTAGCAAAAGTGCCAAATGGCAAATTATGAGCCGAATTGGTTTTGTGAGTCCAATTGGCAACCCGCGCAATTCAAATTTATCAAATTTGTCCGCCCCGACAATATTAAATCTTACAAAATTCATCTCCTTTCAATTCGTTATTAGCATTCTGTTGATTTCCTTGATTATTTGTTTCTGAACATAATTTTTTACAACATTTTTTTCGTTTTGAGGACGCTAAAATAATTTCTGAAAATTTTTAATTCTCTAGAAAATAGGAAATAGATCCAGAAAAGAGAAAATACGTAGAACGAGATAGCGCTTTTTTTCAATTTTGACTGCCGAAAATATTTTAATATTTTTGAAAAATAAAAAAATTGTGGTCAAAAATTCCATACACAGGTTTCCAATACATTAAGAATGCTATATTTTCATAAATTCTAACCTTCATTCATATCATATCCTTCCTCTTGATATTCCGACAGATCTTCGACAACGGCCTCTTCTGTCATTGACGAATCATTCATCAATTGTTCCTTTTTTTCGCCTAAACTAAACATTAAAATTTTTATATTCTTCTCAAACCTGATGATTCCATGTCGTTTAACTCACACATCTTTGAACTGGTATCTCTTTTCTGAGACTTTTTTTTCGAAATTACCACGAAAATTAGTCAACACGGCGTCCGAATAATTGATATTAATATGCATATATCTATATATTTTTCAACACAATTGGTTACCTAAGTAAAGGGGTTAAAAAGCTGCCGTCCTGCCGAATAGTGGCGGGGCGGTGCTTCCCTTTATTTCTCACTCACTTTTAATAGACGTTAGCAATAACATAACGCTCGAAGAAAATACTGTTTTATTTCTTCATTAAAGTGGGGAAATCTCGAACAATTTGGAGGTGGATCGTGTTAGTGAGAGTTGGTAAAATCGGAGCCGGCATGTGCGACTCATGAAAGAAGGAAAAAGAGCCTAGATGGATAGTTATGGGGGTTTATATATGGTGCATTACAATCAAAGAATTTAATAAAGGATTCAATAAAGAATTTAATAATGGATTGATAAGGATTACATCAGCTTCCGGTCGCCCACGGCTTCCGGTGGAGCTGATGTATTAGATTAGGTTTTGCGATCGAACATGATGGGTTTTCCTTTACACCTATCCCCCACAGGGCAAGATCGACCCTGATCGAAAATGATTCCTAAGGGCCCGCGGTTTTTTGTCTTGTTCAAGTGTCTCAAAAAATGCTGGGAGTGTACTCGGGGAGGAGACAAGTGGAGAGCAGGAAATCTGCCCTTCGACACCGTCCTGCTAAGCCCATGCCGAGGCTCATCCAGTCATTTGAAAAAATGGAGACAGCTGAAGAAGAATGAAAAAAATGCGGCGCCGAAGGAGAAAAAAAAATTTGCGAGGTTTCGGTATTTCGGAAAATTGCAAAAAAAATGAGAACAAGGGAGAGAAGAAAATAAATCTAGGTGTGAGACAATATCCGTGAAATGTAATGTAATAATGGGGAAAATGTGGAAGAATGGGGGTCGGAAACAGCGGCCCGTATGTTGGAAAAACAAGGAAATAAAAATAATGAAAATTAGAACAAAAAGTTAAACAGACTCAGCTTGTCAGATGGCGATGAAGCGGGAAGCGTCCATGGTGGCGTTTTGTGATTCGATTTCTTTGATTATGCGGCTCCATGGGTAGACTGTTCTGCTGATCGCCAATTCGAGTGTGCAGATTAGAAGATTCCGGTTGTTGTTTGATTCTTGTTGTACCGGCGTGGCTGTGGCGATGGACATGTCCGCGTAGAGACAGGTTGTCTGATTTGTAGGATTTGTTACCAGCAGGCAAATTTCACTTGAAGCGATGACCGCTGGAGCCACCAATAGTCCGAGTTCTGAGATTTTTGCTGCTTGTGATACCAGTGTTGCTTCTGAAAAATTGTGTGTAGATACGCACTTCACAAATGACTCGGATAGGTGTGGGATTTGCGTGAATGACTTGACCTTGATCGGTATTTCTTGAGAGACGTTGGCCGTGGCTACCGGAAAAGGTTTACCGAGCGGGAGTGTTTCGTTTGCGCATTCGAATACTCCTTTGGCATAATCGAGGTGAAATTTTGGAAGACGCGCTAAGATGTCGTTTCCGAAGATGACTTCGTATGCGAATGGCCCTCTGGGTGTGCATTTGTCTACCGTAAAGTGTGTTGGCTGGGAAAGTTCGATCGAGCCGATTCTGTATTTTACGGGTGCCACGCCTGCAATTCTTACCTCATTGCCGCCGAGTCCGATTGCGTTGTTTGTAGCTGCTTGTTGAAAGGTGTGGATGCCTAATAACGCACATAGCTCGGAGCTGGCGACCGTGAAGCTACCCTCTGTGTCGATTAGGGCTAAAATATTAACGTTGTTGGCTTTAACTGGGATTTGAGCTGTGAAGTAGGTTTGTTGAGAATGGAGAGCGGCGATAATTGGTGTCCCCAGTATATCCGAATAGTCAATTGTGACCACTTTCGCTTCGTTATCTGGTTTATTTGCTTTTCTGAAAATTCGTAGCGGGAGAGCTTGAGATTGCTGTCGGGCAAATGCCAACAATATAACGATTAGTACGTATGATGTTACTATTATGCACTAAAAGTGTCCAACCTTGGAAAATGCAGTGTGCGACGTCGAAAATTTTGTTCCAGGAAGATATGAGGTTCGATGCTTCGTTGACTTTGCTCTCGCGATCGGATGAGAATGCGTTCCTGTTGATTATTTTCGTTAGGGTTTCTGTCGAACCCTCGAGGGCGCTCCAAATTTCGTTGTAGTGTGTTGGGGTTATTGATTCGGAGAGTGATCCGATCACCAGGTTGTGGAAGATTGTCGGTTGAAACTTTGGGCCGTCTGTTGAGATGTATGCCCAGTTTGCGAATTTCTTGAAATTTTGGCTGGTAGTAATTTTCGTTTTAGCCTGGAACGGATTAATGCTGTAAAATGTCTCTTCGACGATAAATTCAAAGTCAGTAGTCAAAGAGCAAGGTACTTTTCTGGCTTCGTTGGTGACAATTTTTGAGATGGGATCGGAAAAGGTTTGGAGTGTAGTGTTATTCGGTAGAAAAATTTGTATGGCTGGTTTTGAATAGCATTCATTTACGAATGGGACGATGCTAAATTCGGTCTGGTTAATTATGGAGCAAGATCTGATCGACAACGTATTGTGACCCACAAAGGAGGCTTGTAGGTTTGTTTGGTTTAAAATTTCCCTTGCGAATAGTGAAGGTTGGCTGGCCGCTGCGGCGGTTGCTGCTGCGGACATGGCATTGAAAGAATTGCACCAAGATAAGAGTTGATGCGAGAACCACAAAGAGGAAGATTGCAAGATATCTGTTTCCAGAGCGAGCAATTGTGAGGCAAGTTGGTTAGAAGAAACGAAATTTGTGAGATTCGCAATGGTAAGGGGTTCTGCGTTTCTTTTGTTTATTCTGGAAGTTGGAAAAGCGAAGCCTTGGTCTGTTACAATAAACGTTTTTCCGCAATCGTCGATTAGCGGGTTTGAGATATTGAAAGAGAGTGCGAATTCCTTATCTTCGCTCAGCCAAATGTTATTGGAATGATGGCCGATAAGAGTTCGATATTTTATGAATCGGCACGCTTGTGCTTTTATTGGCTTCCAGATAAAGGCTGCGCCTTGCTTTTGGTTGCAAAAACCGTTGGCGTATTCGCATCCTATCATTGCGCCTGCTGGGGATTCGGGATATTGTTGTTCAAAACGCGCGAAGACCTTGGTGGGCATTCTAAGGCAATTTGTGGTAACCAATGTGCGCGTGGGTGAAAGCGCGCCAACGAGGAAATTTGGCCAGTCGATTGTGTGCTCGTTTAGTGTTTTAAAAAGACCGTCTTTGAAAACTAGGTCACCGTAGCTGCATCGGTTGTGCTTAATCATCATATTACACTCTTCGAAAGGTACCATGAGTTGCTTTGAATTTGTTTCGATGTACCTGGCACCAAAGAGGTTTACCGGAAAGTATGATGTAGTTTGGACTACTTTACACAATGTGGCTTCTGAGGTGTAGGCGATGGAATTTGGTCGGTATATCGATAATTTCATTTTTTCGGCAGGTGCGGAATTGGATTTCAGAGTTGAAGTGCAATCAATTCTTGAAGGAAAACGATAGAATGATTCGGGAGAACCAGGAAGGCATAAGAATATATTGAAGGCGAAGGATTGTGGTATCAGGCCGGCACAGATGGCCAGTAATAATGCAAATTTAAATTGACTTACCGGCCGAACTGTGTTGATCCTTGGCTGATATGCTTGTGCGAGCTGGTCGTTGCGGAGTGTCAGCGCGTCGACTTGAGCGCGCAGCTGCGCCACTGTGTTCGTTGTATTGGCTTCGGCTGGCAGTAAACTTTGCACATTTGGACGTTCTTGCATGTAAGCTGGAGGTTGGAAGGCGGGACGTCCCACGGTTGCGCCGTTGTGCGGCAACTGCTGATTGGCTACTGGGTCGACTCGGGCATACTGTCTTTTCTTTGCCCAGCACTGGGTTGCGATGTGGCCTCTCTTTCCGCAGAAGAAGCAACTTAAGTCTCTTTTCTTTGAATGTGACCATCTGGTCGTATTCTGAGTTGAACGAAAACGGTTGTCTCTTTCGTTGGGGTTTAGTCCCTGTAAAAGGGCCACGGGCATCACCTGTGGGTTTACGGTGTTTGCCCGTGCCGCTTCCTGGAGTAAAATCTCATACCTGACTGCCAGCGTCTGAGCTTCCTCGAATGTTTTTGGGTTTCCTGATTTGACGTGGAATTTCACGTCGTAGCGCAGCCCGTCCAGAAATGCTTCGAGGGCTTTGAGTTCTCTCGGCTGATTGCAATGCGACGCCGATGCGAGCTTGCTGATCCTGGAAGCAAACTCGTCTACTGACTCACCGGTGTTTTGCTGGCAATTGCGTAGCTGTTGACGTGACACCTCCGCACGAATCGGATCCTCATATCGTGACTTGAGATAGTCACAGAGTTCTTCGAATGTGGTGTCTGGCCTGGTTTCCATTTGTTCTTCGGCTCGATCTCTTGCTGCTTCCGTGAGATATGTCAAGAGGAAGTTTCTCTTGTTTTCGTCCGACAATTCGGGTTTAATTGTTTTTGCTTGATCGTTGAAAGAGCGTAAAAATGAAGAGAAATTCTCCGAAGGTGCTCCGCTGAAAACATGGACCTGGGTCCCTGGTCTCATGCCCGGAGTGGCAATATTAATTCTTGGTGCGCTAGTTAGCCCACATGGTTGGTCGTTCCTCTGGTTATGCAAGTTACGCATAACCTTATGGGTAGTTTCGAAGTCGTTGACGCAAGCGTCCCGAAGTTCTTTCGCTTGGGCTCCTTTGATCGCCGCGTTATCGGCTAATCGCGGGAACACGCGTGATGTTGCGAGATGAAAAGTAGAAAGGTCTGTCAAGCTCTGAGTTCTTGACATCTGCAAGGCGTTGGTAGAAATCTTGCGTTTTTTCGTAAAATGGAATTTAAACAAAAATGTTAAACGGGGTTTGCAACGATAAAGATGACGGAGGAAAACGAGGCTGCACGGGTGTGACTCAGCTTTTGTTTATGATTAGCGACGAATAGTGTTCTGATGAGAGATGTTTAGAGAAGGTCAGCGTACATCTCGTATTGCGACTTTGCGCGGCTTTTTAAAAAAAAACTTTTTTTTTTTTTTTTTTTGAACTGAAATGAGAGGTTGAGACAGATGCTCAGCTTATTGTGCGACTCCATACGCACCTTTTTGTTGCTTCACTTTTTTTTTCCTTTTTTTTTTTGCAACAAAATAACCTGCCTGTGCCGGTCATCGGCTCGGCAAATTTTGATTTCTGGGTCCCTTGACCCGCGCGCCGCCCTTATAGACATTAAACCTCGGTCCGTAGACCCGCGCGCCGCCATCTCGGCAATTTTGATTTTTGGGTCCCTTGACCCGCGCGCCGCCCTTATAGACATTAAACCTCGGTCCGTAGACCCGCGCGCCGCCATCTCGGCAATTTTGATTTTTGGGTCCCTTGACCCGCGCGCCGCCCTTATAGACATTAAACCTCGGTCCGTAGACCCGCGCGCCGCCATCTCGGCAAATTCTGATTTTTGGGTCCCTTGACCCGCGCGCCGCCATCTCGGCAAATTCTGATTTTTGGGTCCCTTGACCCGCGCGCCGCCATCTCGGCAAATTTTGATTTCTGGGTCCCTTGACCCGCGCGCCGCCCTTATAGACATTAAACCTCGGTCCGTAGACCCGCGCGCCGCCATCTCGGCAATGCATGCAACACAAAAGTAATGGCCAATTACACTAAGTATACTAAACTAAAGGATCCTTTTCTCGCTCACGTTCGCTCTCACACAATGGCTCTCTTCCCTCCTTGGACTCTCAACTCGCTGCTACCAGTAAAGGGGTTAAAAAGCTGCCGTCCTGCCGAATAGTGGCGGGGCGGTGCTTCCCTTTATTTCTCACTCACTTTTAATAGACGTTAGCAATAACATAACGCTCGAAGAAAATACTGTTTTATTTCTTCATTAAAGTGGGGAAATCTCGAACAATTTGGAGGTGGATCGTGTTAGTGAGAGTTGGTAAAATCGGAGCCGGCATGTGCGACTCATGAAAGAAGGAAAAAGAGCCTAGATGGATAGTTATGGGGGTTTATATATGGTGCATTACAATCAAAGAATTTAATAAAGGATTCAATAAAGAATTTAATAATGGATTGATAAGGATTACATCAGCTTCCGGTCGCCCACGGCTTCCGGTGGAGCTGATGTATTAGATTAGGTTTTGCGATCGAACATGATGGGTTTTCCTTTACACCTATGTGCTGCCCGCTCCTTTTTCGAAGCTTCACTCGCTCATTTCCAAACATGGACGCTGAAATGAAATACTAATTTTTCAAGAAAAATTAAATAAACAGAATTTCTTTGATCCTATTTATTGAAATCTATGAATTTCAAAACGTGGTGTAATCACGGCCGCATGAACTCTGCGGACTTGCATTTTAATCTACGCCTATATATTTCAAAGTGCGCAGAAGTGGCGAGGTTTTGCCGAGTTGTATAGGGCCACGATGAAACAAGTATCGGATTATAATCAAAAAATCATTTTATTGGGCCCATTGCCATCAATTAACCCCCAAATTTCAACCCCTACCCCTGACTTTCCACCCCCATTTTTATGTTTCTACCATCTCTTTTTTTAAATTTTATTTTCCTTTCACCTCCGGTTTTTTCATACCGGGAAGATTTTCCGTTCGGGCCATTAAAATAAGAATAGTTCCACAACTATATAATTTTAAAAGAATATTTTTTTGTTCCCTTTCTTTTCTAATTTAATATTATTTTTCTAAAATAAATTTATATTTTTCAAATGTGTTAAATTGTACTAAAACGTTGAGCCTATTTGGCTGCCAATATTGTTTTTAGGTATTTGATTTGCGCGAGGCTTGCAAAGAATCTTGATAAAAAATTGCACAATTGGACTTTTGAAATATTGGAAATTGTGGGAATCGATTCACGCTTACGAAATTCGAAGTCTATCTGAACCTGCTTTTCCGAGAATAGTTCATTACTTGTTAAAAATTGCTTTCATAAGAATAGTTTACATAGCTTCTGAAAAATCAAAGTTAGACAACAATTCTACGAATCTCCTCTTGATAACTTGAATGGGCATTTTATTGAGTTCATTTTGCAATTTGAGAGATCAATTTAAAACAATTAAGCACCATTAAGCGTCCAATCCAATCAATACATATTTACAATCCTTCGATTCAATTCTTATTTCCCTCCTTGCATTGAATAATCGATCATTGACACCAATCCCATGAGGATTGGGCTGTTGGTCAGCAGCGAGGACATCTCGTCGTCCTGGTAGCTTATTGGCAGCGGCTCCATGTGATTCTCGCAGAGGAGTTCAAACTCGTCGCGATCTTTGACGATTCTTGGCTCGACGAGTTTTTGGAAATCTTCAAGCGGACAGAGTTGAAGGCCGTTGCATGGCTCCATAATGGTGGGAAGGTGAAGCGGCGAATCGCGGAACATCATCTAAACAAGGAATATTATATTCTGCTCATGATTGAACGAATGCTCACCTTCACAAATCGCCGACCGTCGACATTGTGAAGCTCGAAAATCACTGCAGACGCATATGGTGGAAGTTGGTGGCGCGAAACACCAAGATTGTAAAGAAGCGAGGTGAGAGTGGCATCATGGGAAGCGTACAAAGTGAATTTTCTCGGCGACCCAACGAAGTTTTTCAAAATCTGCCCGACAAGGTAGCCAGTTCGGAGTTTTGACTTCTCCAAAGTGTCGTAGGAAATCATTCGCGATTGTCTTTTGAGCTCGACGACCCGTCCCAATATTGTGCGATTCGCATGATCCGCCTTCGTCACCCATTCCGGCTGAGGCACATTGTTAACAAACTGAAACATGGTTTGAATTTGATCGGGTAATTAAATTGAATCAACTAATTACCTTTCGATAAAGCACGTTGTAGACATCTTCAATATTTGAGGCATCAACGTTCCATCCAGTGTTCTTTGAGAGAAAATTGAAAAGATCGGCGTGTTCGACATTCACAATTTCTCTCCATCTCTTTTTATCAGCTTGCGCTAGCCGTTGCGCCTTTTGGCACGGCACACTGTTGGGCTTCAGAAGAAGGTCCTGCTTGTAGTTCTCGTGGGTATGGATTGGGACACGCTCGCCGGGGAACAATGTCTCCATGACACCCATCGCTGTTTCGATGCATCGATCTTTATCGCTTGAGCGCACGTGAACCTGAAAAAGTCTTGCTGATAGAAAAAAAAAAACAATGCGATTGACAAGAAGTGCATGATAGTATATGAAATGGCAAAATTTGCATTCGAAAACAAAAAAAATCGAAAAAATGATTTCTGTGTGTTCACCGACACGCATTATTGCACTGTGCAATTTTTCCAATTGGATTAATGCTCTGATTTTTTTGTTTTAAAAACGAATTTCTCTTGATTTTTCAATTTTTTAATAGCAATTGTAATTTAAAATTAAATATAAAAATTATTTCGAAGCAAAAACGTCATAATTTTTCGTTGTTATCAGCATTTGATAATAAAAATATTGAAATGAGTCATCAAAAAATTATATTACCTGTTTTCTATCAAATCCTTTCAGGAAATCGACTTTCATCGCATATTCTTCACGAAGCCATTCGCCCAACTCTTTGGCCTGCTCAAAACCTTGCTCGGTGAGCTGCGAAAGGCCACGCGGAAAATATTCTTTGAGAATTTCCATATTGTCGTGAGGAAATGCAAAAGAAGGTGCACGATCGCCATGTCTAAAATGTTCGGGTTAGTTTGAATATGTTCAGATTAAACGAAATTACCTCATGATCACTTGAATCGATTCAAGTTCGGCGTTGACGGCCGTCAAAGCAGCTAACAGAATAGCGTATTGGAGCATTTCGTTTCGTTATTGTGAATTGCCGAAAAATGCTCGACACTGAGCCATATTTATATCATTGATGAGGAGCCCATCGAGACCACACCTCCACCATCTCGGGGCACCCGTCGTTGACATTCGAAAAAAAAGTGCACTGTGCTCGTCGAGCTGATAGTGAGTGAGACAATCAAAAATTTACGAGTGTCTTTCATCGACATGAAACAAACGTTCAACGTTTTCCTGTGTCATCGACAGAAGCCGAGACGTTTTTGATATCGAAACATTTTGTCCTTGTTTAGCGAAACAAAGAGCTACAAAATTCAATGATCAATTGAGAAAATTTTGAAGTACTGAAATGATAATGCTATTTTTCCATATGAGACCTATTCCGGCAATTCAAGTGATAAATCGCTCGTACCTAAATTTCTTTCGTCCTTTATAATAATGATGAAGTTCCTACGGTACAAGCAATAATACCAGTTTAAGAAGGAATATTGATAACATTTTCTTGTTAATGGAAAAGTCGAGAAAAATTACATGTAAGGAAACGGAAAGAATTTTTTGAATTATTGATTTTTCTATTTATGGATCTATTCATGAAATTTCAAAGAATCATGAAAAAAACGATATGAAAAAGCACTCATCGCAAGAAACCCAAAAATATAGTTCGAAAATCAAAGAAATAAAAATTACGACTGTCGCGTCAATAATTCGGCAAATTGCCGAAAATCAAAATTTCGGCTATTAAATGTTTCCAACGATAATTCGAAATATAAATACCGAATTTTCACGGTATCCCAAATTATTCAATGGACATTGATTTTTGTTTCGCCGATTTTTTTTGACATAAAATTGGCAATTCGGCAATTCCATTGTCGCACAGTCCTGGTTCGAATCAAATCCAAAATTTTCAATGTTTGATGACTTTATTAGGTGTTTTCTTTTTCTAGTGTTAGAAAACAAATTCCGAAATTAAAAATAATTAAATTCATCATTGCAGGATTCAATCATACCATCACATGACGTTGCTCATCATCTTCTTTTCATCAAGGTACGTTTTCGCATTTTCACGTGTATACGTGTTTATTTCTTCTAACAAAATCGTCAATCACATGCCCAATTTTGATAATTGATATTAGGGTCTCAAATGAACACAATAATACGGCATTGCGTTTCTTATCAGTTGAATGGTGCTCATTTTGAGCAACTGAATCGTTGTTTGATTTTAAAGACGGAAGTTTTATAGGTGTTTCCGGTGGACAATATGTTCAAATTGTTGCTATTTTTAGAATATATTTTCCATATTTAGTCATTTTTCTTGAATTTTCGCTCATGACATCATTATGAATTCCATTAACACCAGGTCTCAAAATTATCAGTCCGCTGATAATTAAAAAAAAATAATATTTCATTGTGATTCAAAATAGTAGCAATATTATGCATAAACAATTTTCCATTCGGTTGGCTGCTGGCAGTCGGCATTCGTGTCAGGACACAAGCGGTTGAATGTGGTCGTCGGCGGGAATCCAAGAATCTCGCGGTCTTCTTGAATTCTGAATGAGAATGTCGATTCATGGCTTCCAGTGAAGAAGCGCGCATGAGCACAAATCCACTGAAATTCACAATATTTGAGGATTCGCGTGTCGTCAATTTTGAGAACCTGGTCAATGATGGCAATTTGACCATCATTAAGCATTCCGGTTTCGTCAGAAAATCGGAAAACCTCCAAATTCTCGTCTAGATGCGATTTCATCTCATCAATTTCTCGTTGTGGTGCATCTGTAGCCAAATAGACCTTCGACAGTTCCAATTTTTTGCTAAGTGAGTTAATCTGCAATTTGGAAATGATGCTAGTCGAGATGTTAAGCTCCGCCTACTAGTTTAGCGGTTCCCTTAATTGATGGAAGCTCATTACTTCGAGCATTGACAAAGTCACGCCGCCTCCAATGCACTCCAATATAGGGACCACCGATAGCATTTCGTCTGAAAACGGTTTCAAGTTGCCTTGTGATTTGTGTCGTTTTATGTCTTGTGTTCTTTCCATTCTTTATTTTGTTTCTTAACGATGAGCAATTGATGGAGCAATTTTGAAAGGCATATAATAATGAAATCAATATTTGTGAATAAAAATATGTGTATCTTCGATGCGATTTAATAAATTTAGAAGTAGGCACTTTAAAATGGTCTTTAGCGGATTTCAAACATTTTTCAATTTCTAGAGAATTTAAAATTTTAAAAATTATTGAGAATCCTACAGTACACATTAAAGGCGCATGAAATATTTAAAATCACTATTCCTCACTCGAGCCAATTCTACAATTCTTTTTAACTGACTCAGTTATAGTTGGAAAAATTCTGAATCCAATGAGTTTTGTCCAAAGTCGCAATTTTGCAAACGAAAATATAATGCTGAAAAATTGCATGCTTTGTCGATACTTAAAGTATCAAAAACGTTCTACCAAAATTTTCAGACCGAAATTTTTTTAGTCTTTAAAATCTGTGCAAATTCTCGACAATTCGATGCGGCGAATTGAAAAAATTTCAGATTTTTAGAATTTTTGCGAATAGTTTAATCTGATTAAGAATATTTCGGAATTACTAATTGAGCCAACTTTATGACCTTGCTCGTTCCTTCGTCCAATCTTGCTCCATGATCGTCTTATCCATTCGATCCGTCGATTCCAAAAACTTCTCTCGGAATTCGTTACCAATCGCTATCAGCAGCTCACTGTACCTCATACTTCGTCTCGCCCTCCAATAGTCAACCTCACCGTAATGCTCATGAAGTACGGTTTCAGCTCGATCGATCATTATAGACGTTCTGGAATAAGTTTGATGATTGAAAATCGATTTGAAAAAATCGCCAACGAATCGCTAAAATTGCTCAGAATCATTCGTTTCAGCGTCTCCGAATCGCCTTGAAACGAGACGCACTTGAAATTCTCGGCGCGAACTTGTTCGTAGGAGAAAAACCAGCTTTTCCTGAATTGTCCATGTGCGATTTTTTGATTTTATTGACGATTCGCACCATGTATTATCACTTTGCTTCTTGTAAAATCGATCCGATGGCGGTTGGCACGGTCGCTCGTCGAATTTCCGGACAAACTCCGTTCCCCAACCCTCGGCGTAATGTTGAAGGTAGACGACCGCGTCGATTCGATCATTTCCAATTTCTGCAATTTTCGCTACGCAATAACCGACCGGCTAGGCCGCGTTTGTACCGTTGAGGAATTCGTCGAACTCAACAACCGGCACGAATCGATTGAGGCTCTCGACGTCGAAGAACATCGCCCACGGGAGTGCGAGCTCGTGTCGATCCCAATGGAACAGATTGCCCCACGGCGGAAGGACAAGAATGAAGTTTTCGCCTAACCACAAAAAACGAGGGATTATTGAAATTTCGCGTCAAGACCCAAAAAAAACCCGCGTCACGCAATAATCGGACGGCGTTGGCGATTCTCATATAAACGTCGCGTCGCAAATTGAATCCCTCGCCGGGATTGCACTCGTAGATCAAAAATCGCCGTGATTTCGCCAATGAGAATTGTGAATGATCGACCTATAAAGAAAAGAGAGGAAAAGCTTAGAAGCGCTTCCCCATTTTAAAAAAATAATCGGACCTTTGATAGTAAATCGTTGGGACCATCGATATCCGACTCGGCGAACACCATCAAAATTGGTAAAAACGCTAGAAAAACCCGCATGATTGGCCTAAATTTAAACGCGAAATTTTCAAACAAAAAAAAGCCAAGCAATAGGTAAATCTATTTGGAGATTCCCTTAAAATTGAAGACGTTGCATAATAAAAATCTATTTTTTAATGTCATTATAGATATGTATATTCACATTAAACAAAATTAAAAAAAAAAATCATACTCATTGCACATTGAAAACAAGAAGAATTTTTAAAAACAAATTTTTGAACCGGGCTCGAAATTTAAAGCTCTATGTGTTTGTGTATAGGGTAAAGGGGAGGAAAGAGGGGGGGGGGGTTAAAAAAAAAGATGGAAAATTTATACAGGAATATGCAAATGTTGTTGAGAATCTGATCATTTTCTATTTTCCTTTGCCTATAATGCCGCTTTTCGACATTGGTATCCCGTTTGCGTGCGTATGCGCTCTTGGCAGCGTAAAATTGTTCTAAAAATTTCATCATATAATTTCTATTTCAACCAATGTTTACCATTGATGTGCTTGTTGTACAAAATCCTGCGTTTAGCATTGTTGCTGGCTCGTCGGTGGATATCGCTGCAATCTCAAACTTGCGAAATGTCCGCAGATGGATTCAAATTTTTTTATTTTAGTGTTTATATCCTTTTCTACATTTCATATTATTACATTCGCAAAAAAACGAGCATCCTGTGTAGATTTAGAATTCACCGGTTATCCGTAGTATGGTGGTCGAATTCTCATGTTTTTTTTTTTAATTTTAATTATCACCTATCCAAGGAGCTCGTTTTTTTGCGATACTCCTTGGTTTAAAAAAACTTGAGAAAATTTCTGCTTTCATTTGAGTTTTAGTAAGTCCATTCGTTTTCTGCTTATTCCATTTTTGTCAAAAAAAAAAAAAGCCGAGAAGCTTCTCCCAACAATTGTAAATTATATTTTTAGTACATGCGCATTTAAACATCTAGAGTAGAACAAATCGCTTACACTGCGACATTGCTCGTTGATGACTAGCATTCGTAAAAATCTCCTTGGCCATTTTCATTTTTTGAATCCAACTGAAAATTTTCCAATAAAAATTATTAAATTTAATTGCGGATCGATAGAAAATGTAAATTACGCACTTTTTCAAATCGGACGAACTCAAACACGAAAAATGGTGTTCCATCGGAGAGCACGAGATGCGAAAAATGCTGGAAAAAAATCGCGACAATTTTCTTGAAGAATCAGAACAAAGAAAATCTCGGGCTCACTTCTTTTTCGACGTCTTCAAATCCGTCGAATCCGAGATCACAGCTTTACTAAGATTTATGATAATGTCGGGTCGTTTTGACTGAAATTGGCAATTGTTAAAAAAACACACATAAAAATTTTCTTACATATTGATTATTATATAATAATAGATAATGTCCTCGAAGGCACATCCAACATTTTGGCCATTTATTTGTCACCTCATTCGCGCTTAATTCCGCTCGAGTTTTTCTTAAATTCAACATTTCATTAAAAAAAAAGGACAAATTTTCTTTTTTCAAATACCTTCGTTTCACCCATCCTTCAAACAGTTTCTCCATGGCCGCATAATTTGCGACACCGGGGCTTCCGGGAAGCTCGTCGGGCGTCGGAAGATTTGGAAACTCGCCAAGTCTAAAATCGACAAGCAAATTGCAACCCAAAACAACTCAAATATTCATTCTACCCGGGTGTCATTCGATTGAAATGCGCCGGACTGCTCACGCTATTCATTGAGGACGTCGACGGGCTTGGAAGCACACCAAAATTCGCCTCTTCGACCGATGACGTCATTCGACCGCCGCTGACACGACGCGGCGAGTCCAAGCCGGAGAGGCCCGACGTGTTCGGAGCGCGATAGCTGGGAGCCACGTATTCCTTTAAACAAGAGAAACATATGGTATGCGCCTTTAAAACGCCGGCAATAGTATATTTTGTCTACCTGGAATGGTGCCTTCCAATCGTCGTCGGTGATCTTGGGGCTCGGAATATTCATTCGAGCGAGCTCGTCGCGCTCAACTTCCATGATCACCGCGAATTCGGTGGGACATTTGACGTTATACGGCTGCTGATCGTTCACCACATCGTCCTCGATATCGCAAACGAGCTTGTTGTCGATGAAGCTTCGAACATAGCCGTCGGGCTGATGGCGCATGGTTCTTGTTCGTTTCGCAATTCTTGGAATTAGCGCTTCCTCCTCGCCGTCGACACTCACTTGACTGTCTTCGGCTCGTTGGAGCTCGTGTCGCGGTGCTCCCGAAGCGATCGAAGCTCGTCGAAGTTCGTCGCGTTTGCCGGTGTTCTCTTTGACCACTTCCGATATCGTATGATAGGATCTGTGGCGGCTGATCGGCGTCGCTTCCAAATTCGTGAACGGATCGCCGGCAGGATCGGTCGAATAGATTTTCGCCGATTGACTCGCTGGCGACATTATTCGAATCGCCAATTTCGACGATTTCAACAATTGCGGCTCTTTGGGGCGCCGCTTCACTATCAAATTCAGTTCGGTGGTGCCGAGGGCGCCGATGAGCTGCGCGACACTAGTAAGATCCCATCCGATAACCTAGAATTCCATATAATCAGAATAATGCAAGAGACGAAGCTCACCGCTCGTTTATTGATCACCAGGATCTCGTCACCAGCGTCAACCTTGGTGCAAGCATCGGCTGGAGATCCATCCTTTATCTCGCTGATCACGTGAACCCCACGAAATGAGGATTGGATGTTGAGACCCTTAAACGGAGACTAATTAAGAGTATGAGGGCGCAAATTCTTACCCAATTAATCGAGTCCGACTTTCGTTTAAGTGTTGCCGTCTCATTATATGTTCCATAGATGACTAGAGGATCAGACGAATCGAAAATCTTCATACATTCGGTGCCAAGTGTTTTGGCGAGCTGAAAATTTGAAAAAAAAAGTCAATGCCAATAAAATGATTTTGAGAAAATCAAAATGAAACTCACATCAATTATATGGGTGCCCGTTTCAAATAATGCTTTTGGTTGAACATTGACATTTCGCAATAAATTCCACATCATCGACGAGATTTGATTTCGCATTTCGATGTATTGGGGAATATCGTCGAATGGGGTCCTGAAATTGACTGGCCATGGATTTCGGCATTTTTTTTTTGACAGACCTATCAAGCCAGAAAACTAGACGTTTGACGTTATCGGAGAGCTGAAGGACGGCGCTTGAGACCCTATTCAGAATATTGACAATATCGGCGCGACGGTTGGCGCGCTCGCGCATTCGCATCGCTGATTGCATGGTTTTCTCCAAATATGTACATGAATTGATCACTCGATGCGATATTCGTTGAAGGCTCTCGGCTTCCGATTCGTGGCACTTTAAGCTTTTTCGGTATTTTTCAGCATCATTTCAAAACGGGTCGACTTACAAAATACAATAAAAGCGACACCGCTTGCAAAATGGTTTTTCGCGCTCCCAAACCGGAAATGCCGATTTTCTTGAGCGTTTCATCATCGAGACATGATAGTTGGCGGCCGCTTCGCACATTTTGCCGAACGATGCCTAAATATGGGTTCATTTCTTCGCCGAGGCCTTCGATCCATTGCATAATCTCGCGCGGTTTCCAAAAGTCGACAAATTTCGACATTTGGAACTTTTGCTCGTACGTTGATGAGAGCATTGGGCTGCCGGCGCGAAAGCCGATACCCGGCGATGGGACTGAAATTGAATTATTGTTGCTGCGGACATTTTTCCGGAATGATTTTATGATTCTAAACTGTCGTCGAGTACACATTTATGTTGTTGAGAAATTCGTAATAAAAATTTATGGTATTTCGAATTTTGTAATAAAAACCTCAAATCAACATTGAATAAAATAGATGTTAATTGGCGGAGCAAATTTTTTTCAGAAAATTTTTCGAGACGAACCTGCATTAATTGAATTGAATTGGCCGAGGGCGTCGAGCGGCGTTGACGAGAAGCCCATCGTTGATTTGAACATACCTTCAGAATCAGCTTTGCCGCGTTTTCATGCTGCAATCGTTGCGTTTAATTGTGCGCACGCCAATTTGAGTGCGAGATTCTCGGAGGTTGTGCGCAACGCGAAAAAAAAAATAATTGATGTGGCCGAATTTTTGCGCGCCATACGGCCGCGGCCGTCACCAACGTTTGTTTCTCATTCTCGCGGATTTTTGGCACAATTTCGCCGTCGCCTCCGCCGATTATTGCATTACGAATCTAATGGACGAAGACAATGGCAATGAGATTTTCAAAGCATTCACGAAGCACAACGTTGAATGCAATGTTTCGGGACGCGCGCGTGTCACTTATAAATGCAAAACGTACACGGCCGAGGTAACGCTCACGCTAATTAATCACAATAATAATAATGGTCTGGGTTGCCTCCAGGTGCTGCTCCATGGAAACGTGCTATGCGTCGATGAGCTGACGACAACATCTGTTCCAACCGCGAGTGTTCCACTAATATTCGTCCTCGAGCGAGCCACCATCAAACGAGAAGACGGCACCACCAAATTCGTCGTCGCGTTTTCCGATCCGACCGAGAATATCGAGATTGAAGTGGAAACTGACGAGATTCGCGAAGAGTGGATGATCAAAGTAAAACATTTTTGTTTATTTATTTTATTTTTTTCATTTTTTGTTTTGATATTTCCAGATGGCCACATGCTCTCATCAAATGGCGATGGCAGAACTTGACGAAATCGCATATAAATTCTATACAATGTCCCCCTCATTGGTAAGATTTTGATGGAAATAAGTAGGTTGTCTGAATATTAAAAAAAAATGATTTAAATTATTGCTAATAGAAACTAATACACTAATAGCTAATTATAGCTTTAAAATTTTTTTCAATTTTCAGAGTAACGACGAGACGTTTGACTCGAAAATTTCGGCATTCCAAAGCTTCTATCTCACGTCACCCATCCATATTACTCACAATTTCGCAATCTCGCAACAAAACAATCTTCCCGCTCGCCGAGTTGTCGTCGATGAGACACTTTGGGAGACGAAACTCTCATTAATAATTCCCAAAGAGATCATCAAATTCAATAAGAAGATTGTGAAAGAGTTTGCCGCGATTCTCGAGTCGCGTCAAAAGACGTGGCCCTATTCGGTGATACCGGCGCTTCATGAAGTCCTTCGGCAACTCCGCGAGCTCGCCGAGACCTATGAGCAGTGTCTTGAGTTTGTCGACGCCTACAATGGACCATCGTTTCGAAAATCGATTGAGAAGCATCGCGTCGCTTTTGGAATGGTCCCGACAAACCTGCATGTGCACTCATATGAGATTAATTCGGGCGATCGGCGAGATTTCATCACGGCTGGAACGGCTTCCGCAATTCCATTTCGTTATAATGTAAAAATGCTCTTAGAACATTGCATTTTAATTGTTTTTTTTTTTCAGAATGGCGGTCTTCAAAAATTGAACTCGCAGCTTGAGATTGAGCCATATAATACGGACTACGGGTTCTGGAAAAAACGGCAAACCATTATGGAATTGAAGAAAGTTATCAATGAGCTTAGCCATAAGTATGTGAATTTCCAAAAACAAAAACAACCTATTAGTATATTTTCACAATTTAGGATTGAACGGGAATGGAAAATCGCAGACTTTGGAAAACCTGACAATGTTTGCTTGCAGATTCACTCTGGTGTCAAGCAGGTAAGGTGTACGGTAGATTGAAAAGTCTGCAGTACACCGAGTGCACATTTTGATTTGAATTTTCAGAAATTAATTTTTTAAGGTTTATGAAGGTCTTAAAGACGCGATTAATGGCTTCACCGACATCGACAAATGTTCGGAAATTCTATTGGAAGAAGAAAAACGACTTCTAGGCGAAGGGCTAACGGTTAATTTCAATCATTTCGCCGAAACTCATAATTCGATAGCTTTTCAGACTCTTGAGAATCGTGTGTACGACAACATCCAGAATCAGATTGATCGAATTGATGCGATGTGTCTGAGTCTCAACACGAAAATCGCTGCGATTGACACGCTGAATGATTCGAAACAGGAGCGCGAGAATGTTGGAAAGAACACGAAAGAGGCGATGGGCGCCTGTTTGGATAATTTGCACATGTTGGCTGATGCAATTTTGGAGTCGCAATTATTTTCGCTTGGTGGGTGGTGTAGAAGAAATAAAGAAAAATGGATTTTATCAAGAACTGAAGAAAGAATGAATAGAAGAATTTTTGATTTTCAAAAATTCGAAATTGTTAGATTTTCACATGAAATAGAATAATATTTTAGTTATCAATGTTCACCGACGTCTCATTTCTCATTCCTATTTCCATATTTGGATACGCACAGATTTTGCATTGTCGCAGGTACGCGGAAAAAATCGATTTCAAATGTGATCTTTATAATATTTTCAGGCGATTACAATTGCAACAACTGCAATATTAAACAGAATTCAGAAGAGGAATGAACCATTCACAAAAGGTATACAATTAAGAAATAAATCAATTTTGCAAATTGATGATTTTTCAGACCTTCTTCTTGTCGTTTTCTCGTTCTTATCAGCGTATGGAGATGAGAAGGGAATGATTGAAGACGCTTGCGAGGTTTGCATCATTCAATTTTCAAAAAAAAAATAGAAAATATTCTAGGCATGGAAGGCGCTAGAGCAAAGGGTTCGATTTCGTCTCGTGCGCGCACCATCGGCAGTCTGCCGAACTTGCATTCCAATGATTCAAGGATCACGAACCAACATGAGGGTCTCGATTCCGTTGCCCCACGAAGTTTACGACAGTCTTCCCGATGAAACGAAGTGGACGAATGATTTCTCGGTGATGCCGGCCTATTTCAATATTGGGGTGAACCATGAAGCCACTTTTGGGCAATCGTTCGGCGGAATTGCTTTGGAAACGGCAATTAATCAAGAGGCGGCGGAAAAGTGGCGAATTTCATTTTTTTTTTCTTTTTGAAAATTCAATGAAATGAGAAATTCAGATTAAATATGTTCGCGAATCGAAATGATTCGTCGTCGAGATCACGTGAAGCCGTCATGGAAGTTGTCAACGAGGTTTCGCGAGAATCGTCGAGAAAAAATATTGCGATATTCGAATGGGCGATGACGGCCTGCGATCGGCTCGGCGGCGAATCGGTGATCTCGTGCAAGAGCGGAAAAGATCGAACCGGAATGGCGGCGACGATCGAGCAGGGTCGTGTTCTCAAAGAGACGTGCGGCTTCAATGGGAATCAGTTGGCCGAGGTGATCAATTCGCTTCGCAAAGACGGCGTGAGGCGCGAGAATTGCCGAAAGAATGTTGGCCGGCCGGTTTACTCGTTCTCGCCGTTCCAAATGCACTTTTTGCCGAAGGTATTTTTTTGTTGTTTCGACCACAGGTCCCCATTTTGAGATTTGCAGACATTTCGTCCACCATCGGGCACCTATTCGCAAGGTGTCTCCAGTTAATTATTATTGCCTTGGTTTTATCTCACAAAAAAATGGGTGATTTTGTATTTTTTTTTAACGAAAATCTCTTAAACACACTGATATTCATATTTTATGCATTGTTTCTTTTTATTATGACTCGCTTACCGGATATTTGCCTTATTTCTGATTAGTCCTCTGTGTTATTGTTGTTGGTGTTGATTTTTTTTTCTCGGACCAAACACGCGATATATTTCGTGCATATCTCTTGTCTCATGCTTTCCACAACAACATCATCATCATTATTCTCATAAAGCTTCGTTCGTTCATTCCTGACATGGAATTTGTGTGTTTGGTCGTCATGGCAACAGCCGGACGTCTTCGTTTCACTCCCCTCGCGTCATTTTCCATTTCACCGCCCATATTTGGTTTTGGTTATTCGTTTCGAAATGGAGAAGCACATTGGTGAAGAGGTTTGGCAGGATCGCGAGATTCGATTCGATGTCGACCACAGGTAAATAATAATAATCGCGTCGACAATGATGATACCGAACTCATTTGAATTTAGACTCTTGAGACTTATTAACGGCGAGGTGCAAATTGCGAAAATGGAGCATGTTGAGGACACGAAGGGCAACAACGGGGATCGAGGTAGGAGGCGGGGGGGGGGGAATTATAATTAATTAATGGATCTGATAATAGGCACGATGAGGGTGACGAATTTGCGGCTTGTTTGGCACGCCGCCAATATGCCACGTATCAATATAACGATTGGATGGAATTGTGTGACTGGTGTGCAGACACGACAAGCAACATCGGTATAGTCAATTTCTGAAAAACAAAATGAAGCCATTAGAATTGATCGCCTCAAGAGTTTTCCGGTTTTTGAATTATCTAAATTTAGAGGCATTGGAAAATATTAAAAGCGCTTTCCAAAAAAATGAGCATTATATGTTTTAATTTAAAAATTTTGTTTGAAAAAAAAACCTCTGAGAATTGTCTCGCAATTGCGCTTGCGAATAATATTTATTTATTTATTTAGAAGCAAAAAAAACAATTTGCAGCTATCGCAGAAGAATCGTGGTGCTTCGTGTGAGGCGATCTATGTTCTCGCGAAAGTGCCCTCGTCCACAACGAAATTTGAGTTTATCTTCACCGCTCTTAATCCGATTGTGAGCAATTTAATTTTTTTTTGTTTTATTATTATTATTAGTAGAACATTTTTAAAGGCGCATTCCAAGTTGTTCAACACGATATCGTCGATTAATCGAGCGTATGAGACGACGAAACTCTATAGGGAGCTCAAAATGAGAGGCTCATTGATACGCGAGGATGGCACTCTTCGTTTGCTTCCTCAAGAGTTCCTTTGCGAGGAGGTGCGAGGCGTTTGGAATTTGTCGACGGATCAGGGCAATCTTGGCGCGTTCATTATCACCAACTGTCGGGTGGTTTGGTTCGCCGAGCTCAATCCGCTCTATAATGTCTCGGTGCCGTATTTGACGCTCTACTCGTGCCGAGTGCGCGAATCAAAATTTGGTATGGCGTTGGTTCTCGAGACGACATCGAATGTAATAATGAGTTGACACAAAAATAATCTAGTTTGGTCTCATCGTTTCAGAGTGGCGAGTATGTGCTCGGATTTCGGATTGATCCGCCGGAGAGACTCCAAACGACATGCAAGACGATTCAGTCGCTTCATAAGGCCCATTTGATCAAGCCGATATTTGGAGTGACTTATATTAGGGAGAAAGGAGAGGTATGGTCCAATTGACTAGCTAGGATCGTAATGGATTGTTTAGAAGGTTGAGAATCGGCCGAAGGATGCCGATGAGCCGATTACTACGATTGACAATAATGAGGACGATGTGGAGTTTGACAATCGTGGCGTTCGGCCGGATCCGTTTGCGGTATTTCTGATCCTTGGATCAAGAAAGCTGATGGAATTAATTTTAGGCTTACTTTGATGGTGGATATGCTGGATCGGACGACAAGAAGGCACCGGTGCTCAGTGGGGAGCTCGGATTGGCGATTGAACCGATTCGCGAGGGATTCACTTTGGCCGATCTCTGGGCGATCCATTTGGATTAAATCAGCATTACTAAATGAATATTCAATTATTGTCTTTTTTTTGTGTGCGTGCGTGTGTGTGATTTTTGGTTTTTATCCGATACTTTGAACGTCTCCTTCGATTTTGGGAGATTCTCGAAAATCTTTAGACATGGTTACGGTAATTTTCGCGGAATCGCAAAAAATTGAAGATCACATGTTTGCAAAAGCAATTCAATGGGCCGATGAATGCCCTGATGATGAGATCTATTGGATCAGGGATCAGGCATTGGAAAAGTGAAGCAGAATCATGGAAACAATATTTGATTGAAATTTTTAAGAGTTCCGAATGTTGACGTGGATTTGTCGGGCAAAATGGATGCCCTTAAACGAATCAAATTTATGTATAATCGGACAAAAGCAAGTGTGGTGTAAGTGTGATCGAAAGAAAAATGAGATAGAAAGTCCAACATCGTAATTGCTAGATGTACGAACATGGCTCTCGACGAATCCGCCGACGTCGCCGCCATCCTCTGCTCGATGCCGAAATCAATTCGATGCGATCAATTTGGTATTTGCCTGGCTTCATTGGCGCATTTTTGTAATCGCAATGGTGGAAAAGCGGTGGCGGTTGTGGAATTGTGGAAAGAAGTACTATTCGCATGCAACCGCTAGATATTTATTTTTCCTTTTAGGATGAAATTGTCAATGTTAATGATAGTGCTCGACTCTGGGAGTTGGGACCAACGAAACCTGAACCCGACGAAGAAAAAGCGGATGGATCGGATTCCGAGCGCGACGAGGCGGAATTCAGCAGAAGCCGATTGGAACGACAAAAATTGATTGCCACGATTTATTCGTCGAAAATTTATACATATGACGGCGCGGTGTTCGAATCGATTCGTCGAATCGACTAATCACTCGCTTCCATCGCGACGCTCCTCCAATTTGGCCAGCCATTTGCGACGAAGAATCTTGAATTTGGTTTCGTTTGGTTTTCGCGTACAGATAGGTTTTTCGACAAAGTCAAACCTTGATTTGAGTTGTCGAGAATGATTGCCGCCGACTGCACGGACGAAGTGTGCACTGAGCATCGCAAGGATTTGGTGTGTACGGTGAGCAACAGCAATAGCATTTTCCGTTGATGCTAGAATTTAACGAAAACATACGTATGAAACGTGAGAGAGAGATGTAGCCGAGTGTATTTTGTAGTATTGTGACGGTTTGTTTTGCTATCAAATGATCAGCAAAACGTACTTGATGGGTCTCACCTAATGCAATTCAATGGCTTCAATGCCCAAACTTGATCGCGAATTGTCGGCGGCACGAGGGCTCCGAGGAAATCGACGGCGCTTGTATGCCTCGGCGGCCACACCCGACACAATCCCGTGTTCTCGTCGTAGGCTTGCGGTGTCATCGCGCACGCCTTCTTCTCGGTTGGAAGATCGCAGATGCGATCAACAACGCCGAACGAATTGCCGCTGAAAATGATCGATAGTGGGCGTGCGTGATTCGAGTGCGTTACCCTTCGACATAGTCGCACCTTGGCGAGCACGCGACCTGAACGTTGCACATTCCGCAAGCTTCTGCGGATTTATTGAAGAGCTCGGCATAGTCCATCACCTTTTGGACGATCGGGTTGCCGATTCCCGTGATTAGCTTGAAGAATTTGATTGAATTGGACTGGATTGGATTGAATAGACGAGACATACCGACATATACCTATTCTGGTAGCATTGTTGGGGTAATCGATGCCAAAATGAGCGATCCGATGTGCTAGAAATGTTTGTGATTTTCGATTTGCTAACGAATTTCGTTTGATTACCTGAAACACGGACCGTATTCGCTCCAATCGTGACAGTTCGACGTTTTGCCGGCCTGCGAGACGGATGAGAACGCCGAAGCGAGAAACGCGTCGGCTGTCGGTGGTCCGACGAGCGAAACGACGAACGCGGCGGCAATGTAGAGCACAATCATTTTTGCGCGACGCGTCTGTGACGGACAACGATGTGAATCGGCTTCGACGACGAAGCGAAAGTGACGAATTCGGATTGATATGATTTTGGAATGAAAAAGACGAGAGAAATTTGAGGGGTGGTTGGCGAGCGCGACGATCTCTTGTGGCGGAATTGATGGATGATGGGAGAATCATACACAAAAACGCGATCAGCCGGAACCCACTGCAACACAGTTTTTTTTGTTCATTTTTTTGGATTGGGGATTCGTTTTTATATAACGATGAGAGTTAAAGAATATGATCTTTGTAGTGTTCCATTATTTTCCGTAATATTTTTTTTTTTCGATTTCACAATTTTTTAGAATTTTTTGGGTTATAGAAAATTATAGATCTTAAGAATTTGTCAAATCATTCCAATAGTGGCCTAATTAGTTTAGGTAGCTTCTCAAAAAAAAAATGGATCGTCACAAGACCCAGATAATCGGTCTTCAATCAATGCTTTTTTTAATTTAATTATAGTCGGCGTCCGGCTACTGCTGTACACGGATCGATTTACGCGCGTGCGCCTTGAAAAGGTCTCGCCACGTCACGTGAACGACTTATTTTTTCTTAATGATTTTCGCATTTCCTCGAATTTCCAAGGTAATTCGTTTAAAAAATTATCGATACGACCCATAAAATGCGAAATAACCTGTTAGTCCGTGCGAGACCATTTCGAAAGACGCTTTCCCGTAAATCTACCCGCGTACAGCACAGCGGTCACCGGACGCTGACTATATCAAATTTTGATGGGAATTTTTACGGTGCGCTAAAATTGACGCCAAACTGCACCAACACTTTGTCCAAAAAAAAAAGCGGGTCGGGTCTCGTTTGGAAAGAAAGATTTCAGATTTACGCTGAAAAGCGCGAATTTCCATTAAATCAAAAAATATTTTTGGTTACAATGGAGCTTGGTGGGTCTTGAAGCTACTGGAAAAAAAAGGGTTTTTGTTCAAATGTTCTTTTAAAAATTCGATTTTGCTACGATGCCAGAGAGAGAAAATTGCTTGAACTTTTCCATTTCTGCTGCAATCCATTCAAATTTTCTAGAATATTCGGGTCATTTTGCCACCGGAAATAAATATTTAAATATTCTTTATTATTTTAATCATATATTGAAAATAGTATATAAAGAAAAACTGAAAAATAGTTGAATTTTGAAATTTCAGAATCGATGTCGCCTCTCGAAGTTCATCAGGTGCCACGAATTCCGCGAATCTACAAAGGTACACTTCTCATATTTCATTAAGTCGTCCGCCCCCTCAAGACCAAATGCGTTGCTGCTCTTTCAAAAATGACTGGCTGTTTTCAATGAATTCACGCGTTTCGCATTGGAGCGCGTTTGCTCGCCGTCCTCGAAAAATTGTGTTGTGGGGCGATGAACAAAAAAAAATGTTTTTTTTTGTTGTTGTTGAATGCGGCGATGAAGAAGAGGGTGTGTGTGTGTGCGCGAGACAAGCGAACACTACAAATACACACAAAACGAATAGGCCACAATGGGCGCCACGAAAATTGCGACGACGACGACGACGAGGACGATGATGATGATGAACGAGACAAAGTGAAATTGGGCGGAGATTCGACGCGCAGGTTCTAATGGATGGATCAGACGAGAGCGTCGCCGTCGCCGCCGCACTCAATTTCAAATACAAATATACCGTACACCACACTTTCGACCCTTTTCATTTCCGATGATGCTGCCTCGCCGTCTGTCTCGCCATCATTTCGATGTTTGTATTGCGTCGTCGCCCCGTATAAAAATGAGTCATGGAATTTTCGAACTGGTTACTGTAGGGCGCAATTTTTGATGGTGTTTGCGGAATTTGAGTTTGGGCGAAAATTTGGTGGTTTTTTTTTCGCTCAATTATATTATAGACTTCTGGGAATGTTTTCCGTTTTTTTTTCGATACGGATTAGAAATTGTATTCTAAAAGTGATGGGAAACAAGAACAGCGAGTGAATTGCAATTATGGCCAAAAATGTTATCATGGTACTGTAATTTTTAAAACTGTGCAATTGTACGTCGGGTGTATGAACATTAAAACGGATGATTAAAATTTTTCTCCTAATTCTTCAAATTTGTTGATGTTTTCAGTTAAATTTTGCAAATTTTTGCATGACGCGCTTATTTCAGTGGTCCTTGAGCATGGTTCCGAAGAAAATTTCGCCGAAATTACTTAGAAATGATCAGAATAGCGGCAAAATGCGATTTTGAAAAACTCCAATGAATAGCATGTTTTTGATTGTAAAATATGCCATTTTTATTGATTACTAATGCTTTGAACTCACTAGTTTTTGCGATTAATTCGTCGATGAATGCAAAATGTATTCAAAAACGATATCATTTTCATTTTCATATAAATTTAGCGAGTATTTTTGTTGGTTTCGAGAATTCTGAACAATCGCAAATTGTTGTAAAACGTCAGAAATCGCGTAAAAGTAATATGTAACCGCAAATATGGCTTTCTCGTTTTATTGCCTCGTAAAATCGGATTTTTACTAATATATGTGCGTTATAGTACGCAATGCGACCGAAAACGTTGAAAAAGAAATTAGCAAAAACAAGACGGAACCAGAAAACGCATTGTTTCCCGTGTAACGACGAAGGGGAAAAAAGGAAGAAGAATGAATGAATTTCCAGTATAGGGTCGCCGTAGGAGAAAGGTCATTTGTCGAAAAAAAAAAGTTGAAAATTCGCGCTAGGACCCCTCCTTTTTTTTGTTCTTCCCTTAATAAACGATGAATATATGCAACCGGCCACTACTACTAACTAACAACCAGCCAGTAACACGCCGCCGCCGACGCTGACAACAACAACAGAAAAACTGGCATTCGATCGATAGGCAAGACGCAGAAAATGAGGGATTGTCGTTGTGCAAATAGCACGGCGTGAGGTTAGAGACGCAGAACGAGCGCGCGCGCGCACGCACGCTCTCCATCTCATTCGGACCCCCCCCCCATCTCCTCCCTCCCTCTCTTCTTCTTCTTTTCCAATTCCAACACACACTGCGGTTTGCTGCTGTTTTTCGCGTCGTCGACACAGCTGGGATTTTTGTCGATGTGCTTTTTCGTTTCCCTCTCCCGTCATTGTCAAAACATTTTTTTTCCACCTTCCCGCCGTTTTTGGCCCATTACGGTAACTCGCGCCAATTCATCATCATTCACGCCCACTTTTTTTTTGCTCATCCACACAAAACGCGGGATTGGTTTTATCGATTTTTTTTGGTTTTCGTGTGAAAAAAAATTCAGGATTTGAAGAAAAATGACGGGTCTTGTTTATTTTTTTCTGAGAATTGTTGATCGGGGAAGGTGTAAAATTTGAAAACGAAATTGGCCGCCAGAAAGCGTAACATTTGTCGGTTTTACGGTCGAAATCGAATTTGGCCTTGAAATGAGTGCCGATAAAACATGCTTGAAAGATTTTGCGATCGCCTGTTTCTGTTCTTTTTTTGGCTCGTTTCCACGTGTCTCGGGACATTTGTGAGATTTTCGCCTAGTTTATACATGGTCTTCATCGTCTGTTTGCTTTATCGATTGGATTTTGTATGTCGCCGTCCAGCAACGAGTTGAATTCGAAATTTTGTCATTGTGTGCTCTTTTTTGCTCGAAAATCGTATCGAGTTTTTTTTTTGTTTTCGAGATGAAGCCTGGGGTTCTGGTGTTGATGAAGTTGACATTTTCTCGATGTGGATGTGGATACGCTATGGCGTTTTATCGATCGTTGGAATCTCGTTATGCAATGCCCTCACCATAAATTATTTTATCATTCGTCGGTTCGCTTGATTACTGTAGCTCGCAATATGACGAGTCGAATCGATTGATAAGCATCGTGCGATTATTGATTGATTCGTCTTTCCTACTAGAGGATTGTTTGACTTGAGAATTAAATTGAGAGGCGCGAAAGCGGTTTTTTTTTTTCGATTTTTCGCCTCTGTCTAAGAATTTATCTTGATGAATTGAACAAAATCGTCAGGTGTGCCTTATTCTCTTAATTTTTCTTCGCCGAAACCTTCAATGTCAATTTTTTGATCTTGTAATATGGTTGGCGCGAGCAACTTTGTTGACCATCGTAATTTTTTTCGCGGTTTTAATTGAAATTTTCTGTTTTTTTTCTTTTCAAACTAATTATTTTCCTTGCAAGACGCGCGCTGTGCTTCTTTGAAATCTGTTGAATTGATGCGGGATTCTCTTGGTGTTTTTTTTTGTTGGTTTTTTTTTTGCTGAATGATTTCCGTGTCGGTATCCAGTTGCTGATTTGACCCATTTTTATATTGATATCGCTCGCAAACCGATCGATCAGTTCGATTTTGATAGCCGTTTTTCGTAATTCATCGATTTCGATTCATTTCAGACGTCAAAATCGCCACAAGACCAAAACAAACCTGATGCGAAAAAGTGTTGCGAATTGATGTTTTTTTGCCATTGATAGTTTGTGAGTCGTTTTTTTTTTCTTCGCGAATTTTTTTGAATCTTTGAAATTCGATATCATTTAGCCGACTAACCATTAAACTCTAACCATCATGAAGGAAATGCTCGGTGGTTGCTGCGTTTGCGCAGATGAGAACGGTTGGACCGACAATCCGCTAATTTATTGCGATGGTCCGAATTGCGAAGTTGCCGTTCATCAAGGTTGGTGTGATCACGCAATTTTTCGTATTCTATCGGATTTTTGTTTTCGGACTTCAAATGCATTTTCTTTTCGCAATTTTCCAGGCTGCTACGGTATACAAGAAGTGCCGGAAGGCGAATGGTTTTGCGCGAAATGCAATGTTGGCGCGTCGACATCGACGGCGTACACGAACGGCTCGAAGAGCGGTCACTTTCGATGCGAATTGTGCCCGTCGGGCTACGGCGCGCTTAAACGAACCGAGAAGAAGGGATGGGCGCACGTGATATGCGCGTTGTATATTCCGGAAGTTCGTTTCGGCGACGTGCACAGCATGGAGCCGGTGATATTGTCGGATGTGCCGAGTGAGAGGTAGATCAGATTGATTCGTTTTGTTTTTTTTGAATTGTGTTGATCACAAGAAAAGAAAGAATTTTCAAGGTTTGACAAATTGTGCTACATTTGCGATTCGGCTGGGAAGCGAGGAGACGCGAAACTTGGAGCATGTATGTCGTGTAACAAAAGCGGCTGCAAGGTACGCGTTTCCCTATATGTCGAGATCATCATGATGGCATCTCTTGTTTTTTTTTTTCTAGCGCGGCTTCCATGTGACGTGCGCCCAACAGAAGGGCCTCCTGTGCGAGGAGGGCGGTATCAGCAAGAACGTCAAATATTGCGGCTATTGTGAGAACCATCTACGCAAAGCGGTGAGTTCCTTTGTTTTTTTTTTTTTTTTTTGATTTTTTTTTTCGAGACCTCCCCTCGCGAGTTTCTTCGTCGGTTTTTTTCTTTTTGGCATACGCCGAAGAAGTGTCCTCCTTATTTGGTAGTATGTATGTAGTAGTAGAAATCTTGCCATCCATTTTGTTTGATGCCACTCGCGCGCGCTCTCTCATCGTTGTTGGCGTTTTACTCGCTCGCCATTTCGTTCTCATTCGGCCACCACACGTTATCTAATCGTTGGCCATTTTGTACTAGAGAGTGGGCTACAACGGTGAGAAATCACACACGAGCGATTTTTTTTTTGGAACGCTGCTCACCGCTTTTGAATTTTTTTTCTTTCTTTGTTTTTGGTTGAAAATGTTTCGCTGATTGTGCTCTCAATTTTTGTCCAACAACACCCTCTCCCCGCCCTTCCGCTCATTCTTTCTCTCGATCTTTTAAGCAGCAATCGAGAACGTGTTGAATGACCGCAGTTTGTGTGGAGAGATGGGTTTGATCGAGAAACGTCCGCAATTTTTCGTCGCGGTGCACTTACAAACACACCTACTGTAATTCTCGAATTTTAGCCGAAATTGGCATTGTGCCATGAATTGCTTGTGACCCCTAGGTGAGCGCGCTCGTCGTTCTCCCCTCCCTCACCCAGGGGCAGACATTTGCCTACCGTATTCACAGCTTCTTCTCGCATTTCATTTCATATATATTTATATTTATAGAGAGAGAGAGAGAGGGAAGAAGGAGATATACACATACACATATTTATTTGTGTGTATGTCCGTCTGTGCTTCTCTTAATGTATGTCTAGTATGTGTGTGTGTGTGTATGTTGCCGAAATATGCGTACATAAATTCGGACGAGTCGGGTGGGAATGGAAAAATGGCGAAATAAAGTAGAATGTTGAGAGAGAGAGAGGGGGGGGGTGAGTAGGGTCGAGAAAAAATATGGAAAGAGTAATGGAGGGAGGCGGGGTGCGCACGAGTGGCCGGTCGATCGGCCGGCCGGCCCGTCCGTCACGTTGTTGGGAGGGAGGCGTGGTTGGCCGGTCGATCGGTGGGGCCTCGGCTATTTCTGAAGGATGGCGAGAGAAATAGACGATTTGCCTCTTTTCCGCCTCCGAAAAGTGCTCGCTGGGTGAAAAGTCGAATGACTACGGTGTGTGAGTGTGTGTACGCTGCAGCAGCAGCAGCAGCATCACCATCATCACACGTTATGTAACATACTATTTCTTGGTTGCTGCTCTTGCTGTTGTGTTACCGTAGTCTCTGCGTATCGCCACACTAGCGGAATGTCTTTCGACGGCTGCTGGTGATGGTGATGGTGGTGGTGGGGTTTTTTTGTTCACATAGAGACTTTAGACGAAACGCGGCGTTTTCGCGTCTGCAGGCTGTTCCTCATGCGTTTCGTTCTTGCCTGCCTGACGCACAAAACACACACACACAACACCTCAGCCACGTACGTACATTCACATAACAACCAAAAAAAATTTGGATTTTTCTCTCATTCCTACCGCCAGAGTGTTTCATTTATATTTTTCTCTCGTCATTGTTTTGTTTTGGCGCTTCTCATTCATTCCGCCTTCTTCTTCTTCTTCTTCGAACTCTTTCAATCTCTCTTTGGTTACTGTACTATGAGGACGACGACAAGCTTGTGACTCATTTTGTTGGTTTCGCCGTCGTCGTCGTCGTCACACCTTCTCTGTTAGTTGGGCGTATTTTTTTTTTAATCATTTCGGCTTGCTTGATTTAATGGATTCGGCGTGACTTTTCTCGTTTTTCGCACTTCCTTTATAATTATTTTCGCATTTTCCATTTTTTTCCCTGCGGAAAATGACCGATTTCTGGTGAATTTTTATAATTGGAACGACTTTTTTTCTTGAAACATTCGAATTTCCGTTGAGACGCCATATGGTGTCAATTTTCTTTGTAATTTGTTGAAATTTTCAAGGTTTTCTTGGATGATTTTTTATTTTCCCTCTGCGTCTAACAATCATTTTTTTTCGTCCTGATTTCTCACTGGTTTTTTCGCTCAATTATTTGAACAAGAAATGGCTTATATTAATGGTGTCCAACTTTGAATTTGTCTAATAAGGCGATGCGCGAAAAAAAAATATTAGGAAAAATATTTCAATTGGTAAAATGCGAGTTGTTTCAAAAATTCAAAAAAAATTTTTTTCGACATAAAAAGAAATTATGGTTTTTTGAATCGGCTGATGTGTCTCTATCTCTCTTTCTTACGACGCCTACACTTCCATCATGCGAATTACGATCCATTCGGCGAAGACGAAGAAAAAACTGTTTTCGAGTCTGTCGCCCTCTTGATTCCATTGTGTTGTGTTTTTTGAACAATGTGGTGTCTCGGTAAGAATGAATGAAGCGGCCTGATGATGATGATGATGATCGGTGTGTTTGTCTGCATCTCTCGCCAGGTCTCAAACATTTGCCTACCAGAGGCGACGGCCTCCCCTTTCCCTCTAACCAACAGCCAGCCCGCCTCGGCCGCGTGATAGATGTTGTAGAGAGAGAGAGGGAGGAAGAGGGTTTTGTGTCTGCGTGCGTGCTTTGAGCCCCCCTCTCCCCCCGTCCTCGGCCGCGGTCGTTAGTGAGGCGTCTAGGAGTAGGAGGAGAAGAGTGACGTGTTTCGTAGTTTTGGCCGACGAGGTGAAATTGAGAGATTGACGCAGACGGTGACACACTTTGAGCGCACACATACACATACACACGGTCTTGTGAATTGGATGCTTGCCAGCAGGCCCGGGCAACGTCGCGCTATTATATATTGTTGTGTCGTCGGGTCCATCGTTGTCCTTCCTTCTCGTCCATTCCTTTCCTTTCCTTCTTCTTCTTTTTGTTACTGCTCGTCGATGCCTAGCCATTGCGTCTTTTTTTTTTAAATATTTCTTTTCGTGCCTTGTTTCCTTTTTCGTAATTTTGGATATTGTTTGCAAATTGTTCACAGTTCTTTTTCGAGCGAAGCGTGATTTATTTGATTTAAAAAATTGCTTGAATTGAGGGTTTTCCATATATATATATTTTTAATTTTTATAAGGTTTTCGTTGGATTTTTGTTTGAAAGTTGCTTGAGTTGCGTGAAATCTGACAATTTGCAATGTTTTTGTGGTTTTTGAACCCGGAAACATGATTTTTCTGCGATGTTTATAATGCCTATTTTAAAAAAAAATTTCTCATCAAATTTCGCCCGAGAGCTGGAAAAATATCATTTCTTGCCACAATTTTTTAAAAATCAATTTGCCAAACAAACTTGGATTCCGTTTTTTTTGGGGGCCATTCTTGCTACAGTGCGCTTATCGCCGTCATCGTTATCAGAAGCTTTTCCACGCTGACCACATTAGTTTTATAGAAAATGACAGTTTTTAGTGTGTATCGCTTGATTTTTGATTTTTCTCCTTTTTTGGTGCGAAATTTAAAATGATTGAAACTTTGCCAAATTTTTACTAGTTGTGTTGCAATCGTCGCTTTCAAACATATTTGGAAGTCGTCGAACGTTCGGGAAGCTTCATCATATGCATTTGTCTGCGCTTCTCGCGTCTCTACCGTGTTTTGTGTGCCGCGCGCGCGCGCCTTCGCCGAGTGATTGAGAAACCGAACTGGGTCAGTTTTCGCCTTCCTTCTGTCTTTTCTCTCTCTCCCTCTCTCTCTCTCTTTCTCTCTCTCACACACACAGAATTTCTTCTACAATTCTATTAATGCCATTTTTTTTTGAAAAATTTAAAATTACCCTCATTCCAGCAAAACGATCCTTTGATAAAGGTGATACCAGCGTGCCCGGTGACGCGATTACCAACCCAACCATCTCCACCGCCGTCGTCGAACAATTCAGCGCATATGCTTGTTGACACGCTGCCAAGGTATGAAATTTGCGTTTGAAGCTTCATTTGGTTGTATTTTTTTCTTCAGACCGGATCAAGCGAACAAGGTTCTTGGTCTCGGCACTTCGAACGGAACCGCTGCCGAGGAAGCGACGCGAGCGTTCGGCTCGACGACAACGTTCTCGCCGCCGCTGACATCGTCGAGTCGATCGTCGGTGGCGCTCGACACGACGCCGCCGCTAGCGTCGGGCGCGACGGCGGCTGCATCGGCCGCGTCGATGGCGTCGACGCAGCCGGCGGCGTCGACGAGCGCCTCGGCGGTGACGATTAATGGCAACGGCGCGATTCATCATCAACAGCAGCAGCATATGAGCAATTCGGAGACGAGTGTTGCCGCGCATTTACAGCAAATGCAGTATCAAGGTTGAAATTTTGTGAATTTTTACGAAAAATGTTTCCTTTTTTAGCCCAAAATGCAGCCGCGAAACAAGCCGCTCAAAATGCTGCACATCAATATGCGCAAAACATTCTGTCGTCGCAGGAATCGCAGAACGGTATCTACCCGTCGCAGAACAATCACAACAGTTACCTAGCAGCGGTATGTCGTCGTCTATAAATTTCAATTTTTCAAAATCAAATTTTTAGCTTCAAAATGAGTATGCTGGACGTTTGCCGGCTAGCGTTTCGAACATGCTGGCGGCGAATAGCGAATATCAAATCAATGGAGCGTCGGATCTGGAGGAGAAGACGGTTAAAGCTGTTCTCACGGCGCCACTCGCATCGGCGAAAGGTAGATTTTTGAAAATATCGGAAATAGCGATTCATGGCAATTCGTTTTCCAGCGAAACGATTACGCGACGCAAAAGCCGATCTATTGGATAAGGGCCATAAACGCCCACGGACGATTAATCGGCCGTCGACGATGGCTGGAAGTGCATCATCGGGTGCACCTGGCGGCGTTCAGTCGCCGGTCAACAAGTCGACGAGTATGCAGCGGCTGATCAGTTTGGTGGCGCCGGTCGTCTCCGAGACGGTGTCCGACTTCCAGCGCGATCGGATCGCCGATCGAACGGCGGCCGAACGACGAGCGGCAGCGGCGATGACGGCGCCGTCGACGTCGACGACGTCGATTGAGCTGACGAACGGACAGGCGCTTCTGAATAGCATAACGATGCGAACGCATTCGGGTCTGCCGACATCAATGGAGCAGCTTCTCGAGCGGCAATGGGATCAGGGAGCGCAGATGCTGATAAATCAGTCGCAGTTCGACGTCGCCCAACTTCTCAATTGTCTACATCAGCTGAAATCGGAGAATATACGACTCGAAGATCAGCTGTACCAGTTGACGAAGCGTCGAGAACACCTGGTTACGTTGAATCAGCGGCTGTCGCAGCCGCTGGGCAACGCGACGACGATGATAGCAACACCGCAGAATCACTCGCCGCAGGTGACGACGGCTGTTCGAATTGGCGACGAGGCGAGTCGTCATACGAGCCGAACTGTGCCAATCGTGTCGCTGGTGGCGTCATCGGCGACGACGACGACGACGACAAGCGTTCAGCCGACAGTGACGAGCACGCCGAACAATCGTGCGACGCCTTCGACTGCTGGACAGCCGCTGGCGTCGACGCCGATTATGTCGTCGACGGCATCGACCACCGGAAATATACAGCAGCAGCCGCAGCAACAGCAAGACTTCTCGAACATCAGTCCTGAGCGATTGGCGCAGATGACCGCGTTGAACAGCATCTATCGCAACAATATTCTGGTGAGTTTTTCATTTTTTTTTAAATTTAATCTAGATTCTCATTGAAATCGAAGACGTCAATGATTATTTACAGGATCCGGCACTTCTCACCCAGATTATGCTTAACCAGAGCTACATCAACAATCAAACAAGCAATCTGTCGAATAACGTGTTCACGCGCATTCTTCAACAACCGCAAATGGCCGCCGCCGCAGCGGCGCTCGCCTCGAATGTGACGTCGGCTGCGGCTCAGCCAGCTCAGCCGGCTGCCGCACCGGCGCCAACGCCAATTCCAGTCCAACAAGCCACCGCCACTTCTGCCACCACCACTCCAACCGCGATCGGCAAGTGAACGGACTATCTCGAAATACCTCAATGAAGAATTTTTTCTCCTGTAGCGTTTCCTTCCCACCTCGTTTTTTTTCCCGGTGTGAAACCCCGCCCCTTTATTTTTCATAAACGTTTCTCAATATGATCATTATATATATATATATACATAATGTTTGTAAGTATTATTGTCTCATTTTTATTATTACTAATATTAATTCTATTATTATATTATTCGTATTAACGTTTTCCTAACAATAATGTTCAAGGAAAAATTCGTTGTTTTCTTGAAAGTTGTTTGTTCCGGGTATTTATTAACAATTCTTCTGTTTTTCTTTTCTAACCGATTTCCAACTGCAGAACCTCAGCGTTTAAAAAAAAAGTTCGACTTGTTGTGTTGTACCCTATTCCTATCTGTTTTCCATTGCAAACTTCAATTGTTAACCTATTTCCCACTGTTTCCCTTCCGAAGTGCATTTATATATATATATATTTTTTGGTAATCAAAAGAAATGAATTTCTTGACCCCCCCATCTCTCTCTCTCTTTGTCCAAAAAATTGAATCACCTCCAAAATCCTATTCGATTGTGCCTCAGAAATTAATCAAACACACTCCTTCCCCAACCAATCAAAACGTTTCGCTTTTTTCCTATTTATGTTGAAAATGAAGTTAATAACAAATTAGAGACGAATTTTTTCGACAAATCTACAAATTTCAGTTCGATTATTGGAGATTGCAATTTCTTTTTTTTGTTAGATAAAATAGAAAAATCCAACAAATTAGGTACCATTTTGAAGGTGAAGTCGTTTTTCGGGCAAAACTTCCCCAAAGCCTTCGGTTTCGCGTTTTCCGGCTCCGTATGTGACAACGGCGATGAACCCTTGATTCTCAGGCGCTGTTCTAACAAGATCCGGTTGAGTTTTGAGGCGATCATTGATCTGGAGAAAGTTGGAAATGAGTATAAATCATGGACAATTAATGAAAGCTGCTTATGATTTCATTTGAATATATCTCAATAATGGACCAATAATGATAATTTTAGATTCTTTTCTTTTTTTAAACTTCGTATGGTTACTTATTTTTAATATAAAAATTCTCACTATCGGATATTATCGTGGACGGACCAATTCGAGAATTGCTCATAATTCACAATGAGATCAAATTTGTCTCACCACGATAATTTATTAATGGGGGAAAAAAAACAACGGACAGACCTCAACAAGTGTCCCACAAACGCCTGCTCTTACCACAATCTCTTCTCCATTTTTACATTTGATTGTGCATAATTTGGAGTCCGGTTGAAGTAACAGACCACCCTGAAAAAAAAACTAGTTTTGTTGATTTTCGATTTTTTTTTCGCTTACTTTTTTGCCTTTTCCGACCACCATTTTCTCCGATCGATCAGCCCCATGTTTCTTTGTGCTCCCAAAATCGATACTCTCCACTTCGCTTTCAGGAATCTGCGAAAAATTATTTTTTTTAATGCATTTAATGTAAAAAAAATATATATTTCTATATAAATTTCAAGTTTAACAGGAAAATTCATGAAAATTTAGGCGATATCAAATATCGATTTTTGCACTTTAGGATAAAGTCATGGCATTACGTCAAAGGCGGAGTGTCGTTTAAAAGAGCTCAATTTCGCAAATTTTGAGAAAGAAGTGAACTGCGTGGAAGTCATTCAATATTGTTTAAAAAAATTTCAAAGTTTGCTAAAAATGAATGCGGAAGTTTCGATAAAAAAAAGACATTGCGTAAACAGTGGAGCATCGTAAAAAATTTTTTAATTTTCCAAATTTAAATTTAAATTTCCATTTTTTTTGTAATCTGAAAAAGGACATACCTGCCGCAAAACGATAACCGTAACTCCACTGGGATGGTGTAAATAGGCGATATTCGAATACAATTCCGAAGCCCGTCTAGAATAGATTCGATCAACAACCGATGCATAAGAAATCGTCATAATTCTAAAATTTAAGGAGAATTGAAATTTGAAAAAATGAAATATTAAAAAAAAAATGCGCGGATTAATGAAGACCAACAGGAAAAACGAGAAAAAAATTTTCAAAAATTGCGCCAAATGTTTTATTGAATCAAAAAGCTCATTTTTTCGCGACGTGGGGGTGGCAATTTTTAAATGACAACAACAAAAAAGAAACACTGATAATGAATTTAAAAACAAACAAAATTCGATTGAATGCGGGGGCGGGGAGTACGGTAGAATTGAGAATCACATAATGGTGCAAGCATCAGCGGCGGCGGACGCGTTTTCGACTTTTGGAAGACCGGATTCGTCAATCACCCATCCTAAAATCCCATTTTCTCAACGAAAAAAAAAATAAATTCCAACAATTTACGCGAAAATTTCCAGCTTTTTCCTAAAAATCAAAAATTCTTCAATTTTCACATCAAATTTGAGCCAATTTTTCGGCAAAACGACAAAATTTATCTTATCGCACGAATTTTCTCAAAAACAATCGAATTTTAATTCACAAACTCGCGAAAAAAAGAGAGAGGCAAAACATATTCAAAAAAAAAAAAAAACAAATGTACGAGTCGAGCAAATGCGCTCCATTCTAAACTCGACCGAATTTTTGAATTTTTTAATGTCTAGGAGAATTCGCGTCAAAAACTCAAGCATCAAACAAAATTTCTAGCAATATTTTTTCGGCAAAATCTCTAAATCCAACTTTTAAAATAAAACCGGTACCGTCGGGCAGATTTCCGACCAACTCTTTCGGCGGATATCCATAGGATTGCAATTCCACCAACAGTTTGCCAAGTCGCTCAAAATGCTCGGCCTGAAATCAGTTTCAAGTGCTATGCGCCTTTAAACACCAACCCTCATACCGATTCCTTCATTTGCTCCGACGGCTCGGCGACTTGCTCTTGCCCGTCGGCCGGTGCGTTCGGCTCAAGCGGCGATGAAGCGGCCGCTTCCGGCTCAACAATCGGCACATCTGGCTGATTCTCGAACTCGTTGCAGATTTTCTCAAGAACCTACAACAACAACAACAACAAAAAAAAATCGGGTCTCGACGAGAACGTTGAAACGCGCACTTCATATTGCTTCTTGTATCGCTGAGTTGTCTCCGCGTCAAGCTCGCCGCCGTGCTCTTCCAAGTACTTCGGATAGCTGTCATAAATCTCTTTGAGCGGCGGATACATGACCTCCTTCGAGGCGAGCGTCTGCAAAAACTTTAATTTTAAAGGAGCACATTGGTCTCGCAACGAAACCTGCATGATCATTTGCATGAACGGCTCCATCGGAGCATCCGGCGATCGGAGCATCTCGAGGCCGGCCATGAACTCCTCGGCGGTGCTCGCGTTCGCCACCGTCGATGAGCACTCCATGAGCTGTTTGAGCGCGTCCATCATCGCTTTCGATTCTGGATCATTCGGATCAAGTTGCGGATCAGTGATTTCGCCGGACTCTACTTTCTTCATAGCTTCCTACAAACAAACAAAAAAACGTAATTTTCTATAAATGCAATTTTTCAAATTGGCGTTTCCAACCTCCTGAACCTGCACCATTTGTGAGAGCATCTGCTGAAAATCGCTAGCGGCTTTTTGAGCCGCCTTCTGATCATGAATCGCCATGAACTCGTCCAAATCATCATCACTCGTTTTTTTCGGTTTCGGCCTAAAATTGGCAACGAATTTTGCAAAAATTCACGTTTTCAGCCATCAACTCACTCATCAGTATCCTTGAACTCTCTCAGCGTCTCCTCGAAGAGTTTCGCCAGCTCCTCGTCATGCTTCCTCTTTTTCTCGGCCTCGTCGTCGGACATTGCCTAGCAAAAATTGGTAATTGAAATAACAATAAGAAATAAATGAATGAATGAATGGAACAACTGCAAAAGCAAAGTTGCGCGGGACGGGGAACGAGTGAAAAGAAAAAAAAATGAAAACCGAGGGAAAACGAGAGAAACGCGGCGAACAACATTTTTCTTCATCTTCTTTTTTTTGCGAGCCGCTTTGATCGATACTAATACTACAACAATGTATTTGACAGGAGAAAAGAAACGAAGACAATTCCTTATCAATCCGTTGGCTACAATGTTCCTCGTCGCCCTTTCATGGATTTTCTAGTCAAATTCGGCGCAATAATTGAGAATTCTTCAAAATTTGCAGATATTAATTTTGAAAATTTCGAGAAATCAATTTTTTTTACGAACCAGAGTCGTTTTTTTAATAAATGTTTAAAATTATAATTCAAAATAGGAATTTTTCAAACAAATTCACTTTAACAAAATTTTGGCGAAAAATTGAGCAAACAAGTCGGGCTTCTGAAATCATGAAAATAACATTTTTTCACACTGAACAAACAAGTTTCTCAGGGAATTTGCGTAAGCAGCGTTTGTTTGCTGACATGACAAATGAAAAACATTGAATTAAATAAAAATATTGAAGCATATAAATATTTTTGACAAAGTTTGTACCAATGTTTTAAGTAAATCTAGAAATCAAGATTTTATCGCTGAAAAAATGTAGTGTGGAAACTATAAAAATTATCGAATTGGACGTTTTCTTCTCCACAAACTCTCAAAACAGAACAAGGCTGAAAAATGATGAAATTGAAAAAAAAAATCAAAGTTCACTTTGCTATGCGCGTGTTTGCAGAATACATACTGTGACGCGCAACTTTGAAAACGGGGGACTGAAAAAGAAAACGAAAAACCATAGTTTACAGAAAATTTTCTCCTGCAATTAAAAAAAATAATAATTAACAAAATTGCGCGATCGAAAAGGCGAAAGTCTACTGTAGATAGTGAGCACAATCACTAAAAGAAGCAAAATTCTTCCAATAACATTGAGAAATTTTGAAAAGGATGTGAAAAATTTGTAGCATTATTATTTATATTTATTCACATCAGTAATAAAGAAAAATAAGTACTTTTTTCCCCCTGCCAGTTAGAAAGACAAAAAAGATTCTGCCGGTTATCCCAACCCGAAAAGCGTCCTCTGTTAGTCCCGATCGAATCGCTGAGAATATTAAACAAGATATTCAACATAGAATAAGAAATGAAAAACATAATAAAAGAAGTATTGAAAATAATGATTTGCATTACTAAGGCCTACAAATATATGATGGTCCCTAAATGCTAAAACATAGAGGAAACGTTGAATAGGGCAACAAACAATTCGAAATCGATTTTTTCTTGATATATCATTTCTTTGAATACTTGATATGAGTTGTGCATTGTTGTGCAGATGAGTTGAGATCATCGAAAAGCTTAGATGAGATATGAGTTATCTTTTATAGAATTTTGTGCAGACTTGAAAAAATTTTACTCGGGGGACGTCCAATAAAAACTCTGACAACTCTAAACCAATCGGAGTTAACAAAATCGCATCGGACAACTAGAGTTACCAATCGGATACGATTGATTCCGGAGCCGGCTGTTGTCGAATCCGATAGATTATGAGTTATCAGAGCATAACAGGGGCCTCATCTGCGCTTTCTCGGGTCTGAAAATCGTGAAAATTTTCAAACAAAGTGATATCTGTAGATTTTAACGGTACGCATAGATTTGCTCTTTACGAAAAAAATATTCGAAATTTAGACATTTTACATTACTATTGTGCAAAAAAAGGCTCTCCGAATACGAGTAAATCAAAGGCAACATGATTGATTTGAGGAATTCGTTTAAAAATTTAAAAATTTCTAGCTAAAAGAAACATTTTTTAAATTAGAATTTTTGGTTACGGTATACAGTACCGCAAACACTGAGTATGTAAACGCCAATTATTCGCTACCGTAACCCCCAATCGATTTTTAAAGATTCCGCTTCGTTTTTTTTTTTTGAAATTCTTCAAAAGTTTTGTCATAAATTAATCCACTAATTCAGTTATAAATGGAATTTTCGCAAACCGCTACAATTAATCAGCTACCAGAAAATGTAAAAGGTGCGAAAATTGGTTATCGAAATTCCATAACGACACAAATTCGAAATTTAGATATTCCAGAAAAAACGTGCTACTATCTAACTCCGCCGTTTCAAGGCATCTACTCGAATCTGAATGCTCCGTCGCTGCTCCAAACCGGATATGAAGCATTCCAAAATCCCCAATCAAACGGTTTTTCGCGAATTTTTTTCTCAAATGAAAAAAATAAATAAAATTTAGGACACGGATTCCAAGAAGCAGTGGTCAATCCGACGCCAAACGAGAACTCATTTGATAAAGTACAAATTGTTATTATGAAAAAAATAATGAGGAATACGCTGAAATTCCAGTTTTCGGTGCTCGACAACCTCGAAGATCCGAGAATCCAGTGTAAACGGTGCAATAGGACCTATAAGAATCTGACGACGCTCAACGCGCATCTCCGCAACCGACATGAACGGTCCGAAGCGATTTGTCAGGAGGCCAACTGCAATTTGTATACAATTTATTTGAAAAAAAAAAACGAATTTTCCGTAAAATGATTATTCAGCGTGACATTGACGGTGTACGATCGTAAGCGGCATCAAAAAATGCACGCGAAGCAGCGGGCGAAATTTTTCGAAGAAATGTGCAACAAAAGAGGCCAGCCGGAGCAAATGCAGCCAATACCGCACACGACGCACGAATACATGCGTTCGGAGATATTCAAAGTGCAAAAAGATGTTCCGGGAATGATAAAAGGATTGGTGAGCACAAATTCGAGACAAAATAAAACACCAAAAAAAATGCAGGATGATCGCGATCGTGTGACATACACATGCGTCGATTGCCAGAAAATCTTCATCAATTCTCATCAGGCGTTGATGCACCGGGAAAAGCATGAGTATTCTAGTGGAGTTCTGCACGAATATCGCCGCAAATTGCAGGAATTCACCGATCGCGTGCTATTATTGCGGCGACATACGACACGGCGCGTTGGATCTTCGCAATCATTATATTCGAAAGCACAAAAATGATGGCATCAACACATATATCTGTCAGGGATGCCAAAAGTGAGTGCCGAGTTTTGTTGTGCAATTCGAAATGCAATCATCTTCTGAATAATTTTTTTTGCAAAGCTTTCAAAATGAGCTTAGCGAGTATTTCTTCTAAATTTTTTGCTTTAACAAAATTTGACGCGAATTTTTACAAAAAATGATAACTACGACGTTTTTTTGGCAAGCAATCAATGAATTATGAGGAAAATTTTTACAATATTAGATTTTAATATTGTCGATTTCGAAAAATGCTAAATTAAATCGGTAGCTGTGGTCTTGGAGCAAAATTAAAACTGTATAAATTTATACGGATAGGTTAAACAGCGCAGTAAGACTTTATCTAAATTTTTTTAAGTTTACCCAATTTCACAAAGTTGCGCGACATCGGCAATATTAAAATTGAATACTTTTCGCAAAAATATATGAAAAATTAAAATTTATTTTGAAAAAATGAAAAAAAAACCGAAAATTACAATGAGATGGGTGCTTTCTTTTTGGGATTTTCCGTGATATTTGGGTCACGGTGTTTGCACACATTTTCGCGAGCTACCATTTTGATATATTTTTCTGACCTTTTATGACTCAAATTTGAACAAATCAATATCAGAAACCGAAAAATGAAAAATATTTGCAAGTAAATGCAAAGAAAATATCACTAGTCGGCAAACACCACAAATTTTGGCGGCAATTCAAACGGTTTTCTTATTTCTTGGAAATTTTCGAGTTTAGTTGGCGTTTTTATGCGTCTCGCGATGATCTTCATTATTGAACTACGGTACCTGATTCAGTTGTTTTGAGATAGGAAAAAATTTTCCTTGAAATCGCAAGATTATCACCTTGCTCTGGTAACTCAAAACCAATCGTATTCGACAAAATTCGGCTCTAGAATTAACCTTATCCGATTGGAAATTCTACGGATCAGATTGTAAAATTGTCGTATCCGATTCGAATTGAAATATTAAAACAAAACGGATTCGAATAATTACCAATCGGATTCGAAGAAAATCTAATCGGATACGACAATTTTACAATCTTATCCGTAGAATTTCCAATCAGATAAGGCTAATTCTAGAGCCGAATTTTGTCGAATCCGATTGGTTTTGATTTACCAGAGTGTTCATTGTTTCGAGCAATCGAAAACCGATCCGGTCCCCCCTAATTATCATCATACCATTGGGCAATTAATCGGAAATATGCAACGAATGTGCTCTCTGATTCAAATTTGAACTCTAATCAGTTGTTCTCCAAACTGTGTTAATTTGGTCGCATGCTTTCTTCTTCTTCTTCTTCCCCTTATCGCCAATATTCCACACAACAACAATTGCAAATGTTTTACGTCAGCCAAACTTCAAATTTTGCAGAATTGACTCAAAAAATGACTGCAAACCTCAGCTGTATATGAAAAAAAAAAGCATGGCGTGCACCTTTAACTACCGTAGCCTCTTAGTAATTGTTCGAATCCGACAATTTTACAATCTGATCCGTAGAATTACCAATCGGATTGGATTGATTCCGATGACGAATTTTGACGGATCCGATTGGTTTTGAGTGACCCAAACAATTTTGTGCAATTATGAGCAGTGTGTCTACCCGGGACGAAGTTTCCCGGGAATGGCCGGGTTCCCGGGAAATTCCCGGGACCCGGGACTCATTGAAACTTAATTTCCCGGGAAAAAGTCTGCAAACACCGCGCGCTCTTCGAATATTGCGTATTGTCGTTTTTTAATGAATTTTCTTATTTTAAAAAGATTCCAATGCTTAGAAAATGGCGTTTTTGGAAAAATCGTTATTTGCGCATGGCAATTGTGCTCATTTTTCTGCGAAATTTTAAAAATTCCAAATAGGGACTTCCTATTCCATTTTCTAAGCATTGGAATCTTTTTAAAATAAGAAAATTCATTAAAAAAACGAGAATACGCAATATTCGAAGAGTGTGCGTTTGCGCGCGCGGTGTTTGCAGACTTTTTCCCGGGATTGTCCCGGGTTTCCCGGGAACCCGCTCATCCCGGGATCCCGAGATACCGGGATCCCGGGTAGTTGCGGGACGAAACCGGGACGGGACCCGGGATTGGAGTCCCGGGATTTCCCGGATAAACCCGGGAAACGAAATTCCCGGGATCCCGGGAAATCCTGTCCCGGGTAGATACACTGATTATGAGGCTACTCAAATTTTGTTTAAAAAAAAAAAAACTTCTCACATTCGAATATCAAGCAATTTTACGACGGAAATTGTGAACAATTTCAAATAATTCGTATAGCGATAATTCTCCTCCCACTAGAATGGGTCTTTTGTAGCTGAGAGAGCTATTCGAAAAAATCGATATTTGCAAAGAGAATGCCGTCGGTTTCAGAATGATACAATCAAAATTTCGCAAAAAAACGCCATTAATTGTCACCAGCAGGTTTTCCGACAAGACCCGAATTGGGCAACCCCCCAAAAATAGTCTCCGAGCTCGCTTAACAGTTTTGGCACCATTCAAACGGACTTTATTTGGCTATCAATTCTTCGCGTTGCTATCTGAATTGTTTAATATGCGTCAAATATGTGTACAGTAGAACTAAACTAGCACGCTTGCACGGGACCAAAGCTGATAAGAAGATGAGAACGCAAACTGATTATCAGGTGCAAACTACGGTAACCGATCAATGGATGTTGAGAGAGAGAGAGAGAGAGAGAGAGAGTTGACGAGTTCGAGAAGCAGCTTTTTTTTAAATTTTGAAGGAGCTGAATAAAAAAAGGCCGGCCAAAGTTCATTTAACTAATATAAGAATAGAATTCTAACTAATTATTTATGGCGCGGCGATTTTGAAATTTGGAAATAATGCCTACATTGTTGCCTCTTTATCTTTTTTCTTGACAATTTTCTAAAGAATATATCACTTGGTGGTTCAAATCACAATTTTCTAAAGAAATCCTCCCTTTAAAATTGATTCCAACGATCAATTGTGTAGAGCGTTTCAGAGGTCATATTGAAGTTTTGTAAATGAAAAATTTTATATGCGAAGCAATTTTCACCAATCATTGGAATAAAACGGTATAAATTTGTTTTTGCGCTGAAAAGAAACAATTTCTTTTTTTTTTCACATTTCATACTTTCAAAATCGGAAGAAATGTGTAATTTTCATCAATTTTGGTTGAAAATTTAGTTGAAAAGACCAAATTTTGTTGCATTTCGTTTTTTTCCCCCAATTGGCCGTTGCTGTTAATCAGCTGTACGAGTCAACAACATCACTGTGTTGATATCGAAACAGCAAACACACGGAATTCAATTTTAGCAATTGATCAACTATTGCGGCGATAGTGAGTAGTAGTTGTGCGAGGTGGTCTGCGGTTACGGTAGGCATCAGCTGAGGGTCATTGGTCTTGAATGGAAATATGCCGGCTGACACGCGGAGGAATTGCGCCGACTTTCACTTCAATCGTCGCGATTTGAAGCGTCATGGATTTCTGTCTCAAAAACCAATCGAATTCGGCGAAATTTGAAAATTTTGATTGTCGAAGGCAATTGAACAAAATTGGTTTTGTTTTTCGAGACGAATTTGCTAGAAATTAGTTCTACTGGTAGATTTACGCGATTTTTATGTATCTTTCGTGCCGAGACCGTTTTTTATCTTTGTTATAGTGTCAGCAACAATCTTGGAGATGCTTTGACTGACAATGTGTGAAAGGTTTTGAGAGAGAGAGAGAGAGAGATTCCGATTTGGTTTGCGCTAGCCGACATTTTGCACAATGGGTCTGTTATCTTGAAATCTAGATACAGTAATCCTGGCTGATGTAAATCGAACCACCGAAATTGCCCAATTATATACATTTATTACAGTACCTTCAACTGTACATTATGCATAGAAAAAAAACACGCTAGGAATTAGGCTTTGTAGTTCAAATCGACGCTAACTCCGCATTTGCCGTTGGTGGTGCCCTTCCATTGATGAATCAACGGCTTCGTCCATCCGCCGAACGGTTTGAAGTCCTGGAAGCCGGGCTTGTTGTCGTAGGTGGCCCACCAGAGCGGCAGATACGACAATCCGTGATAGTCGAGACCAACGATCTCCTCCCAATTGTAGTAGTTGCTGTAGATGCCCACCGGTTGATTGAGAGCCTGAAACGATAGAATCGATTGAAATTCATTGATCGATGTTTGACGGTCACCTTGGCTTCATTGACCATTTCCTCGATGAACTTGCGATTTGAGGCGTGATTCGCCGGCCACGCGAGACGCTCGATGTCGAGCCAGAGATAGTTGATGGTGGTCTTCTCGGCGCGAAGGCGACTGATCGTGTTCCTGACTTGTGTGGCCGCCGATGGGCAACGGCTGCTGAGGCATGGGAACAAGTAGGCGCCGACGTCGGTGATGCCGCCGGCGTGCGCATTCTTCACATTGTTGACGCCGGTGCCGTCAATCGAGCCCAAACTCGTGAAGACGCGCGGGATGACGAACGAGATTCCGTTGGTGCGAAGGCAGTTGAACGTGCTGGCGCTGACCGCCTGGATGAAGTCGATGCCGTCTTTGGCGTTGGCGGCGCTCAGCAGAACGACGGCGATGATCGCGATGGATTTGAGCATTTTTGTTGGACGACGGAGAAGAAGAATCGCGTTCTGTCCGATGATCGATGTCACACCGCGCCCGTTTTATACTGGAGCCCTATCCGAAACGTTTGACGCAAAAAGTGGGCGGAAACCGGAAAAATGGTTTCCACGTCTCGTCGGTTACGGTAGATGTGATGGTTGAAGCTACCTTATGGAAATATTCTGCATGCCATCAAAGTTTATCAGCGGGTTTCGATTTGTTTTTTTTCTCGACATTTCCAATTTTGTGCACATGTGACCTTGTGGAGTTGAAGTGATTCAATGATCAAACGTTTCTCGCGGCTTGTTTCCTTCAACACCTTGCGACGGTCCGAAGTCCATCTTCGAGAATGATCTAGTCGACGCATCACTCTTAGGCGTTTCTACACAACCGGAAAAATTCTAATTTCAGATTTTGAAAACTTTGAAAATTTTTCTGAAACGGTTTGGGGGGGGGGTCCGATTTTGAAAACTTTGAAAATTAAAAAAAAAAACGATCCCAGCGGTTTTGCTTTCTCAGATTTTTTTAAGTAACAAATAATAATTCTGTTTTCTAATAAAAGAGTTACATGGTAAATAAATGATTCACCAAATTACCAATATTTCGAAGCCAAATTTCATATTTTTTTGGGCTTCTTTTGACTTATCACTTTCACATGTTGAAGTATCATTTTCCGACCTACTAGAGTCTGTTGTTAAAAAAGAACATTTCGAATTCGGACCCTATTGGATGTATTCATAGAAAGAGCGATCGGCCTCGACGTCATAATCATGGGACCTCTCAGAGTCCATCTAGTGAAATTCAATATTGACGGGGCTGCCATTTTTAATTTTTTTTTGTTTTCCGTGATTTCGAGCCAATCAAAGAAACAGCATAGTGTGCCATTTTGGAGAGAGAGAGAGCACAACTGATTCGGATTGTTTCCAGGAAATTCACGTCTGTCGAGCAGTTCAATGAGCACATGCAATTCGCGCCGCCGAACCATCGTAAGCAACAAAAAATCCAAATTCGCTCACATTGTTCTGATCGGCTTTTTGTTCGATTTTGCAGCGTGCCGCACTTTGGAGATCAAACAGGAGATGCAGTTCGGCGAGGTGCCGCCGAACGTCATTGTCGATCCGATAACGCAAGGTTTGGTTTCGTTTTGAGACCCCTCCCCCTTGGATTACTGTAGCTTGCAGAGAAAATCGACCATCAGCGCCGAAAACATCACGAGTTGATATTGACGACGAATCCGATTCAGATTGTCCACGATCCCAAAGTGTTTGGACCATCGAAATCGCTCATTCAAACCGAGCGTGGATTGAAGACGTATGACGATGTGCTGGTGGGTGTTCACGCCATCTGTTGTCCGTTGGATTGTTCGATTTGCAGAAAATGAATGACATCCGACCGCGTCCGCCGAAACGTTATTATCCGAGCTGCGTGGCGGATTCGGAGGCTTACATGCCTTCAAAGGTACGACTTCCTCGGCACACCGCACCCTGTATTTCTTAATTCTAGTGGGCGTTGAATTTCAGATGCCGTGTCATTCGGTGAATTGGAAACGTCTGCTGTGCAATGAGCCCGACACGAATGCCGTCTACAATTCGCAAAATTATAACCAAACATCAAACAGCAACAACAACAACAACAACAATAACAATATTTTTTCGCCGTTTATTAGTGAGCCTTTTTGTTTTGAAAACTTTCCCGCCAACAATTGAGCAATTTTTTTTTGGTTTTTGTTGAAAATTGCCAAAGAATGGGTGAAATTTTGAAAGAAAATTGTTGCGCGCTGATAAATCATTTTGGGACCATTTTTTGATGGAAAACGAATTGTGCAGATTACACGTCGGAGACGTTGCCGATGAATCCGGACGGTGACGGAACGCGCTTCGAGACGCCGAGTCGAATCGACAACACCACGTTCTCATTCGGTAGGCGCTTTTAAAACCAATCGGCGGCATTATTGAAATTGTGAGACAAATTGTTCCATTTTTTGAGATGATTTCAATTTTCCGGAAACGTCGGAATTGGCCATCAGCGCCAACGAGGACATTTTCAAGACGTTTGAGAAGCTTGGAGCACGTGAGTTCACTTTTTTGTTTTTTTTTTATTGCTTCTGAAGCTTTGAAAGCCTGCAATGTTGTTTAGAGCTAAAATAAAAATTTTGAAACAATGAAATGATGTTTTTCGAATTTTGCTTAAAATCAAAACTCCTATTTGAAAGTTTAATTTATTTAAAAAGAGAATCGCAATATTTCGAATATCGAAATGAATTTGGGCTCTTTTTTATTGCCAATAGATTTTCGAAAAAATCCATCGATGGTGCCGCGACGAAATGTTGTATCTATGTATGGTCGGCGTCCGGCCACGCGTGAATGCTTAGTTTTGCTGGTTAGTCGGTGCGAGACCATTTCAAAAGACGCATGCGCGTAAATCTACCCGCGTACACCAGTTGCCGGACGCCGACTATACTTCACACGGACAAACCGTGTGCTTCTGGAGAAGAAAAAAGTGGCTACTGGAATCGGCCTCTGCGAGACTACAAAAAGTCTTGTAGCGACTGATTCCGGTAGCCGCCATCGACAATACAATAATGCGCCTTTAAACGATGCGTTCAACTTTACAGCCGATCCGCCAACTTCTCTGTTCGAAGACGATGAATTCGCGAAAATGTTAAGCAATAGCTAAATTCCTCAAAAAAAAAAAAAAAAACATTATTGTTTTATATATCGATCTATCGAATTAGTCGTAGTTTTCTCTCTTTCTCTCTATCTGTTTTATCCTTCCCCCGACATTCAATGCCCTCACCTGTTGAAAAAAAAATCTATTTTTTTCTGATTTCATTTATAATTATAATAATTATTATTGTGATTTTGTTATTATTGTGAAAACCCGATTTATTCTTTCCTTGTTTTATAATCTTCCCAGAAAAAACCGAAAGAGTCTCTTCTTGACCCCCGCCTATTTTTTTGGTTTGCTTTTCGTCCCCTCTTTAAATTTCTTTTTTTTTTGTGCTTTCCCTTTATGATTTATGTTGTTATATTCTGTTAAAAACGAAACAAATTTGGATTTTTGTCAATGAAACTTCGAGTTTAGAAACGCCTCGAATCCGCCGATCAATTGGGATCTGCAAAAAACCACAATCTCGATGTTCTTGTTTCTCCTCAATTTCTTCCCCTACTCGCCATATATCCTCTCAATTGGACAATTTCGCTTCGAGACCAACACGATTCCGGTAAATTGCGCGTCGCCGATGAGAAGCTGCAAAAATGTTCATATTTGATTGGTTTGCTGATAACAAAAGTTCAATACGCCCGTTTCTAATCGTATCTGAACAAATTGATAAGCATTTCCGGAAATTTCGCTCGGGGGGAGGGGCTCCTACTACTGTCACCTTAAAGGAGCATCAACGACATGGGCTCCGAAAATCTCAACTAAAGAAAAATTTGGACAGTTAAAAAATCAGATTTTAGTTTTACTTCAAAACATTTGCTTGGTAGCAAGACGTGACTTTAGAGGCGCATTTAAAAGCTTGTGACAACTCGAAAAACAAAATAGAAAGACACGCGTCACGACGGCCGCTCGGCTTTGCGTATGCGCCTTTAATATCAAACTTTAACTCAACCTCAAGTCATGCATAGCGTCGCGCCTTTAAAAATTCAATCCCTCCTTCGAATTTGTGTGGCGACGCGCCAAAAATCGTTGAAGAGGTCATGACGCGAAAATCAACGAGAAGATTAAAGACGCATCGCGCAAAAATCCATGGTTTTTTTTTCTATAGAATTGAAATTTTCGACAAAAAAAATCGAACCCGATGATCGTCATGCTCAAAACATTGAAAATTGTCGATTTTCTCACGAAATTCGCTGAATTCAATCGGATCTCGAAGCGAACGACACTCGAATGCCGCCAAAATGAATTGAGCCAAATCAAAAATGTCTGAAAACTCGCATTTCTTTTCTCAACGACACCTCGAAATTTACCTCGATTCGCCGATTCGTGTCGTTGGAGTTCGGCCAAATCGCATCGTTCAACGTTGGGCCGATCGATCGACATCGAGCACGTCGCCGGCGGCGGAATTTCGCCGAAATTCTGAAGTGACGTGACAATTGCGTAAAAGTTTGGCGAAAATCTGGAAAATGAAGTACAAAGTTTCACCGAGTGATGCGTATCGTCACTTTTTCGCGTTTCTCGGCAAAAATTCGGCGTCGACGACGACTTTCAGCGATTTGTTGGCATATAGCAACGATTTCGGCACCGACATCATCAAAATCGCCGACGAATTCGACCTAAATTACGCATTTCGATGGAAATGTGAGCAATTTTCAAGAAAAAAAAAATTACGGGACGGAGGACAGAATTTCGAGCGAATTTTTCTCAGCAAAAATTGTCCATCGGCAGCTTTCCGAAATTGGATATGTGTGGACGCATGGCACTCTGAAATGAAACAATTGCCTCAATTTTCAGTTCAAATTTTAAATTAAAAAAAAAACGCGGAGATTCTGTTTTAAAATTCTAAAAACCCTTGAAAACTATTTTTAATCTTGCTTTTTAATTTTTGCAACAGAATTATGTATTAAAGCATGGGAAAAATGAAAAACTTCGCCAAAAATTCTAGAAAACTGCACTCCTCGAATGAGTCGGCATGGTGGCCGACTTTTCACGGCCTAGATTTTCACGGCCATTTCAAACAATTCTGATTTTTCAGTTTTTTTAAGTTTTTCGATTTTATTTTAACGTGTTTACCTAATTTCTAACACTACGAAAAGAAACCGAAATTCTCGGTTGATTTTCGGAGAAAAAAAATATCGTTGAATCAAAATGTCAGCAAAATTCTCAATTTTGGCCAGAAAGAAAAAAAATACCTACAATTCGCATTCGGATCGATTCTCCAGTGTCAGTTGTGCGACAAAAAACGCGCCGAAACAAATCGAATTCCCAAAATCGATTGAAAATTTCAGATTTTCGGCGTTCTCATGAATAATTTCAGCGCCTAAAATCTAGAACCAAAAAAAAACATTGACGCCGGATGACCGCGCATTTCAGAGCCCCCCACATTTTTCATTTGCCTCCTCAATTTCCTCGCGTGCTCCTTTTCATCAAGCGTCTCAATCGTGCCAAGAACATCACGAATAAGATTCCGCTTCAACTCAAGTTGCGTTTCCATCAAGCCAATGTCGTTTTCCATCGAAATTCTCAAAATAAAAATTAAAAACAATAATCCATTAAAATAAAAACGGAATTCGAAAAAACCACAAGAGAAATTGCGAAAAGAATCAAAATATATCTAGTATTTTCATTATTCTTTAGATAACACAGACGCATAAATAATATAATAAAAATTCGTATTTTACAACACAACAACAACAACAATTTAATTTTAAGCGGTCGGCAGCGCGTCCTGGCCTTCCAGTAAAATCGTCGTACTGTAGCACAAATCCCAATACTGCGCGACACCGTGCTTCTCGAAAAATTCGCGCGCTTGCTTGTCGAGTGTCGCCGTATGAACGGTAAAATCGCGGAAGCTTCTCCTTTTTGCTTGACCTTCCCAAACCTACGAAAAAAATAATAATATGCTGCATTTTTTGTTTAAAAGCTGAGAAATTTTAAATTTTTGTTTTTTTTTCTTCCAAAAATTCGCAATTTTCAATTTGTATCTCAAATTATGAAAAAAATCAATTTGTCAGGAAAATAACATATTCCCGCATGTACCTTTAAAGTATTTTGTAATTTTACAAAATATATTCATTTAAGAAATGAATTCTTTCAACTTCTTAGAGAATTTCACCATCGTTCCATCAATTTTTCAATAATTATGCAAAAAAAAACAAAAAAAAATGAACCCTACCAATTCACACAAATTCCGTTCACCGGGCGCATCCTTCTCAGCCTCCTTCTTCTGCCCAATAATCTCGTCTTGCCATTTGATTCGATTCAACATCAAATTCTTGTAGAATTTCTGCTGTTTCGGTCCGCCTTCGACAACGACAACGTTTTGCGCTTTATGCATCATTATCACTCCCGTCATGAGCAATTGTTTCGCATTCGTCTCGACTTTGAACTTTTTCGACGGATGAGCTAACGATTTAATTCTGCAATTTTTCAACATTGCTTTCATCTTGACTATAGAGTTGGGTCTCGCAGCGTGGATTTACACCACGGCGACGTTCATAAGTGGTGCACTGTCCGTGTGGAGTACACAACGCGAATCAAATTGACGCAACCGCGGGATTTCGACTATCAACTTTCGAAATTGTCGCAAAATCAGCCAGCGATGGTCTCGAGGCGAACAATTGTGCTCCATCTGCGTACTCTCCACACAGACACATCAAATCTACCGCAAATTTCAAAAACATTTCAATCATTTCTCAAATTAAAAACGGTTTTTCTGCCACTTTTAATTAAAAAAAAGAAAAAAACAAACCTATAAACCGCCACGTGGACCGCAATAGACGTATCTTCGGATATCTTTCGAATCTTTTTCGCCTTTCGCTGATCATCCGACAATTTTCGTTCGGCATTCAACTGAAACCAAAATCTCAATTAGCACAAAACAAAGGGGAAAAAGAACGCTCAAACCGTCTCATGCTTTTTGAGGCGCTCGGCCATCTGTTTGCGCACGTGCGCCTCCATTTTCGTCGGATCTTGAATCGCCTCGTTGCCCAGAACCCTCATCAAATTGCCGATTTTCACTTTCGGCTCCGGCGGCTTTTCGAGCCCCAAACGGATCTTCTCCGTCCGCTCTTTTTGCACTTCTTTGCGATTCTGCCGACGAATCTTTTTTCGCTCTTTCGCCGTCAAATACACTTTGAGGTATTGCGGCACGAGCGGATCGGTCGGCGGTCGCAACGATATCGGATGCTCGACGAGCTCCGAAATCGTCTCCGAATAGCGTTCGCCGTCCGAAACATCCGGCAAATCTTCATAACTGCAAAAAAAGAAAATGTGAATGAGGCGATTTTTTTAAAGTCGTAATGTTATCTTAAAAGCTCTTCGTTTCCAGCGGACTTACTTCAATTTATCGAGCACCATCGCATCCCACCATTCGATGTCGGGCACTCCCGAATCGATTTTGGCGGTTCCGCTTGGTGTCACCATCGCCAATTTCACGGCCGCCGAGATTCCCGTCGATTGCGCCACCGACGACACTTCGCTCTGGAGCTTCTCCAATTTCGCCAACGCTCGCTCCTTGTTCGCCATCCGCTCAAACTCGCCCTTCTCATGGAACACGAAGCCGCGTCGGCGTCGTTCGGCGGGCTTTTGCACGATGCGCGGATCCAAATACTCGAGAATCTCCTTCCTCTCATCCTTCTCTTTCACAATCGCCACCTTCTTCTCGACTTGTTGCACAACGTCGGGAAGCGGCGCCATCACACCGCTGGCGACGGTGTTCGGCACCAACGCGTCGAGTTGCTTCGCAATTGGCGCTCTCGCCAATCTCGCTTTCAGCTCTTCCACACGACTCTTTTTGTCCATCGAGTAGTTCATGAACATTTTCGCCTCTTCGGGTCGAAGCGCCAAATTTTTCGGAATCGGCGCCGGCGCGATTCCGGCCGCCGTCGGATCGATCGCGGCAACGCCCGGCAACATTCCTAAAATTCGAGTTATTGATTCAACGCCAACGCGAATTCTCGTCAAATTACCCGCTTCAACTGCCATTCGTCGTCGTTTCTCCTCGATCTCCTGTTGCGCTTTATACAGCAACTCTTTGGCTCGAAGCTGCTCTTCGGTGAGTGCCGCATTTTTGTCGTCCGACTTCTGACTCGACTCCCGGCGATCATCTGCTCGTCGAAGGCGATCGTCCGTCTGAAAATCGCAATTTGACACAAAATCGCGCGCAAAACTCAACGAAAACCTTTCGCTCACTCCCATTCTTCGTTCCGTTCTCCTTTTGATCGTCGCGACGCTCCCGTTTTCTGTCTCGCGTCGAATCTTTGCCTCGATCGCGATCGCGATCCTTCCGCGCCTCATCGTTCTTCTCATCGTCGCGTCCCCTCGTCCTTTTCCTCAATTGCGGGTACGCGTCGCACACCGAGCTGATCACCTTTTGCGCTTTATACGAGTCCGACACCGACGACATCACTCGCTCTTTCATCTTCTCATAATCATAGCCTTTTTTGAGGCATCGTTCAACCGCTTCAATTACCTGCAAAAAAAAGTAACTTTTTTGGTAGAAATCTATTGAAAAAGCGCGTTTTTTTCCAATAATAAGGATAAAAATCAATTTGCAGATTCAAAATTCGAAAAAACTCAAACTACTCAACTAAAAATGAAAATGTTGGCGTTTTTATCTCAAAAACTTGAAAATGAACCACAAATTTCAATGTTTAATGGCAAAAGCATAAAAATTCGTTAATTATTATGTAAAATAATCTAAAATCTTTCACTTTTTTTATTTTACAAAAAAAAATAAATAAAACGCAAACCTTCTTCTGCTCATCTCTCTTCGACAAATATCTCTCGCATATGTCTTCAAGTCTTCCCATTCTAAAAAAAACCAAATAAATATAGAAAGAAAATCTCAAATAAGGTATAAAAAGCCAACCAAATAAGCTTTTAAAAACGCAATCTAGAAGAAAAAATGTCATTTTCAAATAAAACACAATTTTACTTCCAAAATACCTTTTAAGGAAATTATAAGACAAGCTTGACATACAAAATAAACGATATAATCATCTGTATAAAGGATTGGGGGCGTCGACTTTTCAAAACAATACATGTGCAAAAACTAATAAAATTCGAAAAACAATTATGGAGCAATGCGGACGCTGGCCGAGAAATTCCTAGGCCACCATCAAATAAGCAAAACGGATGCACACTGGGGAAGGGGGGGGGGTAGGCAAAAGGAGATCGATATCGTATAATATGATGAGAGTGGCTAAAAGACTGTCGGATTAGTACCATAAATAGTGGTGGGCGGGGCCAGGAGTTTTAGTCGGCCGACGGGCTTCGCGAGTCGCGCTCAACCTCACACAGGCTCTTCCTCTCCAATGCCGTCGAGAGGAGTTTGTTGAGAGTGTTCGAATCGATCGCTTCTTCTTCATCGTCTTTCACAACGGCATTCTCATCTGAAAATTTCCAATGGAACGTGAAAAGATCATTTTTTAAAATTCGATTTTTCGCTTTTTTTTCACATTTTTCGGAATTTTTTAAAATTTGAATAAATTCCATTTTTTAAGCTTCTGAAACTCAATAATTTGATTTCAAAATTCCCAACAAGTATCAAGTCCAATTCGCAGTTTTATTGTGAAAATTAAAAAATATATACAGGGTGTCATTTAAGTTCCCGCACAAAAGTTTGACGCCATGAAGAGCTTGGCTGTCGCACTTTTCGTGCACCAATACAATTTATTTTTGTTAAATAAGGTATATTTTACTTACTTTCCAAGTTTTACCTCATTCGGATGTGTTTCCGAGAAATGGCGAAGGCTAACATCCATTGCGCTTCCATTATCGAACTTCATAAGCAAAATGTGAGCCTGAGAGACATCATTCAACGCCTCGGTGTGCCTCTTAGAACGGTTTACGACATCATCTAACGTTTCAAGGAACTAAATACGACCAGTGACCGTCCCAGACAAGGAAGACTCGTCTCGGTAACCACTCCTCAGAAGTTCAACGCCGTTAAATCGAAGATCAGGCGAAACCCACACAGGAGCATGAGAAAGATGGCGTCAGACGTGGAAATGAGCATCTTCGCTTTGGAACAAATCGTCAAAACGAAGCTTGGACTGACCCCATATCGTGTCCAAAAAGCGGCAATTCTATCGGCCGCCAACAAGTAGAGACGCTTCGAAAAAGCAAAACGACTTCTTGCTCGCACGCGGTCTGGAGAACACCTCGTCACTGTCTTCTCCGATGAGAAGCTGTTCAGTGTGGATGCGGCATTCAACTCACAAAACCATCGAGTACTTGCCCAGACATCCCAGCAAGCTTCTGAGAAAGGAAGAACATATCATCCAGCCTCACATCCTGCCAGTGTGATGGTTTTCGGTGCCATCTGCTCAACCGGGAAGTGCTCCCTGGTTTTCGCGGATCAGGGGGTGAAAGTGAACAAAGAAGTCTACGTTCGGGACATTTTGGAGAAGCATGTGATGCCCTGTACCCAAACGCATTTCGGTGGGCAGAAATAGGTTTTTTAACAGGACGGAGCACCCGCCCACACTGCCAAAACTACTCAGGAGTGGTGCCAGACCCATTTTCCCGACTTCATCAAGTCATCCGAATGGTCTGATTGCTCCCCAGACCTGAACCTGCTTGACTTTTCCGTGATGGGCTCTTGCAGGAGAAGGTCAACGCAAAACCCCACTCAAGTATAGAGGCTCTGAAGAAGACATTACTGGCGGAATGGGACAATCTTTCCATCGAATACCTGCGTACCACAGTCACATCCTACCCGAAGCGTCTCCGTGAAGTCATAGCTGCGAAAGGAGACCGAATCAAAAAGAGTTAATAGATAATTATTTGTTATACTATAGATAAAAAATATTTCGAGTCTCGTTTGATTTGGACTTTTAGTTTCAGAAATATATGCCTTCAAAGTTGTGCGGGAACTTAAATGACACCCTGTATATATACATATAAAAGGGTCATTTTGCAGAAAGTTTTGCCGAAAAAAAAGCCACCATGGTGACAAATCGCAACACCAATATCTGGGAATTTGGCACATCAATTAAAAATGTGCGATAAATCCGACAAAATACAGCGCGATTTGAGTAAAACCGCAAAAATAAATCAGAACTTTTGAAACAAATTTTGAAAATTTCAACATTCGAAACGAATCGCGTAAAAATTCTTAAACAAATTCAAGTAATTTGTACTGTTTCTTATTTAAAAAAAAACGAAAATATTATTCTAGGTTACCAATTATAAATGGGTGGGCATTTCCCTTTAGACCTCGAAAATTTTGAATGTCAAAAAAAACAAAACCCGACTCACCCTCTTCAATTTGCCCCTTGATTCCCGTGGTGACTTGCCTCTCCAATTTGAGCTTCTTCTTCGCCAACGCCAACATTCCGACTTCAACGGTCCGTTTGCTGACGAGTCTCGTCACAAATACCGGCTTCAATTGTCCCATTCGATGGCAGCGATCTTCAGCCTGAACACAATCAACTAATCTCATCGCAACTCTCACAAATTTTACCATCATTTCAAAAAAATGTTAAGAAAATAAAAAAATGATAGTATTTGGTAATAAAATATAAGCAAATTATCTCAAAAAAAAATCTAATTTTTCCAACCAAATTCGATGAAAATCTTCAATTTTCCAATTTTTCAATTAAAAAACGAGCTTCAGGATTTCTCCATCAACACAAACCTGCTTGTCATTATACGGATTAAAATCGATGTCGTGAATGATAATATGATTCGCCGACGTCAAATTGATGCCAAGCCCTCCAGCTTTCGTCGATAGCAGAAATATGAACAAATCCTTTGAAACATTGAACTCATTGATCATTTCCTGCCTAGAAATGGCACAAAATAAAAAAAAAAACAGAAGAACGCCACAAAAACCATACCGCTCCATAACCGGCGTCTGCCCGTCAAGCCGCTTATACTGATATCCGCGAATCTGCATATAAACCTCCAATATATCAAGCATCGATGTAAACTGCGAGAATATCAGCACCTTATCGCCCTAAAAAACGACAAATTCCAAAAGAAAAAAAAAAGAAGATGAAGCAAAAATTGTCAATCACCTTCTTCTGAATTTCGGGCAACATCTGATCAAGCTTATCAATTTTTCCGCTTTGAAGCGCCAAATTCTCATCGAGAAGAAATTTCGTCGTGCTCGTGAATTTCTCGCATAGTTGATGAATCTGCATATCCGACATAAACGACATATCCTCAGAGACATGCTCCCATTTCTTCGTCTCGTATTGTTTCTCCTGAAATGTAATGCATCAAAAAAAAAATAATTTCGTCTTTAGCAACAAACTCAACCTTCGCGCAAAGCACTTTCGCAATTTTATCCAACTTCTGATCCGTATATTGAAGTCGCCGAAGAAGCGGATGATTCGCTGCTTGACGAAGACGCATCAACGAGCCCTGCGAGCTATCAAATGAGTCATGGTCCCTTCGGAATCTAAACAATTCAATTGAATCCATATTCACAAGAAAATTCTCTCACGTCTCCAGAATCTCATTGTAGAATTCCTCTTGCGCCGGCTGCATGTCAACTTCGATCACATTCTCCGTTTTCGGCGGAAGTGCGCCAAGAACCTACAAAAACAAACAGCGAATCTCTAAAAACCGATTCCAAATGTCCCATTTATCACCTGGGTTTTCAATCGCCTCAAAATATACGGCTGAAGGATCGCCTTGGCCTGCTCAATTCGATCCTGCTGATACATTTGACGATTCTTGTCATCAAGCGCAGGTCCAATCTGGAAAAAAAAATAGCAAATTGCTGGAAAATTCGATTCAAACAAACACCTACCTGCTTAAAATGTTGTAAAAGATGCGTAATATCTTCGCAGTACTTATTGAACACTTTTGAGAGAACAAAATACATTAGCGAGATCAGCTCGATCAGATTATTCTGAAGCGGTGTGCCAGTCAGAAGAATCTTTCGTCGCCCCTTCACTTTCATCAATCCTCGATAGCGCTCCGAATCGCAATTTTTCAGCATATGACCCTCATCATAAATCACATAATTCAACGAGAAATTCTTGAAGAACTTTTTATCGTCGGTTTTCGACGTCACCATATTGTACGTCGTCAGGATCACGTCGATCTGAAAAAATTGTTCTCGATTTGATTCCAATGCATTCCGAATCTTCTACCTTGGCTTTCTGCTTCTTCACACGATGCCTAAGATGTCGACGCTCGTCTTGATTTCCATAATAGGTTAAAACCTGTAGAAGGAAAAAAATATCGTAAAAATGAAATTTTTTGTGTAATTCGGCTACTTTTAAGCTCGGGCACCATTTCTGAAACTCTCCAATCCAATTCTCGATCGTCGAAGATGGTACAACGATGAGATGGGGACCATTAACACCTTCTTGTTTAAGATATGATAAGAAAGCGACAATTTGAATAGTTTTGCCAAGTCCCTGAAAAAAAAAACAAAAAGAAGATGAATAAATTTTCAGTCAATTAAAAAAACCCACCATTTCATCACCCAAAATCGCGTTCAAATCCTTTTTGTGCATCATCATCAGCCATTTGACGCCGATCTCCTGATAATCATGAAGTGAGCAGCCTTCTTTGAGCAAACTAAGTTTGATCGGCTTCGTTGTGAATCGCTCGAAATCGCGAGCGACCGCCTCCGCGTGATCTTTGCAATCATCGAGAATTCGCTCGAGAATTCCGCGCTTCTCCAAATGCTCCATATATGCATCAATCGCATTCACACCGCGAGTTATTCCCTTCAAAGTGTTGAACTGAAATGGAAATCTTATTTAAGAGGGGACAAAAAAAATCAATTTGATGAAAATGAAACCATTTGGTTGAAATCAACGAAAGGCCGCTTATCGATAATGAATTGCGCAATTTTGTCGTTGACTCTCGGCTGCAGAAGAATATCATCTTTCGGCGCCGTGTTGAAGTATTCCCGGCACGCCTTCTGATTCCGATTCTCCGAACGCTTCTCTCGTCGCTCTTCGGCCTATTTATTGAATTAATTTTCTTTTGGAAAACGATTGACAAAAAAAATATTCGCCTCGAAGACATTAGAAAAGATAATAATAAGCACGCGCCTTTAATTATGGAATTTAAGAAAAACAGAATTACCGTGCACACTTTTAGTTTCAAGATCTTCTATGATAGTTGTTTGGCATTTCTCCAATTTTCGAAAACACGATAATTAAAGGTACATTCTCATATTCGCTTCAAGACCCAAATCAATAATAATTCATACATCACTATCACTAGAAGGCGTCTCATCTCCATCAGCATCCGGTTCATCATCATCATCATAATCCTCATCGGATTCCATTTTCTTTCGATTCTTCTTCTCATCGACAATCGGCTCTTCCGGCTCCGAACCGAACTCATCGCGATCATCATCGTCATCATCGCTTATCACAATCTTCTTTTTCTTCAGCGGCGCTTTTCGCGAAGCGGCGCTCGTTTTCATCACATTTTTCGTCGGCGATGGTTTGCCGTCGAGTCGCGGTTTGCCGAGCCATTCCTCCTCATCATCGCTCGAATCCGACAATGTTCGCTGCTTTTTTCTGAAAAATTCCATTTTTTTTGTCACGAACCAAAAAGCCAAAATTCCATACGGTTCGACTTTAAATTCTAAAAAATCGGTGATTTTCTTTTTTGCTGGAGTTTTTCGAACGCGCGGTGTGACTTCCTCCTCGTCATCAAAGTCATCATCGTCTTCTTCGAATTCTTCCTGAAACCGAAATAACCATAACCAAAATTAGGAATATTCTAGAAAAATCGAACTCTTGGCTCTTCTGTGCTCTCATTCGCATCATCGATGAATTCGTCATCGTCATCTTCATCAGAAGAAGCTTTCCTCGACTTTTTCGCTTTTCCAACTCCGTATTTTCGATTCGAGTTCTTCGTTGGAGTCTTTTTCGAATTTATCCCGCCAGCGAGCTAAAATCAAATCAAAAATTAAACCAATACACACACTCTTTGTTTTCGTTCACCATTTGTGCGAGTCGATTCTTCTTCGAGAGCATTTCCTCCTGCAAATTCGATGATTGCGGGTTGCCGCGATGCGCGACTCTGACTCTTTCACCGCTATCGAATTTGCATGTCGACATGGTCTGAAAATTCTGCAAAAAAATTAATTGGAAATCCTTGGGGATGGTGGAATGACGAAGACGTGACGCGATTTCGCCATTGGGGGCAACATTCAAATCCGAATTAGGCTAGACGGCGGTCGTCGATTGGTGCGCATTGTCCGCAAACACCTTCTCGCCACTTTGCGTACTTTTTCACAGCGGCGATTCAAACTGCTTATTTATTTCGAAAATCCCAACAACAATGCGAACCATCAATTAATTACTTGGATCGACTCGATTGTTGAATGATCGGTCAACATTTAAACACGGCCCTACTAGCGAATATTGGGCAAATAATTTCTTTATCGAAAAAATTCGCTTAAAATTCGACTGAGATCCGAAAATATATGACAGTTGGATAATAAGAGGGGTGACTAATAAATCCTCCAGAATTAACATCGACGAAAACTGAAAATTGATTGAATTGTCATAGGTTGATCTGGAATTCCTTTAACTTACTACAGCAAACCCCACATATACGTCTTTCGAATGTATCTTAATAATAATTACCACAACGAGAATTATTAATGGAAGAGAAAGCTAAATAATGAACCAGTTAGGAAAGTTTCAACCCTTTAAAAACCGTCTTACAATTTTCGAAATGATTATAATAATTGTTTGATAAATGATATATTTTTCCGGTTTATCTTTCCTCGCTGTCATATGTTTTGTAGTTAATTTTATACTAATTACAATCGAATAGTAAATAATTGGAGTCAAACATACAGAAAAATATGTAAAATAATATAATGAATAGTAGATAATATCGAATACGTCAAGACGAAATAAAGCACTGGGTTCATTTGCAAGCCGCACTGAATTTATTGCATTGATGGCAATACAAATGATGGAGCTCGATATTTTTTACCTTTTAAAAAAAGATTTAAAGCAAAAAGTGATGCATAATATATTTTAAGAGCCATTTTAACATTATCACTGAAATTTGAGTATCATTTGGAAGAATTCATCCACTTACTTTCTAAAATTAAACTTATCACGTGCTCTTGGAAAGAGAAAAATTAAAAGGCGTTGAAGGGATAATAAAAAAATACATGAATTCTGTACCATGCACACGATTGGTGATATAATAAAACAAGCAAGAAAGAAGATGAAAAATGAAATGAATGTTGCTAACGGAAATGTCTCGAATAAATCAAACAGTTCACAAATAATCCAAGAGATGTAAACGATGAATGAAATGAACTGAGTATAAGATACAATTCGATATAGATGATTTACTAACGGGAACACAAAATTCTAAAGTCAGTAATTTGAAAAATTATATATATAATTTAAAAAAAGTACCGTTCGCTCATTTTTCAAATTTGATTTGTACAACCAAACATATGCTGGGAATGTAATGCATAATGCGAATACATAAATTGAGGCACAAATAATAATTGATGTCAATGCACCAATAACCAGTGTGTCATTAAGGATACTAGTATAGAATTTTTCTGCCGAGACAATCTCGTAGCGATGGCCAAATATGGTAACATTCATACCTGCTTTAAAAGAAATTGTTTGCTTATATATTGTTGTCAGGTAATTTGACAAATTGTATGTCTTTCTAACTCGCAGGTGGTTTCAGAATAATCAATTCATAAAATATGATATTTTACAATAAAAGGTCGCTACGAAATTTCAATATTTTTCCAATGCAGATTACTTTAGAAGAAACCTCTTAAACTCGATGTTCCATTGAAACTCTTTAAAGTCGGCGACAGTCGTGGCGCAACCATTTCGAAAGGCGCACTCCGTAAATCTACCCGCTGAGCAGCAGTCGCCGATTAGATATGGCAGAGCCCAATAGCAGTGCGAAACAAAATAAAAAGTCGAAGTTTGGTACGAAAAAAAAAGATTACAACTTCGATTTTTATAGTGAGCTCCCTCCAAAGCGATTCCGACCATCCGCTCTTGGCCCATTCCAAAGATGCCATTCAGTTAGAAGAAAAGATAGTGCGGTTGGCTATTTTTTCGCAATTTTCGAATTGAAGAAAATAATTGAAACAAAGTTAAAAATTAAACATACCAACTCTGAGAAAAGAAAACTAAATACATTTTATTTTATTTTCATTCCATAACAAAAAAAACAGAAAAAATAAATAGGGCAAGTATGCAATAAAAATACAGATTTAAGTCATTTTCCATTTGCTCTCCTCTACATTCATGCCTTCTTCTAATCCATCTATATTAATTTCAAACATTTCGCGATCGCGAAGTTTCAAGAATATCTGCAATTTTCGAAAATTCAATAAAACAAAGCGAGCATCAATCATTGTTACTAGATTCGCGTCGTGCGATACGGTAGGCCGTTGCTGCTCGTCCATTTCTTTGGCCAACGTGTACAACGAGCAGGCGAGAGCCGTAGCGTCCAACGGCGATCGAAGCTCCCAGCTGAAAGCAAAATTCTCATTAGGAATCAACATTTTTAAGAATCATCTCCTACTTGTCGATGTATTTGGACATTTCCAAGAGGGACTCCTGTTTCGCCTTCCACGCCACCATTCCATTCCGCAACAATTCGCAGTACAACTCAACCGAAGCCGAGGCATCAGATCCTAAACAATACACAAATTAAAGACGCACAGACCCCCCCCCCCAAAAAAAACCTTCTCTAAACGCCAAAAATGATAAGACAAGCGCGTCAAGATGATGCTTAACAATTCCAGCGACTCGAATCGCTCGATCCATATTCGACAATCCGTAAAGCTCGTCGCCAGATTCCTCATCGCTGGCACCACTAAATCAAAAATTGGGCGAATTTCGCGTGAGAACCCTTACGTGGCATTGATGAGTCGCTCAATAGTGTCCTTGATTCGGTATCGAATCCATTCAGCCGCGTCGGTGTCTTCAATTGCCGCCGCGAATTTCGCATACGATCGCAGCGCGCTCGACGCATAATCGACTTTTCGTTTCGACGATTCTCGACGCAAAACCGATGAAGCCTGAACAATTTTCTTTTATGGCTTCGAATCGTGCGAGCTCCCGTTTTACTTGGTCCCCGACAAAAAAGAATCTTATTTAGCAATTCTTAAAAAAAATTGAGATCTTTCAAATTATGAAACGTTTGAAAAACGAAAAATCTTTCTTCTAGGAGCTCAATTTTTTTCTTACAAGATACAAGCACACAAAATAACTCTTACATTCGCCAACGTCTCCTTGTCAAGCGCGTTTAGCTTGCGTCCCGCCCAAATTGTCATGGAAATCGCCTCAACAACATCCTCTTTTCCGGTCCAAACTCGTCCCGAAACCGCTGGAATCAACACCGACAGCAATTTCTCTGAACAAAATTTCACATTTTGGCAAGATGAAATAACCCAATCAAATCAAAACCTTGCAGCTCTTTCGTCATCTGATCATCATTCCAAGCCACCGTCTTCGCAACCATTCGAGCAGCTTGCGCGCGAACCTTCCACACCTCATTCTCAGCGATGATCTTCAACGCCACATCAATGATTTCATTGCGATAGAGGCGAACAGCGCTCGATGTGCCTAAATTTACAAAAAAAATCAATAACAAAAAAAATAATAAGCTGCCAACTTGGCACAATTTGAGCCCACAAATCGAGCCATTCCTGGTGGCGCTTTCTCGCTTTTTCATCGCCTTTCGGAACTGCAAATAAACATCGTGTCAAGACCCCAATGCGCCTTCAAACCTTGCTCAAACGTCTCCATATAAACATACGGGACCAAATCGCACGAATAGCCCTCCATGAGTTCCGAGCAATTATTCAAGAGGTTCGAGAATATATGAAGAGCCGAAACCCGAGTAGTTTCTGGAAAATCGGTGGCTCAAAAATAATTAAGGACCAGTAAAATATTCGGGTACCATCATCAGTCATGAGCATCGAAATCGCCTTTTTCATGAGCGCCTCAATACACGTAGGGGTCACATATTTGGCAATATAGGACAACGAGTTGGCAAACTGCTTCCGAATCGACATATTACGATCATTGAGCCCAGTGAGAAGCGCTTGGAAAAGCTTGTCTAAATCATTATTTGATGCCAAAATAAAACGAATATCGTTAATATACCACATTGCGGCCGATTGTCCATCATCAATTGCGGCGCCTGAAGCACCAAATGGGTGACGAATTGAGCGGCGCCATTTCGCGTCGAGAGTCCAACCGACGTTCGCAATTGATTGCAAATCTTCGGCGTCAGCTCGCTAAGAACTTGAGTGTCGATCTAGAAGGGCTATTAAATCATAAATTCCCAAATAAATGGAACTCACATAGATGATCATTTTGCAAATTTCGGACATCATTGAAGATTTTGCAGCGATTTTCGTTCGAGCGTCATCTAGCTGAAATTGGCATTCAAACGTCGGCAATTTTTTTTCTCGACTCGATTCATCCTACCTCTTCGAGTTCGGCGGCCGTCGCTCGTACAGCCGCATAATTGAGAATACCGGACTCGCTCTCGCTGAACATATCGAGCAGAATCGGAATCACCGACGGTAAGTAGGGCCTCAAGTATTTGCCAGAGAATCTCGCCAGATCCAACAAAAGGCGTAAACTGTAATCGGGTGGATTCAATAAAAAAATCAAGCTTCACTCGTCAATACCAGAAATTCTTGTTCGTGTTCACCGACGCTCGTAGAATGCCCTCTTCGACGATCGGCGGTATCACGACTTCGAGGAATTCCGACGTCGCCTCTTCATCGGCGGCGGTGGCGATCGACAAAATCTCGCGTCGAATCGTTTCCGCCGCTCGATCGGCGGCCCGTCGAACCGACTCTTTGACGTCGTCACGAACGCGCAACACCGATCGCAAATACAACGGGATGTTCTCGCGCATCTCCTCGGTGTCGCGTCCTTTGAACAAATCGGCGAGCGCCAGACACGCCGATTCGCGAACACGCCATTCCTTGTCGGTCAACGCCGGCAGAAGCTCGCGCGCGATCGGGTCCGCGTACTGATCAACGACGCCCATTCCGTTCGTGACACGGCGATTCCGCGTCACAATGTCCCAAATAGAGCGCATCGCCGATTGAACCTTGACGTCCGGATCATACAAGTATCGATAGAGTTTCGGGATGAGTTGCGGTAAATATTGCTGCATCTCCTCTTTCGCCTGCACCATGATGGCGCTAAACCCGAAAGCGGCACCCTTCTTCGCGTTCCACACCGAATTGTGTTTCGCCAACGCCATGAACTTGTAGATGAGATCCGGCTGGTTCATGTCAGTCGCCATCGAGCAAATTTCCTTATACGTGGTCAAGTTGTCCCTGCAAATGTGATAACGATAGTTTAAAGGCACATATTGTTAATGTTACTCGACTGCACATAGTGCGGTCTACTGTAGAATTGGGTGTAACATCATGAGTGTCAATTTACGCCACATTGTAAAGTAATCAAATTTTTCGCGTTTCGAGACGAAAACGAAACAGCGAGATTTTGTCTGGCTACCGTAATCCTCACCCGTTCGGCGACGTTCCCAACTGTCCCGGAGCGAACACTTGCGTGTCGCCTTGAACTTTTCGCGTCGACACATTGCCTTCGGTCAACGCCTTCATGAGCGTCTGCACCAATTGTTTTCTGAGCGCATCGCTTGCCGTCTGATAAATCATTCCCATTCCTTTCGAGGCGATGTCCTGCGTGAACTCGTGCTCCTCGGTGAGGCCTTCGGCGAACGCGTTCTGTAGCGTCGCCAAGAAAGCGTCGTCGTCCAACGCGGCGGCGCGCACTTTTATGAATTTCTGCAACATCGCAAAATAATTGTTCTCGCTCGACGCATTTGCCTCATACCTCCGTCATTATAAGAAGCCATGTGAACGCGCTTCGCCTCAAGTGCGGATTCAGTGACGCGATCTTCTCATTGACAATTCTCATGAAGCACTCGGTGATGCGCGATTGAATCACTTGCAGCTCATTCGGATCGCAAATCACCTTCTCCAACTGCATGTCGGTCTCGCACATCGTGAAATAGTTGCGTCGCGATAGCGCGAATTTGCCAAGAATCGCGTCAACGATCGCCTCGCCAACAATAATCTGAAGCTCCAACTGAGGTGGGCCCTCGCCAATTCGGAACAGCGATTCTAAAGCGTCTTGATATTCGGTCGCCGACGAGTCTTTGACAAGCCACGCGATGCAGTTGACAGCGAACTCGCGCCCTTTCGCCGGAATTCCGTCTTTTCGCGACACGGCGATCTTCTCGCAAACTTCGCGAATCTCGTCCTTGAACGGGACGTCAATCAAATTATACCGAAGAATGAAGCCGAGCGCACCCAGCGACGTCTCCAGCGTCGACGATTGCCGCTGATAGCCCTGATCGGCCAACGCGATCAATATCTTGGCGACATCGAGCGCATCCAAATGCCATTTCCTCTGATACGCGGTGATCTCGACGCCGCCGATTCGAACTGGTGTGACAAGAGTGGCGCACGTCCAGCAGAGTCCCGGAATGTCCTTCGTCATCAATTCTTGAAGGCTCGGACCATAGAGGCCTGATCGAAGCTCCTCGTTTTCACCAATAAGAATGGTGATCAAATACGATGCATAATAAGCCGACATCGATCGCGGATTGTCTCGAACTCGCTGAAATCGGAAACATTTTTTTTTCAGAATCGCAAGATTTCTCGTTTTTTGGTTAATACTGTTGATCGACCGAACTAACCGCAAGACTATGGTAAATCGTCTGCGGGAACAACACCGACATCGGCGTGATGCCATCGAGACCGCAATAGGAAATCGCGAAGCACGTCGCGACACGATACAAATGCGCGTCGTTGGAATTCTGAATCGCGTGCAACGCGATTTTCAGCGCCTTCAAAAGGCGAGGCACGTCGACAAACTCGCGAATCTGCAAACCATTTTTTGGAGGGCGATGAATTCGAAAAGAAATACACCCAAACCATTCGAATCATTTTTGGCGAGACAAACGTCCAAAGCAAATCGTCTTCATCGACGTTCAAATCGGCCGGATCATCCAGTGTGATCGTTTCAGCCAAAGCGTACAAAAATTGGGCACTCTTCAAAATGTCAAAAATTATGAAGAGATGAAGAAACTCGGTTAATCCATTTTAATGGGAGGTGTAGCCACAACAGCACCATAAATGGAATGGTGGTGGGCTAACTCACAAAAACGAATATATCGTGAGAAATGGAAAAAAGAAGCTCGTTTTCGGAACGCCGCTAATCGGTCTAATCTTTCCGGCAAAAATTATCATTTTTCTAAAAAAAAAAATGCATCGTCACAGTCGCGCGAATTCGAAAAATCGACTAACGGTGTGCGCCTTTAACCTATCCTTATGCCTAGATTTTCATCTCAGCCCTCACCGCTTGATGCATTGCTGCCGGAAATGTGCCCTCTTGAAGTATGAGCTCCTCGCCGTTCTCCTTCTCAATGTCGACGCGCAAATGTTGCCATAGCTCGTCGATCGTTGCCGTCAGACTAAGTTTTTTATGGACAAGCGTCATGTCGAGAAGGCGCATCGCTTCTTTTCGGCCCTCGTCGCGCCTTGAAATTCACAATCAATCAATGCAATCGGAGATCGCGCTTACTCGTCATCGGTCATGCATTTAATGAGCACCCAAGTCACGTCAATATTCTCATCGAATAGTGCGGTTTCAATGAATTTGATCAAAAGCGCTCGACATCGCCGCCGCGGCTGAAAACTTCGAATAGCTCGGAGAATTCAAAACTAATCGGAGCTAGAACATTTTGGCGATTGTCATGGTCCCATGCAGATTTGGCAAAAACCTCGGCCGTAGCCAGATTATTCGAAGCCTACAGTACCAGTTTTTATTAAATCGCTGCAAGATTAATGAATCGAATGCGCCTTTTTGTAATTAAAGGCGCATTTCTTGCATTTTATAGAAAAAAAAACTGTGAAACTGTAGGCTTCGAACACCCTGGCCGTGGCCTAGGTTTTCGGTTTTTTTCCTGCAATCTGCATAACGATTCTTAAGGGTTTTTTTTTTGCGAAATCTGCATAGCACCATAAAATTCGTCCAATTCCGATTGGTTTTGATTGGTCAAAGCCACATCATTGCAAAAATAAATCACATTGGCTTACATGCACAACAAGCTTCTCGATCAATCGTTTGAAGCGCTTTCTCACTTCCATACTCTTCGCTGATGAGTCGAGAACGGAAAACGCGTCGCGCCAACGAACGAGACAGTCCACTTTGGCGTAGCCGATATCTCTAGAATCCTGCAAGAAAAAACGACGAAGAAAAAAATGTGTGCAATTTGGCGTGGCGGTGTTTTCATACATAGGGTATCGAATCGATCAATTCCTCTATGAAATCCATTTTCTGCGGTACAATCCACGGCGCGATTCGTCCCAAACATCCGAGGCAATGGTAAACCAAAGATTGGATATTATCATTTTTCTGAAAAAAAAGAAAACTAATTTTTCTACAAAAAAAAAACTCTCACATATCGTTTCTCTTTCAAAAACTGTTGAAGTCGCTTGAATAGGGGATGCGGAATGGTCTGAAGCGCTTGCGGCGTCATCGAATTCACGACGCACGCAATGAAATTCAGAATTTCACGCTGTATGACGGTGTCGTTACATCGCAAGCCATCCAAAATAATCTGCAAAAATGGAATAACGAAAATCGGGGAAATGAGATAACCTTCAAATTGTTCGGAAATTTGTAGGGTGCTGATTCCGATTTGACCAACAATGGCAACACCCTTCGCTTCATCGCCACAGTGCCAGCTTGCCGCTGAAACCACAATCAAACTCATTGCTTTTATACGAATTGTTCAACGTACAATTTTTTGAGATCCATTTTCAGGCTCGCCGTCTCCAAGGTAGATCGCGTAGAGTTTCATTAGAATAGTATGATTCTCAATCAATTTTGAACTAAAGTTGAAGACGTCGAAAAATGAATGAAAAAAAAATCTTACGTTTCGATTCGTTTCAGTAGAGTTTCAGCATGTTGCATCACACTAAAAAATACTATTCAAATGTAATTTTTTTAATTTCCTATAAAAAAAGCGAACCCGTCATTATTTGAAGCAGCTGCCAGTGTTAAAAGTGGAAACGCGATGGAATCAAAAAAAAATCCCAGTCCAATAAGTTTCACAGCGACCGTTTTCACCTGAGCAAAAACGAAACAGATGAAGTGAGAATGAATTCGAAGCGATAAATCCCACCTCGGCGACGTTCACATCGTCGGAATTGAAAATCTTCTCGGCGGTCAGTTTATACTCTTCAACACTCATTCCAGGGCATACAATTGGTTGTTTATCGCGAATATTTCGCAAATTCTCCTGGATCATTGAATACTGAGGAGTGGGAAACGCAAAAATTCGCCGAAATGCTGTCTCAAGGCCACATTGTGCGGCTTTTCTCATTTGGTATTGAGCTAGAGGAAACTGATCATGTTGGATGGTGCTCAAATGCTTCAACGCTGGATAGCAGAGATAGAAAAAGCTGGAATTTTTGAATAAAAAATTTTTAAAAAAAACTTTTGAAATTGACTAACTCCATGCCGAAATCATAGTTCTCTTGCTCGCATTTGGCTTGAAGAACATTTATAAAATTTGGGAGCATTTTGAGTTGCTGCTCGAGTGGGGTTCGATCTCTGGCAAGCTTCAAATAAATATGCGAGAAATTCTGCAAAACTTTTCAATAATTCAAAATCGATTCGATAATTTTTCGAAAAAGAAACCTTTGCCACAGAATTCTCGCTTTCGAATAATTGCAATAGTCGCTCACACGGGAATATGATAGCGGCGTTATTCCTCACAACCTTATTATAATGGGTAAGAATCTCCATGAACTGAACATTTGAATTTGAGAGGATGATTGTTTAAATCGATTTCCGAACCTTTGAAGCATTATTCGGATTTTTGCCAGCATAATCAAGAATATCGCAAAGATGATTATCGGTAAACTTTTGAAGCTTTTCATCATTATCACAACCAAGAAGCCGCAAAAATAGTCGTTCGACTGTAAAATAAAAATTATTTTAGCAGGAAACAAATCCATTTTACTATTTTCCTGATTTGATAAATCCAGAGTGTTTTGGGAGGCTGCCACTACCGGAGTTTGAGATGGTCCCGATGTATCCATTTCTACAAATGTTTCAGAATTATGATAATAATCCCACAAGACACTTTTCAATAGTACACAATACAAAAATAAAAATAAACGGATAAAACTTTTTAGTATTGGTTTAAGGCAGGTGTAGGTAAACAACGCTTGTTTATCGTTGAGAACGGCGTGCTTGCAAACGAAAAAAGGCGGCCACGGCAAAAACTCGGCCAGGTCATTCCGCCGGTTGATTTTGCCACAAATACTGCGGCAGAGAAAATGCACACTCTCTCAACAGTTTATTAGCAGTAGCCAATTTCAATTAGGCATCCTTTTTGTCGTTCTTATCGGTGACTTCATAAATGGAATCAACGAAGATCGGCTTCACATCCTCATTCTTCCCGATGCAGAACAAATAGAATTCGACGATGAGGTGCGAGATTCGCCACATGGTTGCGCAGAGTAGAATCTGAATTGCGGGATTCGAGTTGAATTCGTTGTGTTTGGAATGATTACCTGAGCCGTTACACCGAGTCCAACAAAAATATAATTCCAAATGTTCTTGTTGTCAACCGAAAGCATCACAGCGCCTGAATCATTAGAAATGTTTCAAGAAACTTAGCAGACAACTTGCTTAATCCCGACGTATAAGCTGTGACCTGCTTTAAATTTTCAATGAAGACGTGCGGATTGTGCTTCCATGTATGGATTGCGGTCAAAACGAACACCACAATGGCATACATTGCCGGATAAATGAAAGCAGGGGATACTGTCTTGATCGGGACCAAATAGAATTCAGCCAGGCTTCCGTAGCACTTTTTAACATCGATTTCTCTGGAGGCAAACTGCAATATTCAAATTTCAACGATTTGTGCAGAAAAATTGTGGAAAATTGGTATTTAGGTTAATACCGATCGGATCTCCACTGGTTTATCAGCTTGCTCCCTTTTCTGACGTCGATACTCAAGAACAAAATCTCGAAACTCGTTCTCATTGCCAAGCTCCTTATACATACATCCATCATCTGAAAAAAACCTTCATGTCTCAAGAATCCGATGGAAGAAGCTCACCGAACCACTTATCAATCCTTTCATCCATCCATAAGCAAATTCGGACAATCGTCGCAGCAAATATGCAATAGCCAACGAGGGAAAAGAGGATCACCCACCACGAATTGGGTTCTCCGATGTCATCAGCTGAGTGGTTAATTAATTAATTATTTATAATTGGCTAGTGATTTGAATTTGAGAAAGCTTAGAAAACCAAAAAAAAGTTTAAACGCAAAATTTAATTTTTAATATATTTTTTAAAATGCTTCCTATTAAACCAATAACATTCTAGATTGCAATTTTAAACAATTTTTCATCGCGTTAAAAAATCAAGCTCGAATCAGCGTGATTCAATCTCTCATCACTTTGTTCCATTTTATTCAAAACTTCCAACAATTTTGATTATCTCACCAAATCCCATAAAAGTGTTGATAATAAGCAAGATGTCGCGAACAGGTTCGAACACGACGTATCTATCAGCTGTTAGGAACTCTATTTCCACTTCCCATATCATTTGAGAAACGTTCAACTTCTGAAAAGTGGGTTTTCAGCAAAAAATAATCAATAGTTTCGCGTTAACCGGCAAACTTTGATAGGCTCGTCGGCTGGCCTCCTGAACAACCCTGTGCCTCAGCTCATCATCTTCTATATAACGATAAACACTTCTTTTAATTGTTAGATACCCTATTACTACCCAAACGATTGTGAATAGAACGACAACAAGATCTAAAAACCGCAAAATACACTAAAAACCAAACCAAAAACTAACTTAAAAAATTCTTCCTTTGAACGTACTTCTTGCCGACGACTTGTAGAAACATTTTGAGTTGCTTTCACTCACTACACTTGTTACTAGGCTACATGGATTTCTCAGTAGACATGGAAACATAAATAATGATTTATTGATCCGAAAATTTTTATAAACGAAAAGAAAGTTAATTTTTGGACGGATGTTACAACATTTGCTGTCGTTGGGTTCTGCAGCTGTATTACAATTGGTGATTATTCAATGAGATCGTAGACGCGCGTGTATCATACATTAATTGTTAGAAAGAAAATAATAATTCGAGTTTCACAATCGAGTAGAATGATTTAAGCGCGTTCTCCGCGAATGCGGCGAGCCAATTGTATGTCCTTTGGCATGATGGTGACACGCTTGGCGTGAATGGCGCACAAATTGGTGTCTTCGAAAAGTCCGACGAGGTAGGCCTCCGAGGCTTCCTGAAATTCGAAAAAAATCAATAATTGTCGCGCGCGTGGAACTTTGTACCTGAAGTGCGCCAATAGCAGCGGATTGGAAGCGGAGATCAGTTTTGAAGTCCTGGGCGATTTCACGAACGAGACGTTGGAATGGGAGCTTGCGGATGAGAAGCTCGGTGGACTTTTGGTAACGACGAATCTCACGAAGAGCAACGGTTCCCGGACGATAACGATGCGGCTTCTTCACTCCACCGGTCGATGGGGCCGATTTGCGAGCGGCCTTGGTGGCGAGCTGCTTTCTTGGAGCCTTTCCTCCGGTCGACTTGCGGGCGGTTTGCTTGGTACGAGCCATTTCTAAAAAAAAATCGATAAATTCGCGGATAAACAAGTTGCCGCACGCGCTAGCGCGCGCAACGCGGCGCGTCTACATTATTACGAAGGAAAGCAGCGAATCGATTGCGAAATTGCGATAAACAAGAGAAGAAAGAAAAATGAAAAACAACCGGTCGAGAGAGCACACGATATGCGGAATGACCGTAATTGCGAACGCGGACGTACACATAAATTGGGCGTGGCGAAGCGGTACGCAGCGAAAAACAACGCGCAGTCAACATTTGATACTCAGCCGATGTCACGTGAGCAGCAGAAATTTGGTCGCGCTGGCCGAGTGCCAAACTAGCGCCTATGCGAAAGAAACCATGAATTATCGATCGAAACTTGCAAAAACACAAAAAAGTGCGGAATTCGGCGCAGGAAGGCGGAATTTTGCAAAAATTTCCAAAAAATCGAAATCTACGGTGTTACAAGTGTCATGGGACCGAAATTTCCGAAAATTCGGGTTTGAATGGTCCGAGGATACCGATTTACAGATTTCTGGAAAAACATGACCCTTGAAAATGAAGGTTTTCGGGAAACGCGCATAACTCGTCGGTGGATGGACGCATTTTGTTGAAATTTGACATTTATATTAGTGAAGGGTTCCCGAAGCGACTGGCAAAGTTTCAGAAGAATCGATACTGTACAAGTGGAGATAATAAAGACGGAACTGGAAAACTACAATTTGAAAGCTTTCACGTCGGGATTCGCGCGTATTTGTCTATCGTCGCCTGGCGCTCTCTCGCCGCCGCGCACTGTTTTTCAATTTCGTTGGGCTTCTCTGGCGTCCTCTTCACCGACCGACAATCTCTCATTACCGCAACGTGTGGCCCGTGTGTTTGCAGACAATGCGCGATGAATGACGCGCACGAGCACTTTGAAATCATCATTTATTTCACGTCGAACTCAATTTGATCGTTCTTTTTTGTTATTGTAGTCATGGCTCCACCGGCGCCGCTATCAGTTACTAGCACCAACTCATCGAGCACAGTTTTGCTCACCGAGAGCTCGGATGAGAACACACTTCGCGATTTTTTCCGGACGCGTGTCGACGATGCCGAGCAAAAGGTTCTCGAAAAAGGACAGAATGTCAGAAGACTTCAGGCTCAAAGAAATGAGCTTAACAACAAGGTAATGTGTTTGGTCTTCCACATCGCCAGTATTTGTGTATAGGTCCGCATGCTGAAAGAGGAGCTCCAGCAACTCCACGAGCAGGGTAGCTACGTCGGTGAGGTTAGCAAAGCGATGGACAAAAAGAAGGTGCTCGTCAAAGTGCATCCAGAAGGCAAATACGTCGTTGACGTCGACAAATCCATTGATATTAATACAATCAATACCGGAGCACGTGTGGCGTTGAGAGCCGACAGTTATGCTCTTCACAAAGTTCTCCCAAACAAGGTCGACCCACTCGTTTCACTCATGATGGTCGAAAAGGTGCCCGATTCAACCTACGAGATGATTGGTGGTCTCGACAAGCAAATTAAAGAGATCAAGGAGGTCATTGAGTTGCCAGTCAAACATCCCGAGCTTTTCGAAGCCCTCGGTATCGCGCAACCAAAAGGTGTCCTGCTCTACGGACCACCGGGCACTGGAAAAACGCTGTTGGCGCGTGCCGTCGCCCATCACACCGAATGCACGTTCATCAGAGTGTCGGGCTCCGAGCTTGTTCAAAAATTCATTGGCGAAGGAGCCCGAATGGTCCGTGAGTTGTTCGTCATGGCTCGCGAGCACGCTCCCTCCATTATTTTCATGGATGAGATTGATTCGATCGGATCGAGCAGAGTCGAAGGATCAAGGTGATCAGTCTTCGAGGTGTGAGAACTATAGCTAAATTTTTCAGTGGCGGTGATTCTGAAGTCCAACGTACCATGCTCGAGCTTCTCAATCAACTCGATGGTTTCGAGGCCACCAAGAACATCAAGGTTATCATGGCAACGAATCGCATCGATATTCTGGATCCCGCTCTTCTTCGTCCAGGTCGAATTGATCGTAAGGTAAGATTGGTTGCAACCAAATTGGGTGTGTTTTACAATTATCGATTCCAGATCGAATTTCCAGCTCCAGATGAGAAGGCTCGCGCCGACATCCTCAAAATCCATTCGAGAAAGATGAACCTGATGCGCGGCATCAATATGCGCAAAATCGCCGAAAAGATTCCCGGCGCTTCTGGTGCCGAAGTGAAGGCGGTGTGCACAGAAGCCGGAATGTTCGCGCTTCGCGAGCGACGCATTCACGTGACGCAAGAAGATTTCGAAATGGCCGTCGGTAAAGTGATGCAGAAGGACTCCGAGAAGAACATGTCAATCAAAAAATTGTGGAAGTAAATTATTGCGAGCCTTTTTCTAATTTATTCAATTTCCTTCGTTTTTCTTCGTTTTTTTTCGGTGCGCGTTTTATTCGCTTTTCCCACGAAAGCATCCCCAAACAAAGAAAATAAACTTGTATTCATTTAAAAAAAAAAAGAAACAACAAAATCTAGACTAGTAAAAATAATCGTCGAATCTATTGCTTTCCGTATTTATTTGGAATACCCTTCTCATCGAAAAAATCGCTAATCTCGCCTTCTTTATGCATTTGCACCATGATGTCGCAACCGCCAACGAATTCGCCCTTCACGTAGACCTGCGGAATTGTCGGCCATTCGCTGTAGATTTTGATGCCCTCGCGAAGCTCCTGATCTTGAAGCACGTTGTAGTCCTTGAATTTGATGTTGTGAAAGTCGAGAACCTGCAATTTTCAATCGATTCATTTGAGAATGATTATTTCATAATTGTAACAGCCCACATGTCTTGGCACGAAAATAAATGTGTCGACTTACGGACTGGATTTCAGAATGGGTTAAGACACATCTAATTTTAAGCACAAAATTAAAATAAATGAACTTTTTGCCGTCTCAAACTCACCAATTTCACATTCTTCGAAAATCCACACATCGGCTCCTGTTGGGTTCCCTTCATGAACACCACAACATCATCAGCCTTCACGTACCCATCGATTCTCTTCTTCAGCTCATCAGCGAGCACTGGCTTCGTACCAGAAGCCGAGCTGAATCCACGAACAAGGCTTGTCGTCTGTCGCGAGAGTACTCGAAGCATTCTAGAAACTCAATTTCAGATAATAATTCTAAAAAAAAAACGGTTTTAATGGGAAATTATAGCGATTGAAACGCATTTCAAATAGGCGAATAAAAATTTAAATCACGAATTTGTCGAAGAAGAACAAATCATTTAATAAAACCATCAAAATACATTCACAGCGAGGAAAACGAAAAAAAAAGTGGACGAATGAATGAATTAATGAAGGAAGACGAGAAATTAAAAGAAACTCGATAAAACATTATGAAAATGGATATAAATAAAGCATAATTGGAGGAGAATAAACCGAAAATGAGGAAAAAATGAAAATGCGAGAAATACGTTTCGAGCCACCAGTATCGTAGAGGCGTTTGAGAGACATCGTGCGGCGGATCACAAGAAATAATCGGCTTGCGGCTTTTTCGCCGGCGCTCCGCGATTCTCTTGTGGTGCCGCCTCGAAGATAGTGAACTCTTTGCCAAGATTCTCATCGAGCTCCAGAATTGCGGCCACATTTCCACATCTAGAAGAAATTAATGAACAACTCCATCTGCGGACAATTCATATTTTGTTATCTCAATTCATTTTTTTTTTCTAAAGTGGTTACAGGAATCATTCGTCATACAAAATGGTTTAATGTTCTCTCGGAATTTTTGATTTTTTTTTTAATTTGGAGATCTATTAGAAATCAGGCTACGAAATCTCCTTGAAGTAATTTTTCCACTCAAGATTTCCAAAATTCATCTTTCGGATTTTAATCCAAATTACGTTCGCCTTGAATTTTCCATTTACCTGTAGCAATAGTTTGGTGCCGACCAGACGGTTAACACCTTCTCATTGAAGTGCCACTTGTAGCCTTCCATGACCAATTGATGCGCGCGACAGATCAAATCCACACCATTCGATTCGCAAAATGTTTTTGAAGCATCGGCGCCGAAAAGATAGCCGGCGCCTCTTGGGCTCAAACCCCAACCAACATTTCCTTCTTCGGGATCCGACCAGAGTAGATCGCACATCGGGCCGTCATGGGGAACCTAAAAATTGATTTATAAATATCATTGAATTTCGATTGCAACGAACCTCTTGCTTTCTGTCTATTACTCGGATTTGATCCATTGTGCTGATTGATGGCGAAAGTCCGCCGTGCACACAAAACACCTTGCCATCGATAACAGCGGCTAGCGCCAAATAATCGAAAACCTCGGTGCAATGTTTCCAGACGGAAGGGCTTCCATATTTTCGAAGGCATTCGTCATAGAACCCGTAGACTTGTGTAATTTGGCGACTCTCGTGATTTCCGCGGATCAGCATCATTCGATCGGGATATCTTGCTTTTAAAGCTAGAAGTAGGAGGAATGTCTTAAAATTCGATTTTGAAATGAAATTCGAATGACTTAGGCTTCTCACCTCCACAGAATAGAAGCCACGATCGACAAAGTCACCTAGGAATAGGTAATTTGTGTTTGGCACCGCTCCACCGACTTTGAACAGCTCCATGAGGTCATAGAACTGTCCATGAATGTCTCCGCATATCTATAATCGAAAATGTTTTGAAATCGCTAAATTTTCAAGCGTACCGTAACAGGAGAATCGATAACCTGCACATTTCCCTCCTCTGCTAATATTTCACGCGCTTTTGCGCAAAGTGTCTTCACCTCCTGCTCGGAAATCAGCTCGCATCTCATCAATTTCTCAATATGCCTGAATTTCGCGATCACAGCCATTAATATAACAAAAAATTACCTGTCCAAATCTTGTGTGGTCATTTCGACGTTCGCGCTGAACGTTGGCGATTCAGAACGATTCGTGGTGTCTTGAACTTGACTCTCCGTCAATGCAGACGCCATCCCTGCTGAAAATGGCATATATTTTTGGTTAAAAATCAAAAGTATTGCTGGTTTTTTAAAGATTGTGTTTGTTTTGATGAATTTCGCAACGCATAAATGATTTCAGGGCAAAACGAACGAAAAATGTACCGAAAAATGGCGTAATTCTGGCTCGGGTGAAATTATCAATAGAGCGCACTTGTTGCATGCAACACGGATTTATCACGGAATTTTCATGATTTGAAATTCATCTCGAAAAAAGACTCATCTGCATTTTTATAGTACAAATTTCGATAAAGAGGACAAATTACAGAAATGTGGAAACAATAATGAAGCGAAATTTGTTAGGTATTTGCGTTGATATTTTTTCTCATTTCATTTTTCTTTAAAAGCTCAAGATTTAATTAATTGATTTAATTAATAATTAAAAATTGACCGACTTTTTCAAAACTCAAAAATGCGAGTGAGGTGCACAAATTCAGCAAGAAATGTAAGTGCGCCATTCAACTAATTCTTATAAATTTATGTTATTCACCATTTCCTTTCATTTCTACGATGTTGTGACTTTTTTTTGATATTTGGTGTTTCAAATAAGATTTAGTTTGAAAACACACGCAATATATTTAAACATATTTATATAGCTGAAAGTAGACTTTATAAAGTTAAATTTAATTCATCAATTGTGGTCGTGGCCGCTAATTTCACCGAATCATATGAAAATATTTCACGGTCTTTTCTAATTGTTATCATTTTGATAATTTCTCTTTCAAATTAAGCTTCTTTTAGAACTACTACCCGACAAATTAACTATATATAGACATAATGAAGAGGAGCCATATGAGTTCATGTTCCGATTCAGATCCCACGGAAGGTAACGATTTGTCGTATGGAAAACTTGGCATGAAAGACCTTCAAAAACTTCTTCGAATTTCAAAAATTCGCATTGAATTCTTCATTCCTTATCGATTTTTCTCTTAATTATCTCATAATTGAAATTTTTATGTTTCTCATTCAAGGAAAAATTATTTTTGATAACAATTTATCATATAAACCAACAGTTTTGGCAGTGTCTTATCAATTTCTATTTTGCTCAATTTCGTAATGTCTTTACTTTATTTCAGAAATGGCGCCGGCGTTGCGTAATTTGGGATATCACTTTGATCATAAAGGGATTTTAAGGAACACAGTTAAAAATTTTTTGATTAAATAAATAATCTAAACAATTTTAGGTGAAAGAGCAATTCAAATTCACAACTCAAAATGAATACGAAAAACTTGGTGAAGCAATCACTGAAGAAATATATCGGCAATTAGAGGAAAATTTGAAATTGGTCAAAATTGATGTAATTCTTTATTAATATTCATTTTTCATCTCAAAAATTTTCAGGTGAAGCCAAAAGAATCGAAAGAAACCAATGTGGGATTCGTATTTGCCTCGCCAGATTACCACGATATGGAAACCCTACTTGTCCTGATCCATGGATCCGGTGTCGTTCGAGCTGGCCAATGGGCTCGAAGGCTCATAATAAATGACAACCTAGAAAAAGGCACCCAATTTCCGTATATAAAAGCTGCATTAGATCGAAAATGGGGAGTTTTAGTTCTCAACACAAATCATAACAGTGGCGAATATGGGAAATTGAAGGTAATTCGCATTTTTACAAAAAAAAACTTGATATTTAAATAATTTTATTTCAGTATAGCGAGAATTCCGTCCAACATACAATAAACGCATTTCAATATTTGATCAATTCAGACAAGATCAAGAATATATTTGTTGTTGCTCATAGTCGAGGAGGAAGCGACCTTCAGGCTCTTGTATGTCTTCAAAATTGCCAAAAAAAGCGCAACTTTTTATTTTGTAGATGGACTCGCATCATCGTGATGAAAGAATAAAAATCATATGCTTAACCGATTCATTCTGGAGCCAAAATCGCAACTATAATACCACTGTTGTTCACTTTGTGGCAAATGCGGTTTGAATTTTACGATGTTCCTTTAAACTTATATTTTCCAGAATCACTTGAAAAGCGACCCGTCTCGAAAGTATTATGAGCTTTATGCGGAAACTAATACACATGAGCTATCGAGTCATTGCGCGAAAAAAGGCGTTTTCTATATTTTTGATCATGTATGCTTTGATATATTTTAGTTTAAATATGCTTTTTTTGAAGATGGAGGACGGAAATGTGAAAAAAATTCTTAAAAAAGCTCGAAAGGTTATTAAAAATAAGAAGGGTCAATCAGAAAACAAGAATCAGGAAAAGCCGTTGAAGAAGAAAAGAAAAACACACTAATCTAAATTCCAAATAGCTTTTTTGCTGGCTTTTAATTATTATGAACTTATTTTTATGTGCTTCTGAGAAAACCTTGGAAAGTTATTTAAATTGTCGAATTTCGAGTTTCACGTTTTTTTTTCTCAGAATAACTGTTTTTTTTTTTACTTTGTTTACCCCCTTGAACTCGAAAAATTGTGTGCCACACATTTGCCAAATACCATGTCACCGCCTGTTTTCATTCCATTAGAGTCCCGTTATATATTTCTTATTTTTTCTATTTTTAGTTTTTATCAAATATTTTCAGGTTATTTCATATATAATTTCAAAAATTTATAAAATATCTTGTTTATCTCAAATAGAAGTTCAATTTAATTTTTTCTTGATTAGATTTCTAGGCTGCATGGCTAGATCTAACTAGTTTCTATGCGTTTCTTACTGATAATAAAACATTTCGAAGAGATGCTAAAAAAAGAAAAGGCCGGGAAATTCCTAGGCCATTCCTAAATTCCATTCGTTCATTAGCAATTTCACTATTCAGAAAAACTGATAGCGCGTCAAGTTGACCTTTTTCAATTATTTCGAAATATACTGTCTATCAATCCAGCTCAAAAAACTCCTGCGCGATATTTCTACAAACGAGAGAGAAAGCGAGAGAGAGAGAAGCGGAATGTTGAGGGTTACACCGATGATGATGATGTTCGGTGGAGCGCGTTTGGAGTACGCGCGTTCGTATCCGCACGACGCATCGTTTTCGATTCGCCGCCACCGCGCCACACGAAAATTTTTTGAGTTTTTGAATCCGCCAATTTTGTTTCCAGGAAATGGCGAGTCCAGGAACCTCAACCGCCGTCGATACCACCCAAACATGGAATCGACTTGCCGCCGGCTTAAACCTTATATATAATCGCGAGCATATGTCGAATAACTATTATATGGAACTCTACACGTAAGTGAACGCTTGAGAAGAATTCCAAATCTGTTTGTTTATTTATTTTAGGAGCGTCTACAACTACTGCACGTCTATTACATTGGCAGGTAAAATTTAAACAAAAAAAAATTGTTTCGAATCAGAAAATATGTTGTTTTATGTTGCAGGTGATCCTAAGGTTACCGTTAAAACAATTGTTTCGAGATCTCAAGGTACCGCCGAGTTTGTTGGTCAAGAAATGTACACCCGCGTCAAGTCATACGTCCAATCGCGTGTCGAAATCATCCGAAAGGTTTCTAGTGCATCAATTTCAATTAGTCGCATCAAATAATTCGCATTTATCAGCAAGGTGATGACTTGGATGGTGAGAATTTGTTGCAATTCTACACGAAAGAATGGGAAAACTTTCGATTTTCATCGCGTGTGATGAACGGCATTTTTCAATATTTGAATCGTCAATGGATAAAACGCGAGCTCGACGAGGGCCATGATAACATATTTATGGTGTACACTCTTGCGTTGAGAATCTGGAAAGAGCATCTGTTTGATATCATGCGCGATCGTGTCATCGATGCGGTTCTTGAAATGATCAAGAAGGAGAGAATGGGAGAAATCATCAATAAGTCATTTATCTCCGGAGTTGTCGCATGTCTGGGTAATCGAATCGCCTGAAAATCTCCAAATTTCTCTCTTATTCATTTATTTTTTCTTTTAGTTGAGTTGGGTCTTGATGAGTATGATACTCTTGAGAGCACAAGCCGTCGAGCAAGCGAGCGCGACAATTTGAAGGTGCCTGCCAAAAAAAAATTGCTCCAAAATTGGGCCGATTAACAATTCAGGTTTACCGCGAATGCTTTGAACTGAAATTCCTCAAAGCCACCCGAGAATTCTACATTCAAGAAGCGTCGGAGTTCCTCATGCACGGACGCTCTGTCGTCGACTACATGCTCATCGTCGAGAAGCGCCTCGAAGAGGAGGACGTACGCTGTCAGATGTACTTGAATTCGAGCACCAAGAAGTCGTTGGCGACGTGCTGCGAGGAGGTCCTCATCGCCACCCAACTCGAATTCTTCCAAAGCGCTTTTTGCGGTCTGTTGGCGAACAACAAAGATGACGATCTTGCGAGAATGTTCAAACTCTGCGATCGAGTATCGAATGGACTTGACAACTTGCGAGTTGCGCTTGAGAGGCATATCGTCAAAGAAGGACACGAAGCTCTTGAGAGGGTGACCAATGAAGCTCTATCGGTAAGGGAGACGATTTCTGAAATATTTCATTTGCATCTTTCTGCTACAGGATGCCAAACTCTATGTGAACACACTTCTCGATGTGCACCAAAGATATTTCAAGTTGGTGAAGACTGCGTTTGGTGGCGATCCGGGATTCATGCAGGCTTTGGATAAGGTACGTTGACGATGATGGTTCATTTCCAACAACTCTAGATGGTATTTGCGGGGGAGGGATGATGGAGTGTTGTATTTTGAGATACCCAGACATTGATCGAGATGCTCGCACGTTTGTGGAGGATCTCGAAGTTATTAATAAAATGATACTATTTTACAAAATACGGAAAATTGGCATAATAAAATTTAAAAAATATCTGGTTCCAATTTTATATATTTTGCTGAAATCGACAAATTTGTAAATTTCCGATTTTTTTTTTGAGAAAACGGAAGAATATATCCCAAAAAATGTTTTGAGCGACTACTTTTTGAATAAAATATTAATGATTAGGAAGGTGTATTAACAATTTTAGGCGGCTACCAATTTTATCAACGCGAACGCCGTCACGAAGCGAGCGCCACCATCGCAAACCAACAGCAAATCTGCTGAGCTTCTCGCCCGATACTGTGATCAGCTTTTGCGAAAAACTGCCAAAATGCCCGATGAGCGCGAACTCGATGAGATGCTTGACAAGATTGTGAGTTTCAAATTTTTGGTTTTGAAATGAAAAATTGTTACTTTTAGATGATAGCATTTAAATATATCGATGATAAGGATGTTTTCTCAAAGTTTTACACAAAAATGTTCAGTAAGAGGTGCGAAAATTTGGAAATGAAATTGAAAAAGCAATGAAAATTTGTTATTAGACTTATCAATGAGATATCGGCAAGCGATGAAGCCGAGGCGAGCTTCATTTCGAAATTGAAAAGCATGTGTGGTTATGAATATACATCGAGATTGTCGAAAATGGTGAACGACACCCAAGTGAGCAAGGATTTGTGCGGCGAATTCAAAGACAAATTGTCGGCCGATGATCGAAACAAAATCGGTCTCGAGCTCAATGTGTTGGTGTTGAGCTCCGGCTCGTGGCCAACATTCCCGGTGGCCAATATCAATTTGCCGTCGCGTCTCGGTTTGTGCGTCGAGAAATTCACGCAATTCTACGATCAAAAGTTTAATGGACGCAAATTGACGTGGATATACTCGCAATCGCGCGGCGAGCTTGTTGCCAATTGTTTCCCGAAAAAATATGTGTATACGGTAAGCGTCTTGAAGCGTCGTCGAAAAGAATTCATTGAGAATCGGTTTTTTTTCAGACAACAACCGCTCAAATGGCGACGATTCTGTTGTTCAATGAGCAGGACAAATTCACAATTGAGCAGATCATGAATGCGACGGGTATGGATTTGAAGTCGGCGACGGCTGTTGTTGCATCGCTCATCAAGGTATACAGTAACCACCCTCCCATGCTAATTTCAATTTAAAAATTTTTTTAGAATGAGCTTTTGAAAGGATCCGATGAGGAATTGAACTCGCAATCGACAATCACCATCAATATGGGGTACGCGAACAAAAAAGTCCGTGTGGATTTGTCGAAGATCACCGTTCGGCAGGAGACGAATCGCGAAACGGAATCGGTGCACAAGAATGTCGAGGAAGATCGAAAGAGTGTTATTTCGGTAAGTCTTGTGACGAAAATTCTGACGTTAAACATTTTTTAATCAATTTATTCCAGGCTGCTATTGTGAGAGTGATGAAGACGAGAAAGCGTTGTCCGCATCAGCAATTGATCTCAGAGGTGAGAATTGAAAAGTTGAATTCCTGACAAATTTATTAATAGCTGAATATATCTTAGTTGGATTAACGATGTCAAAACGAAAGTCTTCATATTTGTTTTTTTGGGGTTTATGTGTATTGTAGGGATTTATATCTCAAAGTTCCACTGAATAATTCAGACTAAGGCCAGTCTTCTATTTATGGACTTATTTTGGGAAAAAAAATGTATTTCTGAATGTTTCTTAAAATCGCTGAGATTTCTGAAATTATTCGATTTTTTAATGTTTCCTTTAAAAACTGCTAAAAACGCATTTGTGCTTCAAAAGTCTTCGCAAATTGGACCTTAAACCGAGAATTGAAAATCCGAGAAATTGAAAGTTTCTTTGAGACCAATCAATTTTCTTCACTTTTTCATGCTGAAGAATTTGAGGTGTAATATATTTATCATTTGAATTGGAGTCCTAGGTCTCGTATTGAAAATAAATCTCTTATTAGAGGGATTTGTCTAATGGAGATATTAAAGATGAGAAAGTATGAAGAAAAAATTTGAAAAATTTCATAAAATGTGATTTTTTTTTTACATTCTTGCTTTGAAATAAACGTGTAACTTTTTGTTGAACATCTAATTCCACAATTATAGTGGGAAATATTTTGTTTTGCGGGAACAATACATTTTTCAATTCACAAAAAAGAAAAAATGAATTGCATCGCGTAGCCATTTAATTTTGCGATTTCAGGTTATCACCATGCTCTCATCTCGCTTCAAGCCGAAGGTTGATATGATCAAAAGATGCATTGAGACGCTTATCGAGAAGGAGTACATGAAGCGCACCGAGGAGACAAATAAAGCATACGAGTACATTTCATGATTTTTTTTTTGGTTCAAAAATTTCAATCAATTTTTTTTTCGTTGGCCTACTCGCATTTTGTTGTTTCATTCTTTTCTCTTATCCTCGCGACCCCCAATTTTTGCTCTTTGTATGTGTGTGTGTGTGTAATTAATTAATTAAATTCATCCTCTGTGAAAGCTTAATAGTATTTATGGTTCTTTTCGTTTCCACTCAAGCCACCTTTTATTGTTCATCTTCTCGTACAATGATCAATTGATGTCCTTTTCACCCGATATTTTTCATGGTGGTCAAATACGCGCCGAAATGAGATGATATTCGCTCTAACTTCTTTTTTTTTTCGAAAAATTACACATTAATCGAGTTTTGCAGTTGATCGACTGCTTTTTTTTATCAACTCCCTCTCTCTCTCTCTCTTATTCATCTATCAGTCGACTTTTAAATTCATTCAAGCGATGTGTTTTTTTTTTCGATGAATCTGTCGAAAATGAGAAATCGAAATATTCTGTTTGAATTGGGAAAATCGCAAACGATTGGATGTTTTGTGGAAAAAATTTGAATTTGAGGCGAATTTTTTTTAATCGAGGTGAGGGTTTAAAGGCGCATCGTATTCGGATTTTGAAGTGGAAATAATTCGCTTCAAGACATTGTATGGTATTGAAATGATTTGGGTTTTTTTTTTCATGTGAGACTTATTTAAAGGCGCATTGCTTATTTTGTGAGGGCTTCGATTTTTTTTAATAAAACAATTTCTTGAAACGTCGAAACATGATTGAATCATTTGATTTCGACAATCAATTATGAACTCGCTACGAGACCCACCCAACTTTAATTACCGTATTCGTGCGCCTTTAAACACACCAGCCTCGATCGGTGGCGAATAATTAGCACGATTTTCAATTCAAGACCCAACACGTCCACGGCTAATGGTTTCCATCGGCGATTGAACAACACACACACACACACATATTGGTGACCTCTTCGCCAATTGACCAGATGCCCCCGGTTGCCGTCCGTCGCGAGCCTCACAATCTCGTGTTGTCTCTCGCGTGCGCCACGATGTTCGTAAGTTTTTTGAAGAGAAGCACAAAACTATGATGACGCGTGTTGTATTTTTTGTGTTGCGAATGGGAGGCCCCCCCTTTTTTTTTTCAAAAAATGTTTATTCCAAAAAAAAAAGAAATATTCACCGTTTTGAAGCAGCCATCTTTTTTTTTATTCAATTCTTTTTTCTTTTCACATATTTCAGCAATGCGTCTGATCGTTTGCCTATTCGGTCAGATTGCCGCCTCGTTGGCGTTGTTTCCCGGCGCTGAGCCCGACGAGGGCGACGTGCGGCACGTCTACCCGATGATTTACATCGGCGTCGGACTCGACACACACGCGCACGCGATTCCTTACATATTCGGTTGGCTCGAGAACGTGTTTTATCCGAAAGTGCGAATGAGAATTGAGATATTTATTGGCAGCCGTGAGGATTCGACGATTCACCAGGTTAAATGGTTCGTGCGGGGAAATTCGTGAATTTTTCGAATTTTCCATTTTTTTTTTGCTGTTTCCAGGTGGATCGATTCAACAAAACAGCACTATCGTCACGTGAAATTAATCGAGAATTCTGAGAATTGGCTCGAAGAGGCGTTGCGGAATGGACGACTTCAGAAGGCTGAACGATGCCTTCTTTTCACCGGCGACACCGTTCCAACCGATTACACAATGTTGAGGGTTTGTGATTTGAGCGATAACGCAAATATGAGCATTGGGAGATTTGCAGAAATTGTTCAATGACAAGAAGCACATTGTGGTATCGCCGTTGTTTCAGTCGATCGACGGCTCGGCGAATATTGAGAACGTCTCGGAGAATCTAATCAAAATGGTGAACGTTCGCGAAGAGATTGAGATTTTTGCGTTGCCGTGCGCGATTAATCTCAATTCGATTGATTCGTCTTATTTGACATTTGATTCGCAGAATTTGCCGTTCTATGAGGGTCCGAACGCGCCGATTGAGGTGAGCGCTGTTTGACAGACGAATTCAGGTTTCATTTTCATTGGTTTTATCATTTTCCATCTGCGGACAATATTTTTTTTGTGTTTTTCAGGTTTTCACCGAATCGGCAAAAAAGATGGGAATTGCCTTATGGGGAGACCATCAGAGTTCGTATGGCATCTATGTGAACCCATCATTGGATTTGGCGGATCGCCGACGAACGGTATTTCAATTTTTTTTTGGCGGTTTGCATTGATTTTCGAATTCAGTGGTTTTAGATTCGCTATCAGATTGCTGATATGATTGCGGATGACAAAATTGTGCCGTATCCGTCGAAAACGGTTCGACCGTGGCAACCGGAGCCGGAATTGTTTGGAATGAACAGGCGAGACATTTTGCGTAGAGTGTTTTTAGTAGAAAATTGTCATTGCAAAAATGAAACGAGCAGCTTGGGTATTTGTGGACCATATTTGGGAATACAAATTTGAATTTAGATGGTGGGAACTTTGGTACGGTAACCATTCGAAATAAACTCATCGTAAATCGACGCAGGATGCTCGTTTTTTTAACGCGATTGAATTAAGCGTTTAATTGATATTTAAAAAATTAAAGGGTCAGGGGTATCCATAAAAAATGTCAAGGAAAGATAAGAAATCGGAAAAAAGAACGAAAATTAATTTGTCGTTGAGAAAATCGATGACGAAACAATTAGTAATTGAAATAAAAAGTTCCATAAATGAGCTTGTCGCGTGTTTACACCTGAAGCATTTTATTTAGCGACAAACTCAGGAAGACGCGTGCACCAGAGAGGCACCAAAAGATGCGCTCTGGACACCAGGGCTGTGCGGCAATCGGAAATTTCGGCAATTCGGCAAATCGCCAAAAATCAAAATTTCGGTAATCCGGCAATTCGGCAATTTGCCGATCGAACGTTCTCTTCGGCAATTCGGCAATTTGAAAAATCGGCAATTTCGGCAATTTCGGCAATCGGCAATTCCATTGCCGCACAGCCCTGCTGGACACGCCGGACTGAGAAATTTGAACGTGTGATTTTCACGTGATTGACCGTATACCGTTCTTAATTTTTGGTGTTTCGAAGACACATGTTTTGTTTTACTATAAAGGGTTACCCTGTCCCTCCCCCTTCCTCTTTAAAGGCGCATAATCATTTTTTTTGTATCTAGGATAGTATATTTTGTTGTCTCATCTGCGTACTGACAACAATTTTGCGCGGAAATGTAAATATTTGCGTTCAAAACAATATGGTGCCCAATTTTACCTCAAATGGAACATTTGGGAATAGAATTTTGGTCCTACCTGTCCTCCATCGATAGCCCTTTCTTTTCAAGAAGAATTTTTCAAAATTGAAATAATTAATACTGAAAATGCATTTTTTTTTTAGAATTTATATGATCAACTTGAAGCGGCGAAATGAGAGACTTGAACGAATGCGGAAGATTTTTGCAATTTTAGGTAGAAATTGAAACATTCTGATTTGAAGAAAAACGCATTTTTAGCCATTGATTTCACACTTTTCGAGGCTACCGATGGTCAGAAGCTCGACGAGCTCGGCGACGAATATCGAGACTATCGAATTCTCGACGGCTATTTGGATCCGATTTCGAATCGGCCGATGAAAAATGGCGAGATTGGTTGCTTTTTGAGTCACTATCGAATTTGGCAAGACGTCGTCAAGAATGATTTCGAGAAGGTGATTGTGTTCGAGGATGATCTACGTTTCGCGCATGACGGAATGGAGCGCGTCAACGATGTTGTGCAGGATCTTGATGCGAGCAAGAAGCTCTGGGATTTGATCTATTTGGGACGAAAGAAGCAGTCCGATAAGGTTGGAATATCCTTTTACCTTGAATTTCGTGGCGAGACCCCGTAGCTAAAAATATAATAATGTAATTTTTTAGGAGGAGCTTTGGGTGAATCAGCACCGTCATTTGAGCACGGTTGAATATTCATATTGGACGTTGGGCTACATGTTGTCGTTGGAAGGAGCAAAGAAGCTTCTAGCGCCGAATCCATTGAAGAAAGTGATTCCTGTTGATGAATACCTACCAATAATGTTTGATAAGCATCCAAATAAGGTAATTAATAATTTTGGGAATTTTAAAACAATTCTGAAAAAAATATCAAATTGAAATTTGTTTATCAACAAAAAAAAAACCAATTTTAGACCTGGTCGTCGTCTTATGAGCCAAGGAATCTGGAAGCGTTCACCCTCTACCCATTGGTGGTGTACCCACAAAGGTACACCAATGAGCCGGGATATGTGTCGGATACCGAGGATTCCTTATTAGTCAAACCCGCGTCGGACAAGAATTCTTACGTGAAAGAGGAATTATAAGACTGAAATTGTCATTTCTTATTTATTTTTTTGCCATGTCAAGCTTGTTTCAATTATGCCCTTCTGCTCAAATTCTTCAGCTTTATGAGGTTTATCAAATTGTGCTTTAATTATTTCCCATTTTGAATTATTAAAACAGGTTTTTTTTTTAAATATATATATTTTAAGCGGTTTTGCACTAAACAGTTGTTTTTACTAACTAAATATATTTTTTTGCCATCTTTTATTTTTATGTTGACGATATTTGAGTTCTAGGCAATCCGATTTGAGATGGGATGCGTTCTTTCAAGCGCTGACCTTGCTGGAGAAGGATATCGGATGAAAATAGTAAAGGAAATTGCAAAGGGAGGGTTTAGTGAGGTAAAATTGACAAAATATGGAAAATGTTGAAAAAAAAATGATGGGTTATTTCCCTGGAAAATTCGCAAAAAAATGAACAACTGAAATCCTAATTTTTTTTTTGAAACATATTTGCCAAAATTGATTATTGCACAGATTTTACTATGTGAAGACATTGATAGTCATGAAAAATATGCGGTAAAGAAAGTTGTTTCAAATTCCGATGAGGAAACTGAACGAATTCAGAATGAGGTTTGAATTTTCACGAGGTTTTAGTTCTTCTAACAATGAAATTTCTAGGCAAAAGTGCTCCGCGAGCTGCTCGATGTTCCGAATGCTGTTCAATTAATCGCAATGATTAATGAAGTCAATCAATATTTTTTTGTGTTCCCTTATTATTTTCGGGGTAATTTGGGCGATGAACTCGCAAAACGACGAATTAATAATAATTATTTGAGTGAAATTCAGGTTTTTTTGTTTAAATTGGAAATTTTATTGGAGTTTCGCCAACCTTTTTCCAGGTTTTACGATATTTTGAGCAAATTTGTATGGTTGTTGAAAAGCTTCATGAGAAGAGCTATGCGCACCGAGACCTGAAAACGGCGAATTTCTTGATTTCTCAGGAAAATGACTTACATTTGACCGATTTCGGATCCTGTTCAATGTAGATAATGCAATGTTCTTTTCCGCTTTTGTTTTGAAAAATAATTTTTTAGAATGCCGAAGGAAATAAAAAATTCCAAAGACCATCAAATTTACGTTGACGAAGCTGCTGAACTGTGTAGCATGCCTTATAGAGCGCCGGAACTTTTTTCGTGTGATATTGGGACCACAATAACGACTAGCATTGATATTTGGGCGAGTTTTTTTTTCACATATAATTTCGATTTGAAAAAAAAATAGTGACGTATGCAATTTTCCTCCTCGGTGTTTGCGTACCTCTTGTCATTACCGTAATCCATAATTTTTTAGTTTGTATTTTTCAGTCTCTTGGATGTTGTCTTTACGCTTTCTGTTTTTTTGTTTCCCCGTTTGACGCGGTTTACGAAAAGGGAGGAAGTATAGCATTGGCGACGCAGAGTCCTCATAAAATAGTGTACCCTGATGATGGAGGGTAGGATTTTTTTAATAGAACCCCAAAAATATTTTTTTTTCAGATTTAGCGATGACTTGAAAGATTTAATAAAGTGTATGATTCAAGTAGAGCCCGACCTTCGGCCTTCTATAGGGCAAATTCTCGAAATGACTCGTGAAATTGGCAAAAATTGTGAAAATGGCGATTCGAAAATAGTCTCGGTTTAAACTGGTTGCAATGATGGTTGTGAACACTGAATAAATTATGTATATACTAAAAACGAGCAGATTGTTTAAAAAAAACAACTAGAAAATCGATGGTTTCCAAGGAGAAGTCGTTATTTTCAGCTGGGATTAAAAAAAATTGGTCGAGCAACCAAGGAAGTGGATGTGAAAATACACGAATTTGAAACATTTGTTTTATATTTGACTAGTCTTTAAGAGAAATGTTTTGCTAATTTCGAAAAAAAGCTTCGAGCAAGTTGTAAGGCATTTTCCCGCAGCAGAAAATTTATTTTAGCTTATGCTAGGATGTTGATTTAATGTATGAACAATTCAATCGTTTTTTTTACAGCTTGGGTTTTAGTAGGAACATACAGGGCTTCGAAACTTACATTATCGGATTCTAGGTCCCTCAGAACCATAGAATTTCAAAAGTTTCGAAAAATTTGTCATTTTTTATTGAAACGTAAATTTATTTCTATGAACGGTTACTGTAATATAGAAATGGTTTACATTTGCGTGGGACGAATGCACACCTTCTCGATTATTCAATGAAACGTCATTGCAGACGTGTCCTAGCGAAACGCGAGAAACTCAATAAATAAATAAAGGGTGCGTTCGCAGAGACAAAGTCAGCCGGCATGTGGTTTAAGCTATTATTGGCGTTTTTATGTATGTTTCATGCATGTTTGAAAGTCTATAACTTGTCATTTTTCAGTGATATCAACATCGGAGTCGCTTTTTCGAAAACAGGAGAATATCGAGGAACTAACGGCGTCTAATTTCGATTCGAAAGTAACGGAAAAATCGAGCTTCTGGGTGACTGTCTTTTATGTTCCGAAGTAAGTTGTCCAGTTTTGTTGATTAAAAAAAATTGAAAATTTCAGCTGCGAGAAATGCAAACAATTCTCGAAGCAATTCATTGAGCTCGCGAAGAATTTCAAAGGAGTCGCGAAATTTGGAGCGATAAATGTGAAAGCGGAGAAAAAGCTTGCGAAGGCCCTCGGTGTCGATTCGAATAAAGAATGTCCAGCTATGAAGGTGTTCACTCCGGATTCGGCGAAACCAATCTCAATTCAATTGGATGGTTTTTAACACTTTCGTTATTTTGATAACTGAAACTCTTTTAGATTTAAAGAACCCGATTAAAATCGCGGATCAAATTAAAAATGTGATAGTGAAGACCATCGAAAATCGATTCCAAAACGTCAAACCGGAAAAGAGGAAGCGTGTGATTACGAAAAAGGCCGAAGACGATTTCCCTGGAGAAGTCGTTGTTTTGACTGATAGCAATTTCGAGAAGGTTTCTTTGCTATTCAACGGCAGATTTCAAGAATTCTTGTTTTCAGCTGGTTTTCAATAGCAAACACCCATGGATGGTGGAATTTTTTGCGCCATGGTGTGGGCATTGCCAACGATTGGCGCCGGAATGGAAGGAAGCGGCGAAAAAGATGGGCGGAAAAGTCAAAGTACGCAATTGTGGCCGCCGAATTTTAGCGTCGAATCATTCTTTTGCAGTTCGGAGCTCTTGATGCCACAGTCCATAATCAAATGGCCCAGAAATTCGGGATTCAAGGATTCCCTACAATCAAGTATTTTGGACCCGGAAGCACTGATCGCGATGCAATTGTAATTTTTCAGTAAAAATCTTCAGAAAAAAATTTTTCATTGCTTCAGGATTTTCATGGGGAACGAACGGCACAAGGATTGATCAATTTTGCGACCGAGAAAGCGACTGAAATTGTGCCGCCGCCGGAAATCATAGAAGGAATCAGCGAGGATGCTGTACAGGAAGCCTGTTCGGACAAACAGCTCTGCGTTTTCGCATTCTTGCCACCCCTTTTGGATTGTCAGTCAAGTTGTAGGAATCAGCACATTGCTATGATTAATGATGTGATCGAGCACTTTAAAAGACGCCAATGGGGGTTATTAAAGATTTTGAATCATGTATTAAAAAGAAGTTTCATTTTTAGATGGGTTTGGATGGAAGGAGGAACCCAAAATGATGTTGAATTAGCGTTTGGAGTTGGTGGATTCGGATATCCTGCCATGTCCGTATTGAGCCCGAAAAAAATGAAATTTGTGACGTTTAGAGGGTCTTTTTCAAAGGTTTCCTGAATTAACGATTGTTTTTTTATTGAAAATACCAAATTTTAGGAATCGATTGTTGAATTCCTTGAAGGAATTGGATATGGAAAATCGCGGGTTGAAAGTATTTCTCCAAAAGCATTGAACGATGATGGATTCCTGAAGGTTGGCACGATTGCGGCTTGGAATGGAAAAGACGCGGAAGAGCCGAAAATGGAGGAGATTGATCTGTCGGATGTTGACATGAAAACCGAACTTTAAACTAGATTTTTAATTTGTTTTATTTAAATGTGATTATAGAATATATTAGTGCTTTTTAAGTAATAAATAATTTATATTGTTATTCACTCCCCTTCAAGATATGATTGAATTGCTGAAATGTTGAGTTTCATGAAGATTGAAGCTTTTAAGATTCAAAATGAAAATTTAAATTTTTTGAGATACTGTAAAATTTAAAGACGTGTGTGATTTTTTGTATCAGGTCTCGAAACCGTGATTACTGTACATATATAAAAACATTTAAATTTCGATTTCGATAATTTTTTAAATATTTGCGTGAAAATGAACATTAAGCTAATTGATTTATTTTTTTTATTATAATTATTCAGAAATGTCGCTAACATTTTCAACAAGTTTGATTTTCAAACAAATTGGAATTGAAAAGTGATTACTTGCAGATGTACCGAATAAGAAAGATATAATAATAAGCGAGAGGTTTGATTCATCGTCATCGCGGCGAAAAAACGAGAAAAAGAAGGCGCTGGCCTCGAAATCGCCGATTCTTGCTCCAACACCGTTGAATATTGAATCGGCGAATCATAGTCCGTTGCATATTTCGCACAGATCGCAAAAGTCGGAGGTTTGAAATTTATATTTATCGTCTTCCTAGCATTGTTTGGCGTTTTTAGCTATTTAAAAAATATTCAAAACAATTCTAGAATGAGAAATAACCAAGACCACAGTAAGGAGGTGGGAAAAATCGAGATTCGCCGCAATTCTATTATTAATCGCTCAGGTAAATGAAAATCAATCGGATTCGAAAATAATTTATCTTTCAATCTAAATCGAATGTAAATTAATCTGTTTCGAATTATTCCAAAATTTCAATCGAATTCGATTTCAAAATTGAAATTGAGAAATAAATCAATCATTTTCGAAAATTTTTGAATCGAAACCAAAATTTCAAATCGAATTTAAGCGTTTTCTCAATCGAATTTGAATTATTTTTATATCGAAACAGGTTAATTTATATTTCATTTTTCTACGAATCCGATTGATTTTCATTTACCTGAGCGACAACAACAAATTCGACAATTAAATCGCCTCGCGTTTTCTCATCCTTCTGATCCGGCAGCCCCTCACCACTGAGCACTATTTTTCCGTCGTCTCCTTTATCATTTGCCGAAACTGTCAAAACGGTTCCATCTAGGGTTGGAATTTTGAATTCAGAATTTTTAAGATCCTGCTCGGTTATATTGAGTTTGTAATGTAGATTATTTCCGTCGCGCTCGAAATGCTCATGGGGTTTCACCTGAAAAATATGTGAAGAATGAGTGAATCCTGACATTTTTGCTGTTGGCACCGCTAAGCTTCTCCTCTTACTCTAATTAATGCTACAACATCAGCCGGTGTCCGATTTCGACTCGGAATGCCGCCTTCTTTAAATGTGATTTTGGTGCCGTCTTTCCAACCTTTTTTGATTTGAATCGCTAGCGATTTTGTCTCCTCTTTTTCATACGTTTTTCTAAAAACGAAATAATCGCCAATGAGATTTTGGCTGGGCGAAAAACTCCGACTTTTTCAGCTCGATCGTCTTTTCAGCACCATTCAGAATGTCCTCGAGTGTCACTTCAACAACTCGCATGATAAGCGGATCTTTTGGGATTCGAGCTGAAAATTGGTAAATTAATATCGTAGCTTGAAAGACGCTCGGCAACAAATTTTCTATTGGTCTCGCAGATTTCCTTGTCAGTTAATTACAGTACCCATTGCATTTTTTGCATCGCTGGATTGGAAAATGGTATTTTTTTTATTTTATCAATAGGTTCATTAGAAATAATTATTTACGCTTTTTTAAAATGTCCATTCCAATCACATTGAACATTTTGTTCTCCTCGGCGAATTGTTCGCTCTCCTTGAAGAACTTATTGAAAATCTCATTCGCGTCGATATTGATGTTAAATGCGAAATAGTTTGAGCCGCCGCTGTCGGACGTATCGAAAAGTGTTCGATGCTTCGTATCGGAGAGAACAACGTAGGCTTCGCTGATTTCCTGATACATTTTTTGAGAATAATGAGCCTTTAATGTTCATTGATCTACCGCACCTTGAATTTTGCCTCGGCTTCCGCACTTTGATTCTTGTCTGGATGATATTTGAGGGCCATTTTCCTATAGGCTTTCTTAATATCTTGATCGGACGCATTTCGATCGATTCCGAGGATTTTATAATAGTCCTTCATCATCTGAACGAACGCTTGTTAATCGAGTGGTCCGGAGAGGAATTTTGATTTTTAAAAAAATTGGTGATTGTGCTAGAAATAGTGAAAAAGGTAAACATTTTGCGAAAAAGCGATATCGAAATAAATGAAAAATTGAAAATTTTGCGAGACGAAAGGAAATTGGTTGATAAGAAATTTTGGGGAAGGCATGAGAAGAGGAACAATTCGAATCATTAGCAATGAAATTTTTCAAAACACACGCAAATACGCCACGCTCGTTTTTATTAGCAATGTTAGCAATAAAAGGATCAATTTTAAATTCATGACGAAAAAAAAACTTACATGTGTCTCGAAGCGAAGAGAAGGAAATTGTTGATTATCGAAAAAGATTATATTTTTCAAAACAATGTTTTGCAAATTTTTATCGATTTTATTCGGAAAAATAAAAAATTGGGGTTTGATGTATTTTCATAATTATTATTAGGGACTTAAAGGCGCATGAAAGACAATTGTGAAATTTAGAGAGTGCCGAGAAGTAAGGAACACGTTCCATTGCTCAGCGAGAAGAAGACGAATTCGAGATCGGAGGTTCTCTTCTTCTTCTTCATCTTCTGATGTATTTGTTTTGAACACATTTTCAGCTGTCTGAAAAATATACGCAAAACATTCAAAGTGACATTGAGCGCGAAGAGCAGGATTTGAAATATTCGAGTGAGCGATTCCGGCAGCCGAAAAAGTTGGCGCGCGCCATTGTTGGTCCGGTGCCGACAGACGTGCGGACCATTGAGATTGGAAGGGTTCCGGCGCCCAATGTAGCGTTGTTTGTCTGTTTTTATTAATATTGAGCCAATTTCTAGGGGAAACGTTTGGTTTTCAACGATATTGAGGCGACGACAATGAAGAAAGGCGGTGTGAAGCAGCACATATTGAAGCGAGGTAATTGATTTCAAAAAGAATTCCCATCTGCGAAGCCATTGATTTTTTTTGTAGTGTCGGGAGTTGCGCGACCCGGCGAGCTCACGTTTATCATGGGATCGAGCGGTGCCGGCAAAACGACGCTGCTCAATATTTTGACGGGCCGAAATTTGAAGAATATTGAGACTGGTGGGCAGGTTTTGGTCAACAAGTTTGTTGTTTTCTCCTTTTTTTTGAGCCCGAAACCAATATTTTTAGCCGTCCGATGAGAGCGTGCGAGATGAAAAAAATCAGCGCGTACGTTCAGCAGGACGACGTCTTCATCGGAATGCTGACGGTATCGGAGACGCTTCATTTTGCGGTTGGAACAAGTTTGCGAAAGAGAGAGAGAAACTTACAAGACGAATTTAGGCGAAACTGCGATCGCCGAAGCCGTTATGCGAAGAAGAGCGAGGCGAGATTGTTGATGAGCTATTGGTGATGGTAGGCGATATGCGAAGCGGTGTGTCTTGAGTGGAATCGACTCGACGTTTTAGATGGGATTGAAGAAATGCGAGAACACGAAAGTCGGATCGATGACTGAGAAGAGTCTATCGAGAGGTGAACGAAAGCGGTTGGCGTTCGCGTGCGAGATTCTCACCGATCCGCCGATTCTGTTTTGCGATGAGCCGACGTCTGGGTTGGACTCGTTCATGTCGCATCAGGTCATCAAGGCTCTTCGCCAATTGACGCTTGAGGGCAAAACGGTGGTGTGCACAATTCATCAGCCGAGCACACTGGTTTATCAAATGGCCGACTCGTGAGTGCTTGATGAGTTTCAGCCGATCGTTTTGCATTCCATCGTGTTCAGCCTGATTTTGTTGTCGCAAGGCTATGTGGCGTATCAAGGGCCGGCGAGTAGTGTCGACAAATTTTTCGCGAAATGCGGCTATCCGGTGCCGAAATTTGTGTGTCTTCCCGATCATTTTATGAAGGTTATCTCGCAGGCGAGCACCGAGAATGATGATCAATACAATGAGAGAATTATGGTAATTTTGGAATTAAAAAAAAAACAACGTAGAGAACGACACTCCAAATTTACGCTATGCCCTTTGTTTAGCGTATTTTGTGTCGGTCGGATTTTCACCAAAAAAAACCTCTTTTTTTTCACGTGTGACGTTATAGTTTTTTTTTGTTAAAATCTAATTTAATAATTAATTTTCTTCCAAAATATCCATTATTTGATTGAAACTCAAAACAATTAACCATTATTTAGCTTATATCAGTTTTGTAGTAGAAATTTTGATTTTGTGAATTTTTATTCAGAAAATATGCCACGAAATGGAAAAAGACTATCATCCGTCGACGAAAAGCTCTGGACGAAGCAGCTCGACGAGCAGTTCGGATGATGACGACGGCTCCTCGTATGCCAGCGTTTAATTTTCTCGAGCTTCTATGATTTTTTTTTCATTTTTAGATTCGCAAGATCGTGGAGCAGTCAATTTGTCTACATTTTCCATCGCTCGCTTATACAATTGGCTAGAGATCGAACATTGATTGTTGTGAAATTGATACAGACTCTGGTTCTCTACAAATTCGTTTTTTTTTTCAATGAAATGTATTTTTGCAGATTCTCGCGTTCGTCATCGGGCTTGTCTACCTCCGACTGCCCATCCATGCCGATTACCTATTCAATTTCCGCGGATTCGCGTTCGTTAGCATTCAGATGATGCATATGCTGTTTGCCTCGCCGTGTGTTACGGTTCGACGAGAAATTTTGCGGAGATTTTCTGTGGGAAAACAGTGCCGACTTATTTTCAGATATTCTGGAAGGATTATCCGGTTGTTGTGAGAGAATATCAGGCGAATATGTACTCGCCAAGTGCCTATTTTTTAGCGAAGACCACTGCTGATGTGAGTAATTTTCCAATAAAATTCTTCTAAAAGTAAATTGGTTTAAAATGTTACTATAGGTCCTAACGTGGAAATAAATATTTAGGTTTATTTTTTTAAAACAAACCTTTCGAGCATTTTTTTTTCCTAATCGATTTCAGAGTATTCAATATGTCACAATGCCCCTCATTTTCGTCTCAATTCTTCTTATTATGACAGGTTATTATTTCAAAAGCAAAAATTAATTGTGTTTTTGTCCAAAAAATGTATTATTCCAGGACTCCCTTTCGAGATCAAAGCAATGAGTATTTATGTGGGAGTTTGTGTTCTAATGTGCCTTATTGCGTCGAGTTTGGGTAAATTGTGCGCAATTGCTCCACGGTGTTTCACGTACTTTTTGCAGCGCACGCGATTGCCTCAACGATAAGTGATCTCTCGACGGCTCTCACTCTCGTCCCGATTGTCATTATTCCGCTAATGGTGTTTGGTGGGTCGAGGCTACAGTAAGCCGTATCCTGATTTTCTACTGTAGGTGGTTTCATGATATCCTATGACGCGATTCCGTTGTACTTTCTGCCATTCGCGCTCATTTCGTGGTATAAATATGGGTTCGAGGCGATCACTATTGGATATTTCTCGACGATTGACCGAATTCCGGGGTGTGAATTGCAGAATAAGACGAATAGCTGCTCGACGGGACTCAAGGTGTCGTTGAGAGTTTCGAATTTTGCCCAAAAATTTTGAGATTCCAGTATATTGAGGATCAAGCGTTCGATGTGAACAATCTCTCGCTGGATTTTATTGTAATTATAAGTGTGATATTGGTGTGCAAAATTGTCGGGATTCTTGCATTCACTCATCGAATTCGAAAAATTTGAAAGAAAAATGAATTATTCAAATGAGGTTTCAACGAAAGAACGCAGAATTTTTGTTTGGCAGCGGGTCTTAAAAAGAAAATTGATACTGTAGGGGGCTTCTGGCGCCTGAACATCGAACCATTTTCCATATGACACTGAAGGCGGCAATTCTGACAATACGAGGAAAAAATAATGAGTATCCATCGTGTAAAAGTTTCAATTTGTATTTATCCATCTGCGGAAAGCGGGTTTTGATTAAAAAAAAATTTCTATCTAATTAAATAATTGATTATTTAATCCATGCGTCTTTAAACGCGTGAGCCTTGAACTCGTGCAATAAATGATTTGTGTTTGTTTTATGCGTGAACTAGTAAATTAATAACCAGTTGAGAGCCTACCAGCGTTCATCATTTGCTGCTCTCCAGGCAAAGTGTGGGTGTGTGTATTGGCTTGTCTGGATTTCGTGTGTGTGGGGCGCTAAACACATACACCGAGGCCGAGGCGAATTGCCGACGGGCGGGATGATGCTTCTCGGAGGCACCCGAAATGTGCACGGCACGGAGCGAAAAAAAAACGGTGTAACACGGGCGGAAATAGTGGGCGAGACGGTGGAGAGCGCAGAGGCGGCTGGAGATCTCGGGAGCCTCCGTCTTCCCGAAATCGACGCATATATTTACTAGCTACCACCCCCCCCCCTGACTCGATCTTGGTTATTATTTTTTTTTCAATCGCAATTTGAAATTTGCTGAAATTGTTTGAGGTCTTTTTTTTCAGCGACTATGGCTCAAATTGTTCGCCAGAGTAAATTTCGGCATGTGTTTTGCAAACCGGTGAAACATGAGAATTGCATGAGCGATATTCGGGTTTGGTTTATTTTTGTTGAAAAATCACTCCAAATTTGGAAATGTTCGCAAGTTTTGGTGAATTGCGGACCTTTTACGGGTTTTCTAAAAAAAGTTTTTGGGTTTTTGAGCTTATTTCAGATGTTTTCAACTTGACAATTATTTTCCTATATATTGCCACAATTCAGGTTACTGAAATCACATGGGATTCACTTTTTTGTGATGTCAACCCGAAATTCATCGCATTCATCACTAAAGGAGCTGGAGGACCTTTCATGGTCATTCCGGTGAACAAGGTAAATTTCGAAATCGCTCTCCCATCACATGTTACATCGATGTGTTCCTGCCTGCCGGAGACGAGCTGTTTTGAAAACAGCTGTTCCCAATTGAATTGAATTCGGTCGACCAACATCAGAAACCAGAGCTCGTATTGAATGAACCGTTTTTTTTTCTTTCAGACCGGACGCATTGATAAGGATCACCCATTCGTTGATGCTCACAAGGCTCCGTGTCTTGAAGTTGCTTGGAGTCCTTTCAATGACAATGTGATTGCGTCGTGCTCTGAAGACACGACCGCCAAGGTGCGATTTTCACCTAATTCTAGCCTAAATTGAATGCCGTTGTGTTCAGGTTTGGGTGATTCCTGAAAAGGGGTTGATTCGCAATTTGTCGGAGCCCGCTGTTGAGTTGTGCGGACATCAGAAGAGGGTGAATACGCTCGCGTGGCATCCGACTGCAAATAATCTTCTTCTCACCGCTGGTCTCGACTAGCCATCAATTTCATTCGCATTCGCTTTTTGATATTGCAGGAGGCGAGAATGTGATGTTCCTGTGGAATGTTGGAACTGGTGAAGCTCTCATTGAAATCGCCGGCCATCCCGACCAAATTTGGAGCATCAACTTCAATTTCGATGGAAGCCAATTTGTGACGACTTGCAAGGACAAAAAGATTCGAATTCTCGATTCGCACACGGGAGAGGTCCTTCACGAGGGCGTCGGACATGAAGGTGTCAAACCGCAGCGCGCAATTTTCGTGAAAGATGGCCTCGTATTGACGACTGGATTCACGAAACGATCGGAGCGATTGTACGCGTTGAGAGCGCCGGAAGATTTGTCGACGCCGATTGTTGAAGAGGAGCTTGACACATCGAATGGTGTGCTTTTTCCGTTCTACGATGAAGACACCGGTCTTCTTTATCTTGTTGGAAAAGGCGATTGCGCGATTCGATACTACGAGGTTACCAATGAAGCTCCGTTTGTGCATTATATCAACACGTATACAACTAGTGAGCCGCAAAGGGCTATCGGTTTCCAGAGCAAGAGGGGATTGTCGTCGGAGGAGAATGAGATTAACAGGTAGGGTCCCATGATTTGAATGGTCCTTCCCCCCCCCCTCCACGTGAAAGGTTCGATTCTAGAATTTACAAACTCACCACGAAAGGCGTCGTCGATATTCTGCAATTTTTTGTTCCGCGCAAATCGGACCTGTTCCAGTATGATTTATATCCGGACACTCGTTCAACGATTCCGGCGATGACCGCCGAGGAGTTCGCCGAGGGAAAGAACGCGCCGCCGAATCGGCAGCCGGTCAATCCTGCCGCCGCTGCAGCGTCGGCGAAGCCGAAAGTTGCCGTCGCCAAAAAGGCGAACATTCTGAGCACATTGGCGCCGACAGCGTAATCAACATTGAGAAATTTTGAAATTGCATTTGTTTGGTGTTTTTTTAGAGCTGAAGCAGTTCAAACGCAATCCTACGCTGAAAAACCGGCGTCGCAAGCGGCATCGCCGAGAGCTGCGGCTTCACCGCGAGCCGCAGCGTCGCCGCGAGCCCGACCCGTCGTTGATGATGACATGGGCATCGTGGTGCCTAGTAGAGAACCTCAACCGTCTCCAGCGTCCAGTAGGCCGGCATCGTCAAGATCGACGCGTTCCGAGATTCCGGCGAAAGATGAGCCGATAATTGATCCGATGAAGCCGAAACAAGCTGTACGTTCATTGAAATGCATTTATATATTTTTTTTCGCAAATACTACTTGCCGCCTCTTCAATTCTAATGCTCGATTCTCTCTCCCAGGTAACCTTGAGATCCCGTGCCGATCGCGATGAAGCTGGAGGTTCGCAGACCGCCGGTCAACGGCGCGCCGCCGCGGAGCTCGAGAGAATCAAACGGGATCAGGCATGCGTTTCTTCTCCTTTTTTTCCTCCAATTAATGTTTTTTTTAATAACTACCACACTTTTAAGGCACGAACTGCTGATGATGACTCACTTAACGTTCCACCACCTTCCTCGAGGGCCTCGGCTTCCCCGCGGGGAAGTGTTTCCTCGGAAATTGGGGTTTTGCGTTTTTTCCTTGAATACAAAGATTCGAATAAGTTTGGATTTCAGCATGTTCCGACGAATATGGATGAGCTTCTTGATGATTTGATGAAGATGAAAGCGATTCTACGTCAGCACGAGCGGCGAATTCGAATGCTGGAAGAGGAAATTGCCGATAGAAACATGAGCAACGCTTATTCTTTCTAAATGTTTTCTTTCTCTCTTTTTTATGGCTCATTAACTTTTTGTATTATATGATTGAAATGATTTAATAAAATATTGCATAAGAGTCACTTTTTCACTTCTCTTTTGGGGCTTTTCAACTCCCCTTGAAATTTGCCTTTGGATTTGAATTGCCGCCGAGCAGTGCACTAGAAATGCGCCAGTGAAAAAGATTGACGCATTTGTTGTTAGGCGATTTATTTTTGTATTTTTCGATTTTCGGCTTGATTTCAGAATTTTTATGTTGAATAGACCTTTAAATTAAAAGGAATTTTAGTTCAATTTTAAATTTAGTCTTAAGACTGCTGAAATTGAGAATAGCTCTAAGTTTTTAGGTTTTCAAAAATTTTTTCGCTTCATTTTTTTCAATATTTTCGAACTATACGAATTTTTTCTGATTGTGGCAATTATTGTAGGTTCTCCTAGCATGTCAAACGCAACGATGGAAGCAACTCAAATGAAGGTAAAACTCGCCGTCGATGAAATGATCGATGAGCTCGACAAGAAATATCTTCGAGATATGCAGAAGAATATGTTCTTGTGCTCCGCGCGGTGTGTTTTTTAAAATTCTTTTTTGAAAAGTTTCGAGATTCTTGTTGAAAATGTCGTTAACCAATCGGATTTTGCGAATTTTAATTTCTTTTATTGTAGGTGTTGCGACAACAAGAGCAGCACTCGGGATTCGGTCGAATCGTGCGTTGAAAAATGCAACGACGGCATGAAAAAAGCGCAAATGCATCTCGAGAAGGAGCTCGGAGGACTTCAGGATCAATTGTCGAGATGCGCGATGACATGTTATGATAAACTGGTTCAACAATTTGGACCGGATGTCAACAAATACTCGGAGCATCAGGTAGATTTTGTATTTTTAGAAGCATTTGAATTTTAACTGGGTACACACGAGAAAGCTGATTTAAAAGTAGAGCAAATGCCAACTTTGTCATTTTGTCGATGGGCGGAGCCTAATGGTCCTGTAACAGACAGAACACCTATAAAATCAATCACGCTGATTATTTCACTGGGAAAAAAGATGTATAGCATAAATTTTTGAGATTACCTTGAATGAATCAGAATTGTCGAAATATATTCAAGATGATACATCAAAATTTTCAAATTATCGCAATGGCTTTGAATTTTTTGTCAGCGGTGCAAAATTTCAGCAAAATTTCGCGATCACGCGATAATTGACAGTTTAGCAATGCTCATTTTACTAGAAGCTTCACATTTGCATACGACCGCGTCGCTCGAACGCCTCGCGGCCAACGATGTTTGTTTTTGTTTTTGGCGGCTTCAAACAATGATAAAATTAGTTGGATTGTGATTTATTCCGGTCGAAATTGAACTAATGGAATGCCGGATGACTTATGAGAACATTGAATCATGGAGCTCCTCCAAATCGGCCTTTCGGCGCTCCTCCTCGATTTCGAAATCGGATTTTAGCTTGTGGCGACAAGTTGGACAAGTGTTGGTCTAGATTATTCCACGTTTGCGACGATGAAATCTTACGGCGAATTCTTACGTTATTGAGCCACATCATAATGCATTCCTCATGATATTTGTGATCACAGGGAAGGCGGACGATGTTCTCGATTTTCGGCTCACTTTGCTCGACATTTTTCTGTTGGTCCGTCGACGGGCTTGGATTGGTGAGAAGCTCGAGGCAAACCGGGCATTGCGCTAGAAAATTAGGAGGTTCTCTTTTGGTTTTTGATTCGGAGCAGATTATTTCAAACTTTCTTTATCTGCGTCGGTCGGCTTCATTCTGGGCAATTGGCTGGCGCTGATTTTCGACGCTGAGAATTGTGTGGTTCCGAACACATCGGTGAGATAGCTGCGAACGGCTTCGGCGTTGCCATTATTAGCCAATCCTGCAATTTGTTAATTTTTTTGGTTTTGCGACGAAAAATCAAGACAATTCGATTTTTGATTGATTAAAAAAGCGACGCACTTTCATAGATGGCCATCATCTCGCGTAGTGAATTGGAGCTTTCGAAAATGAGACGACCGTTGATGTTATGCTCGGCGATGTATTCGGGATTGAGCACGGTGTCTTGTTGTGACGACGACGACGACGACATTGTCGATGGAAAATATTGATGATGACAAAATCGAGAGGCGCCACGAGATGCGCGTCGTTTATGGCGCTTGCGGACTTTTTCTCGTGTGCACTCCGCGTTCCCTGTGCTCTCTCACGATTTGCATATTAAACGGTTGAATGGGTTTGATTTTTTGTATGATTTCGCATTGGTTTTGAAGCCGAATTTTCTAGTATTTCACAATTTGCGAAAACTTGTTAAAATCGAACCGATTTTTATCATGTTTTATCGGTAAACAAAATTTTGAAATTTCTGACATGGAAAAATGTGTGTTGATTTTTTGATTGTGTGCATTTGAGAATATTTCCGATAGCGAAAAGCATTTATTCTGAAAAAAAAAAAACAATTATTAGAAATTGCGAAATTTTGTCACGAATTTGTTGTATTGCTTCAAGAAAATCGCGTAAATTTTGTTAAAGTTGGACCAATTATTTAAAAAAAAATGCATTTCAGATGATGCAATTCAACGAGAAGCTTGACAAATGCGTCGCCGTGTGCGCTGATGATCATATTAAGCTGATTCCGGCGATCAAGAAGAGATTCTCGCAGAATATATAAAAAAAAAAGTTTTCGGCGCTATTTATCTCTTTCTCCTCTCATTCTTTGCGGTTTTTGTTTCTCGGCAAATTCGTCGAATTCTTTTCCTTCTCATTATTATTATTTTTTCTATGTATTGAATATTGATTGTTGACCTGAAAGTTCCGGGTTCTTGTTGTTTTTTTTCTCATTTCTTATTAAAATTTTTCAAATTTAATTTTATGCGAATAGGCTAGAATTTTAGGAATTTTATGTTGTTAGCATATAAAATTTAACAGATTTTCGATTTCGAAATTTTTTTGTGAACCGTTTTTTTAGCGGTTTCTTATATTTTTTTTTTCTGACGATGAATAATCGATAATTTTTGGTGATTTTTAGAATTATTATGCGATGGTTGTTACGAATATGTGTGCTACTCACGATTTGCGTTTTTCGAAATGAAGCTAGTAAGAGATTTTGAGATTTGGGTGGTTGGATTATACTGTAAATGGGAATTTTGTAGGATTGAACAAACAGGCGGCGGAAGTTACTGGAAGAGTGTGCGCTTTCGGCGATTTCAACGCGGATCGGTAGACAATTTTTCTGATTTACTAGATTTCTGTGAAATTTTGCTTTTTTTTTACAGAAATACTGATATTTTGGTGTCAAGAGGCGGTAATTTGACCATTTTGCTTCAGGATGATAAACTTCTCGATGTGGTATGATCTGATTTTGTTTGGGATACGAAAATTTTATGTGACGTCATCACTTTCTTTTTATTTTGGCTAAATTGCGAAAGGAATAAATATTGAATTTTTTGAATTTTCAATTTTTTTCAAACGAGATTTCGAAATAAAAAATTAAAACATCAGTTTAAAAGCTTAAATGGCGAAAAGAAAAATGGAGAAAATTCAAAAAAGGAAACGAAGATTTTAGCTGTCTTGAAATTCCTCATATTCTTAATTTTTGTTTCTAATTTAGAAAAATTGCCTCATATCGCTTTTGTGTGAAGTCTCCAATATATAAATAATATTTTTTGAAAAAAAAAAATAAACTTGAAAAAAAATTGAAAAAAAAACTGTTTAAAGGCGCATAACACGAAAAAAGGGTCTTGTTGAGTTTTTCTATTGCCTTTTTTCCCATTTTTTCTCTTGCAGCTGATAGCTGGCAAATTCATAAACTCGACGAGTTGGAAGATCGCCGATGAGGAGCTCGGCGACGATTTGGAATGCTCGGTTGGCGATTTCAATGGAGACTCGAGACTTGATGTTTTGGTGAGTTGCCCTCTGAGGTATTTGCACCGAAATGACGTGCACCTTTAAGAGGGTCTTGTTGTGGAAGATGATTGATTTCCAAATTTTGTAGACGTCAATTCGAATCAGTGATAAAGAGTACGATCACACGCTTTGGACGTCGACCGATGTTGACAATACTGAAGTGTTTCGATCGTTCCATATTGGGGTACTCGGCCAACACGCGATGGTTAGTTTTCGGACCCCAACATTTGTTTTTGTTAGGAAATTAACTCAATTTTAGGCAATCGATGTGACGAATGATGGCTGGTATGATATTGTGGGCTTTTGGCCGAACGGCACGTTTTTCTGCACAAAAGTGGGCAAAAGCGGTAGCATTATACCGGTTGTTGACGACTGCTCAACGGACTTTAGGTTTTTTTTTGTTGCTTCTTCGCGAAATCGATTGATTGTGTGTCATTTTTTGCAGAAATATGCCGAATTCGATGAATTTCTATGAGGGCATGCCGCATTTGTTCATGGATTTGAACGAGGATCTTCGCGCTGAAGTTGTATTCATGACGAAAGATGAAGAGGATGGAAGTTTGGTGATGAGTGTGAGTATTTTGAACGACCGCGACGAGGAAATGCCTCGTGGCGAAATTGCGGGCTGTCGCGAATATTGATTGCTCTTTTGCCAGTTTTGCTCTAGAAAAAATGTTCGATTTTTTTTTTTGAGATTTACAATTTTCGTAAAATTTGAAAATGCGATTTTTGGCGTCGAGCCAGGTAGCGTAAATGGGCGGAGCTTTATGTTATATGTAGTTGAAAGCCCGCAGATAATATTAATAATATGTATGTACAGACAATTGCGTTTTGGTTTTAATGTGAAGAAGTGAATTTCTCCATCGAAATTGAGAAAACGTATGATTCGATTCAGGTTTGGCAAGAGCAAAAAATCGGTTGGATGTTCAAAGACTGGGTGCCGAAATTGTCATCGGCGCAATACGCGGTAAATTGTGGATCAGTTTCAAATCGATTTTCACATTGCGCATTTTCAGTACATTGGAGCACCGTTTGGAATGGATTTTGACGCCGACGGCCGAATGGATATTCTTGTGCCGGTTTGTCGAGAAGCGGAATGTCGACATGTGACGTCGTTGGCGATGTACTCGCATAATCGCGGTTGGACGAATGTGGCGATCGATTTGCAGGTTAGTATGCGCCTTTAAACGATATGGAGGGGGGGGGAGGGGAAGGGTTTTTTTAAATGAGTTCTTGTTATTGGTTTAAAATGACGCAATAAGATCTTGAAAATTTTTTGCTCATTTTGATTTCTTTCAGGAGCTTGAAGTTGAAGTCGAGCCGTACTCGCGCGTCATTTTCCGTGTTGGCGATTTCTCGTTGGACGGTTATCCGGATCTTGTCGCGATTGCAGTGAACAAGAATCGAAATCAGCCGGTATTTTCGTTTTGTTCAACGTTTTTCCCTTAATTGGATTTTTTTCTACTTTTTCTTTTTCAGACGTACACACCGAAGGTTATTGAGAATGTCGAATGTAAGAATTGCGAGAAGAATGGAACGCGCAAATTCGAAATCAAAAAGATGGAGTTCATTCAGCCGAAAAATATGGCTCTCGGAACGGCGAAAATGGCGGCGTTTTTCGATTTGGAGGTTCGATTTTTATTCAAGATTTCCTGCGGGCAAACGCCGCCCATTGTGCAATCAAAATTCGAGAATAAATAATTTTGCAGGAGGATGGTAGCTTGGATATTCTTGTTGAATACGTATTCGACGGTGTAACCAGATTTGGGTTCATCTATTGTCCGGACAAAGGGGATACGACGTTCCTCAAAGTGCAAGTGTTCACTGGAGTGTGCAGCGATCGATGCAATCCGAAATCGAATGAGCTCGGTAGGAATCGAGCGACTCGCTCATTTTTCGATCTCATCGCCGAATCGTTTATAGGCTCGAGTATTAGTTTCGCCGGCGCGTGCGCCTATTTCTCGATGAGCGACGGATGGGGCGGGTCGGCGAAGAGCGTTTCGTGTCAGGTGCCGACGAGTTCGCATCGCTCGTTGTTCTTGCCGTTCTTGTTGTTCGGTCTTGGCCGAAGTCCGAATTTCGTCGACGAGGTGAACATCGGAATTCCGAAGTTGGCCGATCGACGCGAAGAATGGCGGCACACGTTGAAGCAGATTGTGCCGAATTCGCGAATCATCGTGTTGCCTCCGTCCGAGCAGAATCCGCATTGGTTGAGTAGGCTTTATGTGACGCCGTCGCAGCTCATCGCGCAGGTAGGCAATTGCAACGAGAATATTGGTTTTTTCGTCAATTTTTGCGAAGAAAATGTCAAAAATATTGCTTTAGAATGCGCTATTATAAGTTTTTTTGTGATTAATTTTGAGATTTTCTCAGAAAAAAATCCCTGAAATTGCTAATTTGCAGTCTTTTCTGTCAATTTTTTACATAGAAAATTTGAAGTGTTGCCATGAAATGAGCAATTTTAAGCTTTTTCTAAAAAAAAATGCTAGAAAATTGGAATCGAAATTGCATATCTTTAGAGCCTTCTCGTCATCGCATCGGTATGTCTGATGCTGCTCGCCGTCGTCGTTTTTCTGCACTATCGCGAGAAGAAGGAAGATCGATACGAGCGCCAACAGCAATCGCACCGATTCCATTTCGACGCGATGTGATCGAGCAGCTTCATCATTATCATCATAATCGTCGATGTTCGGGTATGTGCTCTTGATTAATTTATTTTTGCTTGCTTTCTCTCTTTTACAATCAAGAATTGTCAAATGTTCGCAGTATTCTCTCTTTTTTCAATTCCTAACCATTCATTTAGTCGGTTCCTTGCAAAATTTCCGAATTTTCGCTTTAAGAGCCTTTCAGACACTGCTCCTTTAGATTACATTGTGTGTGTGTTTTTTTTTATCTCGTCGGAACCGACTAAAATTATCATTTTCAGAATTGTATATGTGTATATTTGCCTGTGATTATCGAACCCTTCAAAAGAAAAAAAATCGATCCCTCTTTTCTTTTTTTGGTCATTTTTAGCGAAGCTTTATTCCGGCCTTCTTCTTCTTTCATTTTTCTCCCGCCTCCCCCCTTCCCCCTCCTAAAAAAAAATCACGTGAAATTTGTTGAATAAAAACGCGGTCATTTCATTCATCGAAATTGTTGGCATGAAATTGTTGGCCGGATCGGCTGGCAAAACGCCGGCCACGGTCACGCCCACGAAACTCGCGATTTCCACACCGACGGCGAACACCGTCACCGTTTATGGGAACGTTGGGTCGAAAGAGAGTGTTGCGAAATGTTGGGCGAAGAAAATTGAAGATGCTGAGGTTTGGAAGAAGCTCGCACTCGAGCCGATGAAGCCGTCATCGTTGAAGGCGATTTCGAGGTATCGATTGACAAAGAAGATTCGCGATCAGATGTTGCCCAATGAGAAATTGCCGGTGAGAGTTTTTTTTTTCGTTTTTTTTTTGTTTTATCTGAATTGGCGAATTTCAGGAATTGACATTGGAGAAGATGAAAGAGATCGTAGTGGCCAAGTTTAGGAAATTCTTTATTGATGTGAAAAAGTAGGTTTTCTGAAATTTTCTGCTGAAATTTATTAAAAAAACGATTTTAGATATTTTTTGGCCTTTCCGATTCCGATTTGGATTTATGACAATCGAATTTATAGGTGAGAGCAGTTTGTTTGGAATTGAAAATTGGATTTCAAGCTCGAGTTTGCAGAAACGAGGAGTTGCACACATTCGTTTACAATGAGGTCATCAATCGAGACCCGTCGCAACGAATAATTGTGTTTTCTCAACAGCAACCATATGAATAGTTTCAATAAATTATGCGAATCATATTATTAATTATGCCTGGAATGGTTTTCTGCCATTTTTTTTATTTCATTAAAACATGTTTTCCAGCTATTTTCAAACAGAAATTTACAGACGCAGAATGGACACTGATAGGCTTGAAGGATCGATAAAAAATATTCTGGAGCAGAAGTCGTTGAAGTGGATATTCGTTGGCGGCAAAGGCGGCGTCGGCAAGACGACGTGCTCGTGCTCGATTGCCGCCCAACTCGCCAGCGTTCGCGGACGAGTGTTGCTCATCTCGACGGATCCCGCGCATAATATATCGGACGCGTTTGCGCAGAAGTTCACCAAAGATCCGACGCTGGTTAATGGATTTACGAATCTTTTCGCAATGGTGAGTTGGATTTGGATTGGGGTCGATCAGATAGCTTCAGAAGAATCGTATCTGAACCTTGGGTAGAGTCTGTTGAAGGTCTATGCAGGATTTGATGGGCTTGGCCTCCCGAGCGTGTCAAGCAAATTGCAACATTCTTCAGAATTTGTCTGCTCGAGAAATCTTGCCTCTCTTGAGTATTAGAAAGAGCTTCTGCTTCACAATCCATCAGCTTTTTTTTTAGTTTCTGTAATTTTCTCTAAAAGAAATTCTTTAAAAAAATTGCAAATTTATTCCATAAAGCATGTGATTTTCAGGAAATCGACTCGAATCCATCTGGAGATGGATCGGAATTCTCGGGACTCGAGGAAATGCTTCAGAACGCGACGCAGAATGGTGATTTTCCAGTTTCTTCTCACATTTCTTCTTATTTATCGTTGAATTCAGGTGGCAATGGTGGTGGATTTTCGATGGGAAAAGATTTTCTTCAAAGTTTTGCCGGCGGCCTTCCTGGAATTGACGAGGCGATGAGTTTTAGCGAAATGATGAAGTGAATTTTATTTTTCGAATCGAAAACGTTTGAGATACAATTGGAATTTTCCAGGAAAATGAAAAAAAATAGACGTGTTTTGTGCAATTTTTAATGAAAAACGGGGGTTTCGAAATGAATTCGATCAAAATTCTCATTTTTATATGAAAATCGTTGAATTCACATGGTTTCGCTACGTTTTCGTATTTTCATGTGCCATTTTTATTTTTTCTTGTCATTTCTCTGAAATTCGAAGGTAATTGAAATGTAAAATTATCGAAGTGGGTCCTAGAATGCAAAAAAATTGGTTTGTCGGCGTGAGACCTTAATAAATACATATACTCATATATAATGGCAAGAATTTTTGCGATTCTAGATTAATTGACTCGCTCGACTTTGACGTTGTGATCTTCGACACGGCGCCGACCGGCCACACGCTTCGTCTTCTTCAATTTCCGACGCTTCTCGAAAAGGCGTTCTCGAAGATTCTCTCGCTGCAAGGCATGATCGGCCCGATGTTGTCGCAATTCTCGGGAATGATGGGTATGAATGGAAACTCGATGAACGAGATGATCGAGAAGATGACGACGACATTGGAAACGGTCAAGAAAATGAATGCGCAATTCAAGGATCCGGTGAGAGACCGAAAAAGACATTTTTAATGTTGTTTTTTTTCGTGGAGAAATTTTAGTGGGAAATTAAAATTAATCAAAAAAAAAATTTTAAACAGATTTTTTTAAATTATGGTTTCTACAAAATTATCTGTGTGAAACACATTGACGCCAAAACGCTCTTGCAGGATTGCACCACATTCATTTGCGTTTGCATTGCCGAGTTTTTGTCGCTGTATGAAACGGAGCGACTCATTCAGGAGCTCACGAAGCAGCAAATCGACACGCACAATATAATTGTCAATCAGCTTTTGTATCCGGATAAGGTGAGCGTTGTGAGGCCCAAGGTCACGCTCGTCGAATTGGAGAAAAAGGAATGACCGTTTTTTTTCGGGATGCACCTTTAATTTTTACATTATTAAGGGGATGGTTGGGATTTTTGAATTTGCGTTGCAATAAAAATGTGTCGGTTCAGTTTGAATCATGGTCTCGAATTTTGAAAAATCAAATCTTAATTGGCCAATTAATGAAATTGTCTGGTTTCAGGATGAGCACGGAAATGTGGTTTGCCGGAAATGCAAGTCGCGAGCTGCGATTCAAGGAAAATATTTGGAAGAGGTGAGAAAAAAATATAATTGAATTGAATAGTTTAAAAGTTGAAGAATTGGAAATTTTTAATACATTTAAAACAGAATTTGAAAAATTCCCTTTTTCTTCCAAAAATTTGCGTTTTTTTTTCCAGATTGACGATCTTTACGAGGATTTCCACGTGACGAAATTGCCGCTTTTGGAAAGTGAAGTGCGCGGTGCCGAGAATATTCGCAAATTCAGCGAGCGATTGGTGAATCCGAATTATGGCGGATGAACACGTCAGGAAATTCGCTTCCCTTCTGAACGAGCTTCTTCCACTTTTGATTATTCGTTTTGTTCGGTTTCTTGTTCAATTGTTTGCTTTATTTGAAAACTATAACGCATTTGTTTAATTTATAACTGAAATCCATTGTTTCCGTGGGAATTTTTTTTGGATTTGAATGAAACAACTTGGGCTTGCTTCTTCTTTCATTTTTTTGTTGAAAGTATGCCAAGGTTTGGGACCATTGGGAAATGTCTAGATGAAGGCTAGAAAATAAATCTATTGAAACCTCGATTCAGTTTTACGTACATAAAAAGTATTATCTGCGGACATCCACCGGGGTTTTGATTGGTAGGCGTGTTTTTTTTCCTGGAAAATTCCAAAATATGAGTTGTGGCGGCGAGACCATGATTAAAGGCGCATGCCGGTAGAATTCGTATATCAAAAATTGAAGATGTCTAATATAGCAGATACGGTTTTTAAAGGCGCACGCCAGGTTTATTTTTTAAGGAGGGGGGGGTGGTCTCGAGGAGATTGAAAAAAAAAAAAAACAAAACGAGATGCGCCTTGAAATTTGGTTTAAAAAATGAACAAGGAATGAAATTAATCACAAAAAATTTCTATTTCGAGTTGTTGACAACAATTTGAGGAATGAGACCGTCGAACTGCTGACTCACGCGCTTCCTATAAAAACGCGGCGCCTCGGATTATTGAGGAAACGGTGTAACAATCGAAGCTTCATCACCTCCCTCTCGCCTCGTTCGATTCTCATTGCGATTTTTTTGCTGCTCACACAAACTGCTCGTCATGCGCTGTGGTTTCATCGCGTTGGCGCTCGTCTATGGTATCATTTTGTTTGTTTGTTTTTTTCCCCAAACAAACACGTTTAATTATAGCGATTTCGGCGACGAGTCTCAGAAGCGCCGGCAATTCGCCGTCGGGTATGGCACGAATTTCTTTTTTGTTTTAGCCCTCAAAAATTTGTAGAGAAATGCCCGACAAATGCGATTTTCCGAGAGTGTACGCCGATTTGTCCGGCGCTGAATTGCCACAACTACATGGTTTCCTTTTATTTTACGCCATCGAGAATCTTCGCCTAATTCCAGCTTCTCTCATGCTTCTCGCTTCGCTGTGGTCCGCCCTGATGCACTTGCAAAGAGGGGCATGTGCTCTTGAATGGCAATGATGCTTCTCAGGGATGTGTTCGACGCGAAACTTGCGCGTAGGCTTTAATTCTTCATTGGAATTGAAGCCAAATTTGAATATTTCAGAAAATTAGCACGTTCGATTGCCAGAATTACAGTTCCTCATGAGGAGTTGATGAAACCTTCGGACGTAAAATATTGAACATAAATTTTTAAGGCGCAGGGTTTTTTTTTTAATAAATAAAGTTTGAAATAATAAAATCGTTTTATTATTTTTCGCTTTTCAGGTACTGAAACTGCTTAAAATCTGAAAGAAAAACCGGAAAAATTGGAAATTCCTGTCAGTGCCGATATACGTTAAACAGCAAACTCTACTGTAAAACGCGGAGTGTCGTTGAAAGAAACTCGAATTCAAATTCGGTGTTTTTTCCTAATATATTTTCAGTTTTTTTCTCGATTTATTGATGTTGAACAAATTTCAAAATTCTTAATTGCAAGGGAAAATTATTGTATTGTATTAAATTCCTGCGTGTTGAGCGACCAGAAAAATTCAAAAATTTTTCCATTTATGTACTTCAAAAAAAAACAAATTCCCAGGCGTTTTTTGTTTGGCAAAAAAAGCGTCAGTAATATTAATCGAAACAATGGAAGAAATCTGGAAACTTTTTAAGGTAACAATGACTGATTTTCCCCATTATTTAATTGTAAAATTTTTTGTTTTCCAGACTGACACGATAAGTTGATCGGAGAGCTATCAGCATTACAACACAAACATTTTTTGAGAATGGCAATAAATTATTCGGCAACTCGAAAAAATTGCTGATAGTCGGAGACGAGATGGTCGTTTCGCCACCCGATTATTCCTGAAAATGTTTCCAACAGGTTAGTCGCTTTCTTCGAACATATTTCCGATTTTGCCTTGTTTGAAAAAATTATTTCTCAAAATTTTTGATATATCTAGAGAATTTTTCCTCCCATTTTTTTGAAATTCGCAAAAATTTCGATGAAAAGCTTTTTGCGATTCGCAAAAATCCACAAAATTTCTAGAAAGAGCTGAAATCACAATTTATTGACTATTAGTAGAAAGTATTTCTTTTTTTTTTAACTTTGGAATTCCTTCAAAAAAATGCCGAGATTTCTGGAAGATTTTACAGACGGTAAAAATTTAAAAAAAAAATTGTTGTTTAATTCAATTTTTAAACTTCGATTTTCTGAAAAATTTGCGTTTGAAACCTTTTTTTTTCTTCAAAATTAAATCATAAATTTTATTTCGATTTTTTCAAATCGCTTTAATTTCAAAAGTTTGTTTAAAAAAAGAAAGCAAATTTTTAGAATTGAAAATCAAAAAAAATTTCGCTGGCAAGCAATTTCACAAAAACAAAAAAAAACCGATTGGCTGATTGATGCATTGGCGAATTTCGATGAGGCTAGAGTGTGACCATTTGACAAAAATATGTAATCGCGTGCCGCCAAATCCATTAATGCCGAAGAAGCGCCACCGGCAACGCAACGCGAATGATGTGAATACACACGAATAAGAAAAAAAGTGTATGCATCGATTAGAAACTGGTCTTTGTCGATGGGGAATCGCCTAAAACACATTCTCATACATCCATCAGCTGTATTATGTCACATTCCAACCGCCATCCGCTTGTCCATCATTTTTTTCCGAATACTCTTATCAGTTGCTTGAAATGTTGTATGTACTTTGGCGATTCCGAAGGCGATGTGGGGGAGGGTCTTGAAATTTCAGTTCAAATTCAAATCCAGAAATTTCTGAAATTCTCCACATCGACATCCACTTGGGGGTTTTTTTTTCAGATCGATTTCAAGCCCATATCATTTTTGTCTTGCCTTCTATGGTGTTGTTAGCTTTAGGCCACGCCCATCGCCTGCTGTTGGTTCCATTTGAATTTTATTTCAAGTTTTTTTTTCAATTTCTTGCTATATACACATAATTGCCGGAAATTAAATATCAAACATTAGATATTGCGCAATTCTTATCAAATCCGACTGACGACTAGATAGGGAAAATGAAGAAAGCGGCCAGAGTCGCCGCGAGACCCAAATCATTTTCAGCGTTGTGCGCCTTTAATCAATTATTTGCTTTTTTCAATTTCGCTGTGGACAATTTTAGAAAAAACATTTTTGATATTAAAGGCGCACTCTTGCTTGGAGTCGATTAGAAAATGATCGCGGCAAGACCCAACCTAGTCAAACGAGAAATGTTTCAGGAATGGCTTCAGCTGCGCGAAAAAGTGTTCACGTCGCGAGTGTGAAACACATGATCTACGACGAGCCGCACTTTGCGATGCAGAGCAGCCTCCGACGGGTTTTTCATCTTCGTTTTTTTTTGTTGTTATCATTCAATCTATAATTGGCCAATTTTGCAGCTAATCAAAGAGAAAATCAATCCGAACGTGAGCCAATGGGAGGCGAACGGCAGCTATCCGGCGCATCATGTGTTCAAAGAGCTTGGTCGGATTGGCGTTTTCGCCGCCAACAAACCGCACAGTAAGATTCGCCTGTTTTTTGGGTGGTGAGAGAGCTGTCGGCAAACGATGACGCTCTTGTAGAATTCGGCGGTCTCGGCTACGATTTCTCGATGTCGATCGCGATCGCCGAACAAATCGGCGCCGTCGCGTGCGGCTCGATACCGATGTCGGCGATGGTGCAGACGGACATGTCGACGCCGGCGCTCGCGCGATTCGGCTCCGACGCGCTTCGCGATTTGTTTTTGCGGCCGTCGATCTCCGGCGATTGTGTGTCGTCGATTGCGGTGTCGGAGCCGCACGCCGGCTCCGACGTGTCGGCGATTCGGACGCACGCGAGGCGCCATGGAAGCGATTTGATCATCAATGGCTCGAAAATGTGGATCACGAACGGCGAACAGGTAGGAACGCCGCATCATTGACGCTCATTCAACAATCGAGTTTCAGGCCGACTGGGCTTGCGTCCTCATCAACACCGTCGCCAACACCACCAACAAACATCGCAATAAGAGTCTCGTGTGTGTGCCGCTCGATATTAAAGGTGCATACCGTAATCCTCCCCTATCAATATCTGTATATACCGTTGCAGGAGTTCATCGATCAACGAGACTTGAGAAATTGGGAATGCGAAGCTCGGACACGGTTCAGCTGTTTTTCGACGACGTTCGAGTATGTTGATATATATTTTTTTTTTTCGAGCGCGTTTTTCCAGGTGCCCAGCTCGTATATAATTGGCGAGGAGGGTCACGGCTTCTCGTACCAAATGCAGCAGTTCAACGACGAGCGATTGGTTACGGTGGCGGTGGGTCTCGCGCCGCTTCAGCGATGCATCGACGAGACGCTGAAATACGCGAACGGTCGCACGATATTCGGACGAACGCTTCTCGATCAGCAATACGTGCAATTTCGGCTCGCCGAGCTCGAAGCCGAACTCGAGGCGACGCGATCGTTGTTGTATCGCACGGTGTTGGCGCGTTGTCAGGGCGATGAGAACGTCAGTATGCTGACGGCAATGGCGAAATTGAAGATTGGACGGTTGGCGAGAAAAATAACCGATGAGTGCCTTCAGGTTTTGCTTGCGTCCGAAATTTGAGGCCGTCGTCAAAATTGGCATCATTGGTTTTTTTTTTCCAGATTTGGGGCGGCGCTGGATTCCTCGCCGACAATGACATCAGTCGGGCGTTTCGCGATTTTCGTGTGTTCAGCATTGGCGCCGGATGCGACGAGGTCATGATGCAGATAATTCATAAGAATCAATCGCGACGCGCATTGTAAATAAAATGTTGTGATTTTCGAGCGAAAATCTAATTTTTAATCAACTCGTTGTGTGATGGCCAACCATTTTTGAAGCACGTGCGCGGCGTTCAACTCGAGATATAAAGCGCACTATTTGATCAACGTTTGTCCTCATTGTTGTAGAATTACAAGACAACGATGGCAAACAAGTTGGATGGCTTTTGACCGTGGTCTAAATCGAAACCGAATGGATGGATTAATGAGAAACTCCCCCGCCCTCATCCGAGTTTGTGATGAAACGGAAATATCAAAAGAAGGCGGTCGTTAGAGGTTTGCCATCTCTAGTATGAGCCGAGTGCTATAAATGCCATCCCAGAATTGAATCAGAATTGTTTTTGGGGGTTTTCTTTTTCGATGAAAAATTGCGATTTTCGCATTATCAAAATGATTCGCACAAATTCCAAGAGTGGTTGTGAATTCAATTTTGAATTACCGCCACAATCGCCTTGATTTTCTCAGTGCGATGAAAAGGCGCAGTTGAGTGGTAATTCTCAAATCTCTTGACGCGATAATAAAAAATAATTCTCAACGATTCGAAAAGAACAAAATCGCGGTTGGATTCCACCGAATTTTTATTTTTTCCAATCAGTACGACACTCCGATCACACATCGCCCTCAATTTAGTGTGCCCCGGCGACATTGATGTCGACTAGTTGCATTTTTCTTCACCAAAACGTTCCCACACCAAAAAGTGTCCATTTTCGCCGACCCGATCGAATCCCAGTGAGTAGCTAATTCATCAAGTGTGGCCGTGGCCGAACCTAATTTTTTAGAACAATTTTTCTAGGTCACACGAGGTAGCAAAAATCATTTTTGTTTTCTCATTTTTCGGCCTTTATTCTCGCGGAAATTGAAATTATTCGTTTGCAACCCATCTTTCCTTATTGGGTGCCCCGATTCATTGCGGCCGTGGCCGCCGACATCCACGGCCATGGACAAAATCAACCGTAGTAGGTTTCATTGTTTTTTTTTTACACTGATTAAGCGCGACGCAAGCATAATGGAAGCATTGTGGGAAATCTGTGGAACGGAAGCATAATGCTTCCATATAGGAAGCATAATGTAATTATTAGTGGCTGTGGAAGAATTATGGGACGAATATGGATGGAATGAAAACGGGATGAATATGCTTCCGGTGTTTGCGAGCCGTGGAACGAATATGGATGGAATATGGATAAAATAATCATATGTCAATAAACATTATACAATTGGCGTCTGGACGGCAGACCAAGACAATTTCTAGAAAAATCAATACAAAAAACATATGCTATCATATAAACAATGAAAATTTGAAAATTACATGATACACAACGGACGAAATTTAGCTTCTACCATTTAATGACTTATGTTACTCAGATTTATGTTAATTCAGTCAACTGTTCCTCACTTTGTTTAAAGATTGCCAACTACAATTTAGTCGTATTAATATATTTTTGCCGGTTTTTCCGAAATTGGCATCGCAAACTACTCACAATTTGCTCCAAACTGGTAGCAGACGCGCGTAGAAGAGGCGTGCCGCAGCATTGCAAAACCGTGCGCCGCTTTGCACAATGCGGCCACGCCTCACATTTTCGAAATTCGTTTTCAAAATTTTTGTCCTTTTGCTTTTTCTCAATGAATTTTCAAGATTTTTTGTGTTTTTTTTTTTGTCAAAAATTAAAGAATTTTTTTCAAAATTAAAGGAAAAATGTTTTTAAAAAATAAAGGAAAAATTTTCATATTTATCGTCAAAATCGAAACCAAAAATAAATTGATAGCATTCGAAAATTTTAAAATCGATACGATGTTTTCAAATCGTTTCCGACACTTTTAAAATCGAATTTAAATATTTTCTCAATCGAATTGTGTTTAATTTCTCATCGAATCCGTTTTATTTTTATTTACTTTAACATATTTTTTATTATCGCTCGCTTTTTTCTTTTAATAAAACATAATGTTTTGAAATTTTTTACAGATGAAGACAAGATCGAGAGTGTTGTCAGATATAACTGAAACTGCTCTAGAAGTCAATAACAAAGAACCAGAAGTCCCTAACATGGAACCAAATTCGCTCGACACTTCAGATCCAGATAGTCCAATTTACTCGCCAACTCAGCAAAAAAATTTTTCTCCACAGTCCTCACAAACAACAAAATCAACGCCAATTCCTAAACCTTCGTACGCGCAATTTGTAAGTTGTTATCATCAAAAATTGGCCTGTTCGACTCCAGAAATGGTTTCAATTAGAAAAATATGCGCAATGAAGTCTTTATAAAGTACTTCCTAAGTTTAAAGCTTGTTGATTATTTGGTTCCAATCAGGGCTGTGCGGCAATGGAATTGCCGATTGCCGAAATTGCCGGTTTTTCAAATTGCCGAAGAAAATTTCGATCGGTAATTTGCCATTAGCCGAATCGCCGAAATTTCCGATTGCCGTACAGCCTTCGTACCAATATCATTCAGTGGCATTTATCTTTTTAAGTGGGGCTCTAGTACAGAAGTCGCCAGACGCCGACTATATAAAGATCCTATACTTTATTGCAAATATCTATATTACAGATGCTCTTATCCATGGCTTTGGGCAACAACCGACAAATGACTTCAAAGCGAAAGCATTACGCATGGTTCGAGAAGTCATGGATAATCTTCTGTAAGATTTTGAACTATGACTATTAATTTATTTATTTGATTAAGCGATAGAATGCGCCAACGACTTCAAAGGAAATTTGGTGTAGCGCCGGAAGCGCTCGCGGCGCAATTAAGGAAGCTGCTTGATTCTACCAGCAACCCTCAGATGTGAGTATTCATATGTCTTTGAAATTTTAACCAAAATGCCTTTTTGCTTCAAATTTTGGAGTTGTTCTTTCTTCCGCCAATTCACTTTTTATTTTGTGCACTAAAGGGTTTCCAAAAATGCAATAAAAATAAATTATTTTTATTTTTAAGAAAATTATTGATGTAAAAAAACTGATTGTATTTTCTCGAAAAATTTAGTTTACGTAACAATGGTTTACAAGTTTTTCAAATTAATAGGCCCATTATAATCTACTTATTACAGCGTCCCGCTCGATGTCAGTACTGACAATGATTCGAATAGTTCGGCAGTTGCCAGTAACTAATGGTTTGATTATATCTTAATTGAAATTCATTTCATTGTTGTTTTTTTTTTATTTTAAATTAAATAAATGTGTTAATATGAAATAAATTTTGAATACAGCAATCAAATTGTTTTCTTATTTTCCCATATGGAAGGCATACGGCTCATTCCATATACGAAACACGCGGTTCCGCAAAAAAATGCTTCCATTATGCTTCCATATAACTTGCATATAAGATTCCTATGATATCCACAGCCGTTCCACTATGCTTCCATTGTGCCTATGCCGCCGTTTATCTGTGTAAATGCCGCTGCACGATGAATGTCGTCAAGCGCGTTGCGGTTCGCGTGCGGTCCACCGTTTCACTTTTTCTGTGAGAGCCGGGCTTTTCTCGAAAAGACCAACGAAATTTGAAATGTTGACGAGGAAATGAAGGTGTGACCGTGACGCGACCGCAACGCGTCTGTCAGAATTCGTACCTAGATAAAAATTGATTGCAAAATTCACAATGAGACGTGCTAATATTCGATGAGAAAAAAAACAACGCGCATTTTCGCGTCGAGACCGAAAAAAATGGTTTGATCGAATCCAGATTTCCGCAAAAATCGTTTGGGCGCCGATCAAATTCGACGATTTCGACGAAAATATTAATAAAATTTTGCGAGATTCTTATCGCCCCCTCGACTTAATCCATTCAGTCATCATCGCACGCACGCACACGCCCAATTAATTAATATTATTGACGGTTGGAAAATTAATTTTTGCCGTGTTTCCCTTTCGGTGTTTTTTTCTTTCTCTTTCTCTCACGCATACCCTTATTTGGGTACTGTAAGAGAGCTATTCGTTTCTTTTTTCGTCTTCGGGAGCCATTTTGCGTTTTAAAGGCGCACGACAATTATTGTTTCACATGAATTGCCCATCAAATTAAAGGCGGCTCTTGAAGCGAATTTTTTTTTGTTTTTAAACGCTTAATTTGTGGGTCTTGAGAGCGATTCGATAATATATTTTTTTAAAACTGCTTTCGAATCGGGTCTCATCACGATACCGTATAAGGCGACCCCTCTGCGAGCGCGCACGCGCGCTGCAAATGGTCATCATCACACCTATAACACCAACAATAATAATAATAATAATGTGAATAATAATAATCGCCATCTTGCATAATGAGAATAATTTGGGTTTGGTCTGAAATCGAAAGTTATAGTGGTTTGTTGAATGTCCTGTGTGGTAAAACGACGAACGAAACACACGCGAAAGCGATTCATCAATTTGGTGGTGGAGGGCGGCGACGGCGAAAAAAAACACCCACCAAACGAAACCAGCCGTTGCCCTTTTTGTTGTTGTTGTTTAGGCTTTTCGCGCCCTTCAAAAAAAAATTTTTTTTCTGATTTCCCCAATTTTTCACGCCTCGTTTATCATCATAATCGATTCTCATCTCTTTTCTTTTCCTTTTTTGTTTTTGTCATTTTTCGTTTGTCTGCAATTTGGCGTGGCGGTGTTGGCACATAATAATTCCTGGAGGTCCATATCAGGGCTTTGCCAATTTGATGTCAAAAAAAAATCGGCGAAACAAAAATCAATGTTGGGATACCGTGAAAATTCGGTATTTATATATCGAATTATCGTTGAAAATATTTAATAGCCGAAATTTTGATTTTCGGCAACTTGCCGGATTGCCGAAATTTCCGATTCCTGGAGGTCCGTATCTTGATAACTAGAAGTTTGCGCAGATAGGGACCTAATTCATTCGATTGGAAATTTTCGAAAGAATCTGTATGCAAAAAAAAAATAAACAAAATTTTAAGACGGACAGCAAAAAAAGACCACTCTTGTCAGTCCAACGCATTTCGAGACATCATTTTGTTGGGAATTAAAGGCGCATGCCGATTTTTGGCAGACATGA